CAAAAAATTGATATATTAATTTATGATATATAGTTATGTAAAATTATATTTTTTAATAAACTTAATGCTTAATTTTTTATTTATAAAATACAATTAATTGTTTAACTAAAAACCTATAATATATATAACAACTGTATAGAATAATATTAATAATTTAAAATACAACTTATTTAACAGTTTAAAAACAAATTTTTTAATTAACTATTAAATATATGTATATTATGCTTACAACAATTGCTATATTTTAGTAAATAAATGAAATATGATTTATTTGAATTAAATTTAACAACAAATCTAGTTTCTAAAATATATTAATTTATTATTTTTTATCATAGATTGAATATATAAAAATTATTTATGTAAATATATATTAGAAAACATTTGTTAGACTACAAGTAGAGAAAAATATTATATTGATATTTAAATTTTAATATTTCTATAATAAATAAAAAACTTTTAAATTGTATTTATATATTAAAAGTTATAAAAATTCCTATACATACTAAATAATCTACTAATATACAATATATACTGACAAAAAAAATAAATTACATTAGAAATACTGAGTAATGTAATATCCAGACAACAATTGACTTATAAAAAGTAATCAATTCAATGAAAAATATAAAATATTTTGAAAAAGTTTTACTTTAAATGTATCATATTATAGATGTGCCGAAAATTGGCACTTATCTGATGTAAAGTATACGTAAGCATTAGTATTCAATAATAAATTCATTAATCATTATTCAATTTTATACCTCAATCGCCAAATGAAAATATGTAGAGATATCTTAAAAAAGTAAAATAAAACCTTATTTTGTATTCACTAAAAGGATTAGAATTTTTCTCTATTTGGGTGCAAAATATAAGTAACGATTACTTTATGCAAAAATATATCAAAAAAGGATTTCAATGTAACAGACAAACTGTATGAGTAGTAAACGTATATTGAGTTTATAACACATATCTGACTATCGATCGCTACTTCAAAAGGTTTCTCACATTTTTTTGGGTTATATATGTTATATAATAACAAACTATCCATTCTTTTTAAATATTCAATTGATTTTAAATTTAAAAAACTTTTACTAAACATTTTTAGTATGTAATGCAGCGACAAAAATTGACTTAAAATATTTAGTGAATACTATTTGTGTGTGTGTGTGTGTGTGTGTGTGTCTATGATAAAAAAAATTTTGCTTAATATTTATTATTGTTGCTATTTTTKTTGTTGCAAACAATTGCAAATTTTTGTGCTTATAGTATATATTTTAAATAAATTAATATACTAATCATTTTTTATGATTTGACAATACATTGTGATATATGTGAGTACGGAATTTAAACGTGTTTAACATATAATTTATAAACTTGTGTCTATAGCTAATAATGTATTGAAATCGAAGTTTAGATTTTAAATTTAAATATTTTTGTGAATAATTTTTAGTTTTTTTTGCAACAAAAATACAAACAAAAAATGTTTTTTATGTATTTATTTTACTTTTTTTTTGTAAATAAGTTATTGTTTAAAGCAGTGAATATACAGACGTTTTTATTTTTTGCTTTTTGTAGTATAAATAATTAATTTTTACCTTTAAATGTTTACACATCTAAAGTAAGAGCTAGTGCTTACTTACAGTACTGTATATGTTGTAGATATAAGTGAATAATTTATAATGAAATTTTCAAATATTTTTTAATTATATACAGTTAATAGTGTGAATTTAATATTGAAAATGTTTAACACTTTAAATACAAAAATAAATCTTAATTATTAGAAACTTTTATGTTTATAATTGCAAAATATTTATAGGTTTTTCTAATCATATAAAAGATACTTTCATATATCATCTTATAGTACAAACTTATATAATATTTTCTACTTTAATGATTAAATATTATAACTTTAAGAATAAATATAGATTATATATAATAAGTAGTGTTGACTAAAAAGAGAAATTTCTAGAAAGTTTTTAAAATAAATTTCTGTCTATGAGATCACCATGGTTAATTTTGTTCTCGATATTTGTTATATAGATACAATACATTATACTATTATTGAATATTATTATTAGTACTTATATTAACAATTAAAGTAAAAAAATTAACTATTTAATTATTGAATACATTAAAATATAATTAAATAATGTATAAAATTTTCACAAAAACTAATTATAATTATTTTATATATAGGGATACAATTTGTATAGTATATACATTATGTATTATGTCTTGCAATTTGTAAGTTACAAATATAGTATTACAATAGCTAAAGATATGGGGATTCCATAGTATAATAATAAAGTAAAATTTCTATAGAAATTTATAATTGAGACATTTACTAGAATTTTTTATCAGGGAACTTTATTAGAAATTTCTATTTGCCCATCTCTAAGATTAAGACAAAATTTTTAAATAAATTTTTTAGAGATAGGTTTATATTTGTGAATCTAAACAGTAAAGGTGAACATATCTATGTTATGTTTGTTAAAATAAATATATAAATTTATATATATATTATTTAATGTTAAACAAACCAATTGGGATTTACGACTGAATCAGAGAGACAGAGAGCGAGAGAAAGAAAAAAAAGRAAAAAAATAATTTTATATTTTGTTGTCAAAAACCAAATCGATTTTATAATATAAAATAGGATTTTTGTTTTCATTTATAAAATTTCTTTATTTTTTTCTCTAATATGTTATGTTTAACAAAAAAACAGCGATAATAAAACTAAAATTACAATTTACAAATTGCTTTAATTTAAATTACCAAAAAACTATATTACCAAAAACCATGCAATATTTATAGCACTATTCAATTCAATACTTAATATTATATGCATTTGTGTATTGTATTCATTATTTTTGCTATAACTTCCTTATAATAAATATAAACTCCAAAATTATCATTAGTTTTATTATAATGTTTTATTGTAACAATAGTGTTACTACTGATGTCTGACTGTTTTGATAGAGTAATCATTTTATTTTCAGTAAAAATGTTTCATAATTTAAATATAACAATCATTTGTTATATTGTACTACAAAATTAAAATATATTGAAAAGCAAATTAAATGGTTGACTTTTTAATTTTTCATAAATAAATGGGTTTACAATAGACTACAAACAACATTATTATTAAGATTAATGATCAATATATTCAAGCATTATTTATGCCGTTTTAACTTATGTAGCATTTCATTAGTTTATTCATATATTTCCTAAATTTAATAAATAGGTCTAAAAAATAATAATTAAATGAAATATTAATATTAATGTAAAAACAAAATACAGTATTAATTCAGAAATATAAAATATTACACCGTTTTATAATCAGTAACTCAATAAAATAATATTTTTATTATTTTTAAATAAAAAATAAGAGTAAATACACTATATTTATATATTAAAATAATAAACTAAAAATAAAATTATTGTACATTTTACAATTGCTTTTAATAAAATAAAAAATATTACAATTATTTTTCGATTTATAGATAGATTTTAAATAATATAAATAAGAGTAATGCTATTAATAAAAATTTAGTAAAATAGCAAATTGTACAAAAAAATAATTATTCAAATACTTTTTTATTATCGACTGTACGTTTATTTTATGTACAAAATAGCATTTAAAATTAGTATAGATTTTTCTAATTAATGTTGAAAAAATAATAATTTAAATTGTTTTTTGAGCATATTCATTTAAAGATTATTATATTAATAAATTATTTGAAATTTGTTATTAATAAGATAATCAAATTAATATTTATATATCCTAAATAACTTTAACCAACTTTTAACAATTTGAGACTTAAATCCATTTAAAATGAATATCATTTAACCTCATTTTTATGATTAGTTTAGATATTTGTTTTTTCAAGCATTTACGATAAGTATAAATTTCCTATTATATAGAGTTCCCGATTATAACATTGATCGATCAATATGTTATATTATTGTAGTTTTTGTAACAAAAATATTTTGTCAAATGATTTAAAAAATGGACTTTAATGTTGATTTGCTTGAAATGCTATTGAAATCTTATTGTTTTTTACAATATATGATATAGAGAAAATGTAATAAATTGTTATGTATTATTTTGTTTTTGAAAAAACTACATGAATTTTTTTTTATAGTAGTATATATCAAATTTTGAACATTTTTTAATCTAACAAAATAATTGATATTTAAGTAACATTAGAGAATATTTTGTTTTATGTTATTTAAATTAATTATCCAATATTAGTTAAGCGTATAAATAATAATTTTAAAAAACAACTATTTAGTTTAATAGTATATTTAACAAATAATATGTTTATGCAAAAAAATAAAAACAAATATCTAACAAAAAAAAAACTCATTTTACTATAGGCTAATAATTAATGCCAAAACATTGTTTGCTTACATTGGGTTTAAGTTTACTTTTTTTAAACAATAGATTTATTATCAGTGAACTGAGACAATTAGTATACAAAAAAATGTAGACAAAAATATTAATATAAGAATAGATATTTAAGAAAAATTATTATAACTATTAGTCATATATAATATCTAAACAATTAATAAATGCCATGAATTGAGTCTATAATATAATAGAAGTGTACAATCGATACAATTTCATACAATGAACTTCATATCATATTTAACCCAAAGATATGTCTATTTAGTGATATTTTTGTTGTTATATTAGTCTTAGATATTGTTATTAAATGATATATATTGTGATAATAATTATATATATTAATGATTAATAGTTTGAAATATTTTATAATCATAATTAAAATAAAGACAATTTATTTTTAGATATGTTATCAATTGTTATATTAAAAGCCATTGTCATGTTGTATGTCATTGATATCACATTTGTTTGTTTTTTATTTCTATTAATTTTTTACAGTTATTTTTGTTAATTGAATATATTTATTATAATTGAATCGTTTAAAAAATAAATAAAATATAATAATAAAATGTCTTAATATGTTATAATTTAGTGACAAAATACATCCGCGTCGGTGTCGACGACAAGAACGAGACTTTGCCATACATTGATAGGGACGACATCACTGAAGATGATATCGACGACTCAACCACTACTATCGCATCCACTTTAGAGTCCAATAATCCAAACCGTAAGTATCTAATTGAAATTGTTTTACTTTTTTTTATTTTTATTCATTCACAATATTTACGAGTATTTAAGTATCTAAAAATAATTATTTAGTATTTATTTAATTTATTAATTACCAATAAGTTAAACTCAAATTATTAAACTGTAATACACATTATATTGAATTTATGTTATTGTCTTCATTGAAATAATTGGATTGCAACTGATTGAGATCAATGCCAAAACAAATTCAATTAGCTATTGATATATCAGTGGAAAACCATATTTCCCAATATATATATATCGTATGACACAACAAAAAGCTTAAGACTTAAGCCTAAAGTCAAAATCAATCGTTAATACACTTCATAGTATCGACAATTGACTAACTATACCATTGATAATGTATTTTCCACTAAACCCGAAGTCATTTAATCTTATGTCACATCAAATCAGATAAAGTGATGGAAAGAGTAAAAGAAAATAAAACAATTAGAATCAGCAAAAAAATATATTTTTCAAAAAATATATGGAAAATATTCTTCAAGTTTGAACACAAGTTCTGGTGATTCACACAAAAAAAATTTAGTCAAAAAATATTTATCTTTCTATTTCTTTTTGGTTTTATTTATTTTTTTTATTTTCAGTTATTTTGGCGTCAATGATATCAACACAACAGTAGTATAATATTAGTTGAGAGTAGTCGTCATGAAAAATATGAAATCAAAAAATATTTATATCTATAAATATATTTATATAAGAAAAAGATGAATCTATTTATCGATTGTGTGTGTGRGAGAGAGAGAGAGAGAGAGAGAGAGATAGTGAACTGGAATTCCTATAATTTTTGTCACATATTTCCCGTTCATATATTTATTTCCGTGTATTGTGTAGTCAACACACTATATCCGTTTGATTTGATTGATGTTGTGATGAGAGAGACTTTTTTAAAAATGAAAATTAAAGGAGTAATCGTCGAAATAAAACGGAATTTCTATTTTTGACAAATAAAACTAAAAATATTAATATAAATTAAAAATACTAACACAAACAAACAAAAAGTAGGAAAAAGTTGTATTAAGTTGATTGGGACCCTAAATGAATTAAACCAGTGAATGACATACTATTTACTAAAATATTACTATTATTTTCACTCAAAATTTCAATTATATTATAGCTGTATATTAAAGATTTTCACTCTATTTTCTCGTAACAGTGAGTAAAGTAATGGACTTTATATATATATATATATATATACTGTATATACCAAAAACGTGACAACTTTTTTCCTAAAGATAAAAATATAATTTCAACAACAATTTCATTATATATATATGATATTTTATTAGCTTATTTATTTGATAAGTAAAAACTGCATTAACACTTTTTTATTATACCATTTTAAAGTAACGCTTCAATTTAAGCACAGACACAAACAAACAGAGAGAGAGAGAGAGAGAGAGAGAGAGAGAGAGAGAAAAAAAGTAAAGATGTTTTTAGTGGACTTAATTTTTTAAAAAACTAATAATTGTTGTCAACTGAGTACATGGTATATACAGTACAATAAAATTGTTGTTATCAATCAACACCAGTAATATTGTGTAGCAGTAGTACAATACTTATATTAACAAACAGTTCATTTAGTTGTATAAGCCCTGAGCATTTTTTTGTTAGATATATATATTTTTAAAATTATTAATATTATTACAGTATTATTACTATTAAAAGTTTAAATTTGTTTCGAATTTCTAGTGATAAAACTTAATACTCTGTCATATAATTAAAGTTCGATTTTTTGCTGTTTAGGAAAAAATTACAAAATTAACCTTTTTTTAGCAAATTTTGAACGACTGTCCTAAATATGAGTTAACAAATGTTGAGTGTCTAGAGTCTAGACATCACTGTCTCTAACCTTATATTTTACTAAATTCCTTGTTAATCATTTACAAACTATTAAAAATCTTAATTTAATTAATTTAAAATATTGTCTATTAGTCTCATTAGTGATTAACATTGTTTACTAAAAATGTTTATTTTATTTAATAATTTCCTAACGATTATATATATTAATATATATATTATATATATACTGTACTTATATATATTAAAACAATAAATTATCAATTTACATGTATTATAAATTTTATAATACACGAAGCTAAAATTTCCTTAAACATAATATAATATATTTAAGTTTTTTAAAGTTAATAATTATACTCTATAATATAGAATATAAATTATATTATTAATACTAATTTTAAATAATTTTAAAGCAAACAAATAAATCCTATTATAAAACTTACACCTATTATATAACGTTAATGTTTTGATTCTAATATATATTATTATAGTCTGATATTTAAGTTATAAAATTTTTGTTGAAAAATATATTATCCAAATCTTATATGAAATATGAGACATAAAAATATTCGTTTTTGTTGTTTTCAAAATATATATCAAAATTTTCATAAATATTTTGCATAACGTATATGATGTTGACTTATATACTATAAGATATATTCATAGGATTTTCTTATAAAATTTATAGTATGATATAATTTTTAAAATTTCATTCAAAAATACAGTATATAACGTAATTTTCTAAAAAAATAATCTAAAGCACACTAAATATCTAATATTACTAGGGTTGGTGGTCATGTATTTTATATAAATTAAAACATATTTTGTAAACTATGTTAATTAATTGAAAGACAAATATAATAAATTATAGCATATAATTAATATTCGTTTTTAACTAATAAATTTTACTTAAAAACTCAGTATTTTACTTAATTAAAATCAATGTTTTTTACTACTTTAATCTGTAATAATAATATTGATTTTAAATATTTTGTATTAAAAAATAAAGTACAAAAATTATCATTGATGATCAAATTAAATTACATGTATTTTACATTAGATAAATAAATTTCAGTAATTTATCAACCATAACTATTACAAAGTAATCATTTTTCTTATAGATTTAATATTTTATTAAATATATTTGTTGTGTTAAAAAAATATTTCAAATCATAAATATATAAGAAATATATGTTTTACGAGATTTGTCTCTTAATCCAAGACATAGTCTATCACTCACTGGATGTCTGATTAAAGTGTCATTTAAACTTGTTTTTCGTTTATATCAACACTTATTATAAATGATATAAAAGGGAATTACAAGCTATCAGTTTGTTTCATAAGTTTGTATTTTTCAAAAACTTGAGTATCACTTGTAATATGATAATAACGTAAAACTTTGAAATAATTTATCAAAACTAATATAATTACAAAAAATATTAATCAAAACTCTTGTCGAAAATGATATTTTAAGAATAGTATTATAATAATAATAAAAATTGATATCTATGTTATAATTTAATTATAAGCAATGCATATACATTTTATTAATTATAATTATTAAAATTAAGATTTTTTAATAAATAAACAAACAAATGTTTGCAAATGAAACATAATTTATTATTTAGATTAATGTGTTGTGTAGTGTAGTTTGCTGTATATTAAATATTATAAATAATTTATATTAAATTTATTATTATTTTTCAATGTATGATATAATAATAAAAAATATTGAATTACTATTTTTTGATGCAAAAGTCGTGTTGAAATTTACTCTAAAAATATTTATTAGAAGTGTTTTCGTGTTTTATCATACGATGATTTTCTATATTAAAATATTAATTTTTTTGCATTAAATTAATTATGTTTTATGAATTTATGTTTTAGTATATTTTTTTGTATAAATTTCATTAAATTTTAATTAATTAATATTTATTATTTGTATAATTAATAATATTTATGTTGATAATGCAGTGCTATAGAAAAAATAATTTTTTATATAATTGTTAATTTTTTAATTAAAAATGTTTTTTATATAAATATTGTTTTTGAAGTGGTCGTATAAAAATAAATTATTATGTTCAATTAAGATTTATTATTGTTATAATTATTATTATAAATTGATTAATTAAACTAAAATTTTATCAATTAATTATTAAACTACTCAAACAGATGTCATTTTATAATATTAAGAGCATAAATAGTTATATTTATAAAGTTATTTACAATTTACTTATCTAAATAGTTTAAAATTTAACTCAAAATTTAAAATTTGATTTTACCAATATTTGTAAACTGCTTACTCTGATACATACATAAAATAAATCTACATTATATCATATAATATACATGTATTTTAAAAATGCATTATCAGAAGCCTATTATTTGTGTGCTATATTTTTTGCACATTTTTTAGTTCGCATTAGTTTTTATACATTTATAAAATGCTTATCATTTGTTTTATATAAATATTATGTCAAAATTTGATACAAAAATGCATCAAACAATTTAAATGCTATAACAAAACCAGTAACAAAACACTTTGAAACTATTTATATAGTTTTTTGATCAAATGCATTGATGTTTCATATAATTACTGTATGATTTTGTTACCAAGTTTTCCATAAATGTTTATATAATATTAAATATAAATTGTATTTATTGTATTTATACTTTAAATGTTATGCGTTTATGCAATTTTAGACTTTATATGTAAATTAACATTAATATTACTAATTTATAAATATTTGCTTATAAATACAATTTCATAAAATTTATATATTTTATGTTGAATTTGTAATTATTATTATTTTTCGGTAAAAATACAATTAATTTCTATAAGTTTATAATTAAAATATTAATAAATAATAACACTAACATGATACAGTATAATTTTAACATGATATTCATAATAACATAAAAGCAAATTTATTATTAATTATAAATGTCAATTAAATCTCTAGTTTTTTAAAATACAAAACATAGTAAAAGAGTTTCAATCAAATGCAGAGATTATACAAATATAGAGTTTATAAACTAATGGATAAAAGTTATTGTATAATATAATCATTGCTTTTGTTATACAAACAATGTATAATTTTGTTTATTTAATGACATAATTATTTAAATGCCTTTCAAGTCTATTGTACAAAATATACGGTTATATAAAACTGATGTATGTTTTGTTATTGAAATCAATAATAATTTATTGAACACATAATACAATGTTTTTTGAAGACAAAGTATTGATAGACTTAAACATTTTGTAATTTTAATGTCCAATCTATGTTTATAATCCCGTTTATAAGCTTAAGGCGTTGTTCACATATTACGTTCGCACTTGAGGGGAAAGGGGGGTTAGCCAAAGCGAACTTTTGCGAACGAGGGGGAGGGGAAGGGTAGAGACTTTAAGAACGTTCGCATTTAGATAATATCTTATTTATTGTGATGGGGGGGGGGTAGCGGTTAGGGATAAGTGAACGTAATTTTTTTAAATGACTACACGCGAACAATTGCGAACATAAGGGAGGGAGGGGGTCTAGATTTCTTAAAAAGTGCGAACGTAATATGTGAACCACGTCTAATGTATACATAATCTCACTTTTTTTATCGTATAGTATCTGATAAAATTGTAACACTGTTTGTATAATTAATATATTATAAATATAGGATTTAAAAAAATAATTAGGCGTGGTTCACATATTACGTTCGCACTTTTTAAGAAATCTAGACCCCTCCCTCCCCTATGTTCGCAATTGTTTGCATGTTGTCATTTAAAAAAATTACGTTCGCATGTCCATAACCGCCCCCCCCTCACCACAAGAAATAAAATATTATCTAAACGAACGTTCTTAAAGTCTCTACCCCCCCTCGTTCGCAAAAGTTCGCTTTAGCTAATCCCCCCTCCCTCAAGTGCGAACGTAATATGTGAACCACGCCTTATCACGTTGTTTATATAGTTATAATAGCGTTTGCAAATCTAATTAATAAATTGACATTTGTTTGTTATTTTATATAAATTATGTAAAGTATTGTATTGTTAAATAGTAAAACATCACTAACTAATGTAATAAAATTTTTGATAATTATGTACTCAATTATGGCCTTTGATTGATGTGCTGTCCGCTCACTCCTATTAAGATTGACTTTCGATTAAAGGGAGAGTGGGATGGGATCACTAGATTACAGGAACTCATTTCAGTGAGTCTAGTATTAGATATCGGGAGTGTATGGTTTAGCTCATTGCTAGAAATTTGATTATTACACTATCAACTGTATATGAAACATAACATTTAATTAATAGTTAAAAAGTAGTACAAATTTAACTTTAATTTTGTTTCACTATAATAGTAATCGAAAAAAAATCAAAATACTAAACATTTGATAGTATGCAATGATGAGCATATAGTTAATGTAAGTGTAGTATTGCTTATAGATTTGCATCAATTTTTGTACATAAAAAGCAATTTGTTTTTTCAAATTTTGCTTTTATATGACTTTCCATTTGATGCCATAAAGTACTGTATTTTTGCTATTATAGTAACAGTTGAGTCTATATCTATAATATAGATTCTATACATTATATAGTATGTGAAGGAATGAACAGAAATTGTATAAAGTATTTACAAAATTGATTATTTTGTCTCTCGTTTCTATTGATTTAAAGGTCTCTCTTTCCTTAAAATACACATATATTTTGTATATACACACACATACAGACTGTATGATACAGTAGACATATAGTACACACACAAACACACACACACTTTGATCTCTCACTTAACTGCTAATGGATTTGTAGTGTGTATTAAACAAAAGTCAATTATAGACTTAAAAACTAAATGTAAAACCAATTTGCTGTTTGCAATCGTCACACAATATTATAGACTAACTATAAGTGAAATAAGTAGATATAACTTATAACTTATGTGTAAATTTAAAAAATCTTAATTGAATTTATTCTTAGTTTTTTATGAAAACAAATATTTATTTAAATTTTAAATTAAAAAAAAATTGTTGCATTTTTCTGTTAAAACAAATTAATGTTTGATTATTTAAACTAATTTTGTTGCATAGTGTTAATTGATAAATGTTCATTGTTTTATTCACATACAAAATAACTTACAATTGTTTTTTTCCTAAATCGTTTAAAACATTTTTTATTTATTTTGAACAAGTTTGTTTTTTTTGTACTTTTTTAAATTTATTGTCTACTGATTTACATTACAATAAATATGATTATACAATGCGTTATCCCGACAATAAACTATCAATTTTAAAAATATCGTCTTTAATATAACATTTAAAATATATTCTTTACAGTAGTATAGTATAGATCACAACAAAATACAATATATCAGTCAGTTTTGTTATCTATATTTTTATAAAAAGCTTTGTAAATCTGCTGAATAAAAAAAAAGTTTATTTGAATCTTTTATTAAGTGATTTTAATATTATTTTCAATGCAAGAGTAAAATAAAATCAATTTTAAATACCAAAAGTGTTTCAGTTTGACTGTTGATGTATTGATTGAAATTTTATTTAAAATTAAAGTTTTTAAATGTTGAAAATGATAACACTTGACAACTGACTTATGTGACAATCATTTAATATATTATTAGTTATACTGTTAGTCTATAAGAATATATGATATAATAAAATCAATACCACTTTTGTAAATGCAATTTATAAAAAGTAAATGACATTTTTTATGTTAAAATTAATTATTACATAATTTTAATGTTTACTCAGATTTTAAAGTTTGCATAAAATAATTAAAATATAACTTTAGATTTATCTATAAATATGAAATCTGTTACCTTAGCCTACAGTATGTAGTATATGTTGTATATGTTTTAAAAGTGTATTTAATTTATTAATGAATAATTTAATTTTTATATATCAATATTATATTATATTTTATAACTTAGAATATAATATAATTTAATAGAACTTTAAAATACTATTTTATGTTAAGTTTTAATATCAATGGATGGCAGCATAGCTTCAAACAAAATACTATACAGTATATGTATAAACTACTGTATTATTAAATATTTAGTGCTAAATGTAATATTTGTTATTAAATTAAACCGCTAATATATAATTACCGGTAATATAGTTAATACTGATAGTAGTAAATGTAAGCTTATATATTGAATGAAAGATAAATTTCTAAAAATTAATTAATTATTACTAATTTTAAATATTAGTTTTTTAAATTTTATTTTATACCTATATATGGGATATTATGAAATTTTTAAAAAAATATTAAATAACACAAAAATGTTAGTTTTTTGTTCAACACCTCTAAATATTTATTTCTGAAAAATATATTATAATTAAAGAATTAAAAAAAAACATTTTTTATTTATTAACTAATTATTTTTAATTAAATATATTTATATATGATTTAATTATTGTTAATATTTAGTAGTATATATGCGAAGTAGTAGCGGTGATGCCAACCATACATTTCCCGAAATATCAACTTTTGCTGCAAATACCACTTTGAATGGTATGAGTCGATCACATGTCTCAACATTACCACCGAAGGAACTTCAAGAATGTATGTCATAATTATTTGATTAATTAGTGATAATATTTTATTGTGTTTTAAATATATTTATTTTAGTTATCCGACGGCGATATGGTCTTCAAAAGCAGCCGTCAATCGGTGATATTTGGCTCAACACAAGCACAGGTGTATCCCCAACACAACCAACCAAACAACAGCAGCAAATACCGGCCAATTCATTGACAATCAAAACATCACTCAATGATGTATTGTTTTAATAAAATATATTTAATAATTAATTAAAATTTAAAATTATTTGTATTTGAATTACAGTATAAATATCGTGTCGTTTCCAAAGACAGTAATAATAATACATTAAGTTATTCGAGATTTCATTTCAGTGACGACCAGAATATAGATCGTCAGAGTCGTAGTCGTAGTCGTAGTCGACCGACATTTGAGATCAAAATCATCGAAGAAGACGATAAAGATCTACCAAAAAGACTTTTACAGGTTTTACATCAGTTTATATATTATATTGTAATAATAAATAATGATTTCAGTCATACTTTTATACTTTTATACAGTTATTCTAAAAATATTAAATAAATTTTTATAATGTAACAGATTTTTTGCTAAATTTTATAAATTAAAAAAATAATTTTGTTTCACTTATATAATAATAAATAAAATATTATAAAATTAGGTGACAGTCAGTGATGATAAATATCAGCTCAAAGATGTCATTTACACATTTAATGGCGACGGAGTGGACCTCAAAAATCAGACCCGAAGTAAATTTGCCATAAATTCAACGTCCGGTGAGATCTATGCCTTGTGTGCATTGGACAGGGATCAGCCATTTGGTAAACCTCAATGGAAACTATCTGTTTATGCCAAAGATGCCCAAAATAGCCAATTAGTCGGTTTTGCCGATGTTATTGTCAATTTGAAAGATATTAATGACAATCCACCTGTTTTTATACACAAACACTTTTGGGCTAATGTTACTGAAAATTCAACGGCTGGACAATACATCACCAAAATATCAGCTACAGATGCTGACGATCCATATGAAGGAAATAATGCAAAGATTACTTATAATATTAAAGATAATCAGGTGAACGAAAGAGGGGAACTCATATTTGGTATCGACTCCAATACCGGTGTCATTACAACTGAAGTTTGTTGTCTCGACAGAGAATTGCACTCTCAGTACAAAATCAAAGTCATTGCCAGCGATGGCGAAGGACTTAAGGTATGATTTATTTTTTTGTTGCAATAAATCAATAATTTCTTTTGCAAATCAATTCAAATGATTCAATTAAAGTAATGATTTGATTGCATTGCTTTGATTTGCTTTGATTTGAATGAATTAACTTATAAATGACAGTTCAATGAATGATAGTTTGATATATCATTTGAAACTATAGGCGACAACAACTGTGACCATAACAGTGAACGACGTCAACGATATGTCTCCAAAGTTTACAAAACACGAGTGGTTTGCAGATATCGATGAGATTTATATCAATAATACAAACGTCGAGTCAATGCAATCACAAATGCCTATACTTATAGTGACTGTTATTGATTTGGATTTGTTTGAAACAAATAACTTTTCGTTTAAAATAATTAAAAACAATGCATTCAGTGATCACTTTTCATTGACGGCCAATACCGACGACTTTGCCAATAGTATAGCCAGTGCTTCACTAAAAGTGATCAAAACTCTGGACTACGAGGATATCAATCAAAGAGATATCAATTTGACGATTGGTGTCAGTGATATCGGACCTGATTTTACTAATGCATATCATACTGACTATTGTGTGGTTTACATCAGATTACGTGATATCAACGATAATTATCAACAATTTGTTAATGATATCAACCATCACATACCGTGCCGTATGACTGAGGCATCAAAACTGTGTGCCTGTCCTCACAACAGCAACAATACTGAATGCAGTCAAACAAACAGTAATTTTATTTCTAATTTCAGCACAATTGCCATCTCTGCCATCATTTTTTGTTTGCTTAACATTCCTCGTAAGTAAACAGTAATTTCTAGTATTTTATAGTTATTCAATTAATTTACATATCATGTATAAATATCACAACAATTATATTTTATTAATCATAATATTTGTAAAATATATAATTTTAAAAAACTTATAGAAATGATTTTTTTAATTACTATTTTCTTGAAATATAGTTATCATAGCATTGGTATTGTATTACATACGATATAAAAGAAAAGTTAGACGAAATCTTAATAGAAATCATATCGACAATAATGATGAAAGTTATGGATTTCTAGGTAATGGCAATATTGCCTATGAAATGGATGAAAAAACAAGTACTGGTGCTATTAGTTGTGATTGTAATAATAAAATTGATAATAAGTTAATTACAAAAAGGGTTCACATGGATCCCAATTCTGTGATTATTAATTTCAATGATTATGAACCGGAAATGCAGAAAAATTTGTTTAGTAAGTATTTAGTATATTTTTTTTTACTTTGAATTGTATTGATTACTAGTATAATAACTGATAAGTACCGTAAGTAGTATCATATAATCATAATATAGCTAAATATGGTATAGTTTTTCTAGCATTTATTTAATTAAAAAGCGTATATTTTTTGCAAATCATGAGATTATGCCAAATGAGTCCAATTTTATACATAAATCCTCGAATTATCTTTGAATTACAATAATACTCTCAGACTAAAAGGATTCACAAAAAATATAAGTAAAATTACATTTTTGATTATTTATAAATAATTATCTCATTAAATAAATTATAAATAATTATATCATTTTAATTAATATTCATTCACTAAATTTTGTTCATTCTATACCTGTATATCAATTCTATATTATTTAATAATACAATAATTATTAATTAGTATTTTTTATAAACTTAAGAGGATTTTTTTTGAAATACCTTTGAGAATTATCCAAATTATAATTTTTTAAATGTGTCAGGGTATTTATTGATTTTTAAAATATCAATTTAGTTATTAACAATAATTAAGATTAAATTAAGATAATTGGTTGAAAAAATATTCTAAGAATTTCGTATATTTAGTTAGAAATAAAGTTTCTTTACATAATAATTACCGTATAATAATAAATTCCCACCTTATAAATGATGTAAATAATCATTGACTATAATATTAATATAGAGTATTAAAGAAAAGAAAACAAAATATTTAAGATCCAAAATAATAAGTTTATTGATTGCATCCAAACAGGTCCTCAACAACATATTGGTACTGAAGAATTGGCAGACATTATCCGCGATCACATCGAGAGAATCGATCTTCAAATGGATGAACCCATTGATAACGTATGCATTTATGCGGTCGAAGGCAGTGAAAACAATACCGTTTGTTCCCTCAGCTCATTATCATCGCTGTCATCAAATCAATATAACATTGTTTATACTATTGCTGGCAATAATAATAATAAAGGCTCTGATATTACCAATAATGTTAGACAACAATATTCAGTGTAAATATCATTAAGTCGATGAAGAGATCATCTCATATATAAATTATATAAATATTATATTAATAATTAGTATTTATAAGATTCATATTTTATTGAATTGCATTGCATTGCCTTTGAGACATATATAGTCTGAAATATTATATTCAAATATACTGTATATATAATAGTATGTAAATTTATTTACTACACAAATTTTTCTGTGATAATATTTTAATATTTTATAACTTGATATAATTACAATTTAATAAAACTATATTTTTATTTAAAAATTTATTTAATGTTTAAGGTATTATATTTTTTTAAAGTCTCATAAATAATTATCGGTACATTGATATACTGTATAAATTAAGGATTGGTAGCTATTTACTGTATACTGGTATTAATATATCATATAAACGGTTTAAAAAAAGATAAAACGTTATTTAAAACAAAATATTTAATTAATTTTTAACGATATACAGCTTTTTTAATTCTTAATTTTAATAGAAATTATTTATTCAATTTATTTAGAAATTTAATAAAAAAAAATTAAATAAACCTAAGTCTTTGTGTGTATTATTTTACTATACAGAAGATTAATTGATGAAAAAATTTCAATTATAAATTAATATTTTGTATTTAAAATTGTAGTACAATTTCTAACAATGATATCTAAATTTAGGTCAAAAATTCTTATCTATTTTAAATTTTATTTTATTAATAAATTATTGTTAATAATAATAAGTAATAAACTAGAAAACATCAAATAAAAATAAATACTTGAATAACAGGTATATAACCAACAACAACAAATACATTAACTTAAGTACAGTATTTGATTAGTATTGCAATAAAAATAATACAGTATAATAATATCATAAAAGACTATAAAAATTATAATGAAAATACATGTTAAATAAAAAATATTTCTGTAAATGATTCAGTTTATAGAGAACTATAATATTTAGTTGCATTAAAATTGATATAAAATGTATGCAATAATTTTAAAGAGCACTTGTATTGACATTACAAATACTTTTGCTGACATCCCATAACTGTTGAGACAACTCATCATTTGTTGCAATTTTTTTCAGATTTTTATCGGCAATCAATTTGCAATCACTTAATAGTTATTAAATAAAATAAATATATGATTCATAAATTTATTTAAAATACAATTACTATTATAATCACCTATAGTAGTGTCCATTTTCACGTCCGGTTTCTTTATCGGTAATACAAAACAAAATGGTCTGAGCGGCCAATTGAGGACTTCGGAAAGCCAACCAACCAAATGATTTCAATATAATTGCATACAAACCAGTCATATGTCGGACCAATGATGTACGGCATAGTCCCGGATAAACAGCATAGATATGAACGTTAGTCCCTTCAAGTCTTTTAGCTAATTGACGGCTAAACCAAATCAAAGCCAATTTACTTCTGCAATACGATAAATGCGATGAATGGCCGCACTTATCGTTATTGTCATTATTAATGTCTTCAAATATTATACCTTTTGGTGCCGTTCCTGAAAACAAATCATCAATCATTATATGATTATCAATAAAATCTTTTTATTTGTTTTTATAAATTTATAAATAATGAAACAATACTTTAGATAATATGAATATATAATAAATATCATAAAACAAATAAAAATGATTGATATTATACGTGAATAAGAGGCGGACACGACGTTTACCACACGAGCCAATGGCGATGCCTTTAGTTTGTCCACAAGTAATAAGGTTAGCATAAAATGAGATAAATAGTTGATCTGCAATGTTATATCATTGCCATCAACTGTCTTGGACTGGGGAACCATCATAACCGCACCGTTATTGACCAATACATCTATTTGTATCTCTGAATCCAATTCGGTCACAAACTGTCGGACTGATGCAAATGAGGCCAAATCCAAGTGTCGGCACTCAACCCGTGCTGTAGGCATATCATTGAGAATCTCATCACAAACTTGGCGACCCTTTTCTACATCTCTGCACCCAATTATCACTTTTGCCCCTTTAGGATATATAATATATATATACAAATTTGATATATAATTTCTGGTTAATTGTTGAGATTATATTTATTTAAATTGCTATTAATAGATAAGCATCTAATCAAAATAAATTAATTATTGCATGTATATCAAATTAAATTAAAAAATAAGATTTATTTTGTTAGTTAATTTATCACATAATCAAATGATCATTGCTTTTGAACTAATAATTTATTACATTAAATGTCGGCAATAATTATGTTTAATATTTTTTAAAAGTTTACTTTTTATTTTTGTAAAAATTTTTAAATAACTTTATTAGAATATAACTTATATTAAATAAAGTAAGTTTTTAAAAAATATTAAATTATCTAGCTACTGTAGTAATGTGTGACTAATATATACTATAAAAATGTTAATGATAAAACTGAATAAATTTTTGAACAGTAAATAAATAAAAATATAATGTAATAATAATAAAATACTAATTAATATATTAATAATAAATTAGTTATTATAGAACTTAACAATTTATATATTTTATTAAATAATATGTATCTAAATTAATATTATGCATTTATTAATATTAACACCATATAATTAATTAATTATCGTCTTAATAAACAAATAATTAATTACTCATTTGAAGTCTTTAAAAATGATTTAATAATTATTAATCAATATTATCAGAATTTATCAATAAATACAGTACTTAATATTATATAATATAAATTATTGTATAATATGGTATATAAAGTATATATATTATATTATATTTGCAGATAGCAGAAAATAAATAGGAATTGACATTTATTAAAAATATAATCTAATACATAATCATAAAGTACTGTATATAAACTTTATTATATGGATGTTATTAAAATAATGTTGATTTATAATATATAATATTTATAATATTATATATTAATAGTATATACAGTATATATATCATTAAATATTTGTATACCTTTATCTACCAATTCCTTGGCCACAACACGTCCGATACCAGCCGTGGCTCCGGTAATGACACAAACTTTGCCATCGAGACGACCATCAATGTGACAATTTTTGGGACCAAATGGTGTCCAACGAAACAAATTATATATGGCTTCCAATATAATAGAAATGAAGAAACCGATGTCAGCCTTAATCGACATCTTATTAAATATTAAATGAATATTAAAATATATAACAATTGTTTTATTTGAACTGTTTTTTAAATCACTTTAATGATCTAAAAGTTGTTAACCGTTTGTTTATAAAACTTAAAGTGTAACCTAATGTGTTTGGGACAGGATTTTGGACTATCATTTAATATGAGAGATGGTTTGGTGGCAATCAATGATAGTTATAGTTGTGGCACTGGTTTTTGCAAATTGTTAGTTAAAATGATGTTAACTTTTTTTTATTGTTTCTGACATTTAGTAAATGCAAAAGAGATTTGAATGCTATAATCTATGCATTTATTAACCACTTTATTTAAAAAATGTTTACTTACTGTAATAATTTATATATTTATATATTTTATTTAAAAAAAACACTTTTTTAATATTTATAGTTTATATATTGCAATTAAAAAATATTTTGTTTTATTATAAACAAAATCAATTTAGTTAGCAATCAATGTTTGCTCTTATGAAATATTTTTTTTAATAATAATAGCGTTTGAAGATTTAGATAAAAATCCAGTTTTTTCAAAAATATAAATTTAACTTTTTTTTAATTTTTACAAAAATAAATTATGAATATAAAAATATCAATTTATTGGTAATATGTACTTTTATATAATAAACAAAAAATATATTAAAATATATTACTCTATCAAACCTTATAAAAAATAATAATTTGGTTTTTTTAACGCGAAGCCGATTATCAGTTAAATTAAAGTTCTTTTAAATACAGTATTAATTAAATTTTTATTTTATTTATTTTTGTTGATAAACTATAACTCGTTGATCAATATATTGGTCTTCATATGTTTATAAATAGGTAAACGTTTACTTTTTTATTATTTTAGTAAGTTTTTAGTTATTATTATTTTATTGAATGACAACAAAATAAATGCATATTATTAAATTTTTTCTTATTATTATAATGTATATATAGTACTGTACAATATTCTAATATTTTATTAATGATAAAATTTTTAATTGTATCATTTATTAAACTATATTATTTTTTATTTTGGAGTACAGTCTTTTGAAATTTAAATTTTAACTTTTAATATTGTAATTTAGTTTATAAATTACAAGCGATTTTAAAGTTTTATTTAATTATAAAAGTTTATAAATTCATTTCCACATATAATATAATAAAATACGAATTGAGTAAAAATTAGTAATTTTTTAACTAAACATTAATATAAAATAGTGATTAACTTTATAAATAGGATTTTTTAGCTATTATTATAATTTATTATATTATTATATTATTATATTATATTAAAGTTAATCACTATAAAATCATATAAAATCATCACTAATACAATGTAATACTTCATTAAAACTAAAATAAAAATATCATTTATGTTTAAGTAATATAATAAAAATATTTTTTCTTTTTCATAGTTAATGTACATAAATTGGATATTTAAAATAATTTTTTATGTTTGACATAAAAAATTTAATAAAGAGTAAACTTTTATTAAAACAATAAGATAATGAATATAGTGTATAATATTACTGTACGTTTTTAAACACAATATTGAATTTAAAAATTGTTGATAAATAAAATATTATTACTAAAAATTCCTAAAATATCTATATAAGTATATAGTAAAGTAACTAAGTATGGTTAATTATTACTTGTATTACTATTATTAGACTGTCTAATAATAACAGTATTTTTAATAAAACTTTTTTTATTAAGTAAATCAACGTTATTTATTAAATTGTATAAAACAGTACAGTATTTTAAAAATATTAATAAATATCTTTAATGCTTTAAATACCATTAAAGTATTGCACTAATACTGTAAATAAATACTATAGTAAAACTACAATTATACATGTATTAAATTATACAGTAGTGATTAAGTTTACTGATTAAGTCATTAATAAATTGAATAAATAAGTTTTGATAAAAACATTACAACTGTTTTTATTCATATATCATAGTATTTGTTATGTCTATTAAATTTTAATATAACAAATACTATTACTAATAGTCTATTAGACATCATAGTTGCAATATTACTATTTACTATATTATTTTTAATTATAATAAATAAATTATTAAAAAAATTATTACGCATTTAAATTGTCTAGTTAAATATCAATATATTATATTATATTTACTTTAATATAAATAAATAAAAATTATATATTAGTTGTCATTTTGTTTTTATACAATCAAAATATGAACATAACTTTTAACGAACATTTTGTGGAACCTAAGATAATTGGGAATGGTAATTTTGGAACAGTGTACCAGGTCAATTACAAAATTGATAACCAATTATATGCAATCAAAAAAATACCATTAAATGGTTTGTATGAATATTTTTCATTGATTTTTAAAATATGAAACTAATATATCGTAATATGTATTCAATAGATGTAATGCTAGAGAAAGAGTTAACAAAAGATGATGTCCTCAGACTTATCAATCAAGAGGTGGAAATGTTGATGAAAATTGCCAAAAATGGTAACAAATATGTTGTCCAATATTATCATCATTGGTGTGAAAGTAGTCTTAAAAAGGATAAGGTATGTAATATCCTATTTTAAAACTATCATATATTTAACAAAATAATTGTAGTAATACTGTATTATTACCGGTTATTGTTAAAATTTAAGTTAAATAAAATTATTTTTGTTATAATTTTAATTACAGTATATGATAACTTCTATACTGTACTACTTATACTACTTTACATTATATAATAGTTTTTTAGTAACAATACTGTTAGTATTGTTGAGGAAATAATAAGATAAGAGAATACGGTATACTATTTTAAGATTATTTGTATTATTATGGGATAAATAATTACTTTTTATATAAATTAAATTTTTGTATTCAAGGTTTCAAATGATGTCTATTATATTCAAATGGAGTTATGTTCACAAAGTTTAGATGATGTGATTCAAGCAATTAATAGTTTACGAAATGAAAAGTCAAATGACATACTAAAGGACAGACAGTCATATATATATGATATTAAAATTGTAATTAATTTTTTATGCGGACAACTGTTCAGAGAAACGGTAGAGTGTGTCAACTATTTACACAAAAGTGAACCGAAGATCATTCACCGCGACTTAAAGCCACAGAATATTCTGGTCGTCGGTAATGTAGTGAACAATCGGTTCCTAAAGTTGTGTGACTTTAATATGTCTAAAGCACATGAATGGTCTACTATGAGCAACACTTCACGTGTCGGCACTTTTAAGTATACGGCCCCAGAAGTCTTGAATGGACACAAATATAATACTATGGCTGATATATATAGTCTTAGTTTTATTGCTCAGGACTTGTTTCAGGTTGACATATATGGCTCAGAGGAAGGGTATGGTTTAGCTATAAATTACAATAATTTTTATAAATGTTTTATTAATTTAATTATTTTTTAATAGAACTGATCCAATGGCTTGTTTGAAGAAATTATTGGCCCAAATGATTGACCATTTCTTTGAGGACAGACCTAAATGCAGTGAAATACTTGTCCGACAAAATGAGTGGCTTATCAATGAAGAAACAGTTAAATGTTTGACATTTATTAAGTTAATAAAAGACAAATTGTTGAATGAAAATAATAGATTTTTATACCAATACTTATTACATCATTTATCAAAACAATCTCAACACTAAATTTATTATTGAAATGTAATTTTTTTAAAATATAATATTATTAGTTTTTTATAAATTCAATTTACAAAATTTATTTTGTCATTTTTGCAGTAACTAAAGTATAATATTTATTGATAAATGTAAAATTTCAAAATAAATCAATATAATTATTATTATATAAATATAATGCAATATTACAATAAATAATTTGAAAATATCTTATTTTATTGCATAATAATTTTATATGAATAACTACCGTAATTGCATTATTATTATTGTTGAATAATACAAATTATTACAGATTTATGAGGACTTGTTTATAAAACGTTTAATATTTGTTCAAATTTTTTAATGATATGACAACACCTCCTGACAACACTTAGAGATAGTGATAGCAAAACATTACTTTGACTCTTATTGTTATCAATTATATGACAAATCATTGTACAAAAATGCATTTATCAATTTCATTATTAGGTGTGTGCTTATTTATACGGACCACATTTGGCCAGTTAGCATATGGACAGCCATTTGTGAGTGCCCAGGGTCAGTTCTTTTTTGAATGTAAACAAACAACACCGGGTGTACTGTCGGCACACAATCATCTCGATTATGAAGTGTTTGCCGGCAAATCATTTTCATATAACTGTGACTTTTTTGTCGACACCCGTAACTGTCAGCACAATCCAACGGGACCGGCGTGTGAGTCAAACGGTATTGAGATTCAGTGGATACATCCCAAGCACTTGATTGAACTACAGAAGCAAAGGGGTAGTTTGAAATAAATATAACAATAATTATTATAGTTTTTAATTTTTTATAATAATTACTAATAAAATGATCGATCAGTCAATACAAGAACGGGTGAAAACACTGTGATATCTGTGAGCGACGGCTACACTAAGTATCACAACTGGTTTAACATAACAAATGCCGGACATATACACGACGGTCATTACGGATGGAAATTCATATTAAAATTTGAAATGAAAACAGTTTTTGAAAATGCATTTCAAATTCAAGTCATTGGTTTGTTTTATTAAACATTATTATTTAGTCGTTTGATTTGAAATTTATATTTAAAAATAATAATTTACTATTTCATTATGTAATATACTCATTAATAATTATCAAAAAATACATTATTTAGGTTATATATATATATATATATATATATATATATTTACTATGTTATACTTTTATAGCACTTTAAATGTATTTATAATTAAAAAATTTAAATAAATAAAATACATTAACTTGTATTTTATATTCTAACATTTAGATACTTTTAAAATAAATGTAATTTTATTAAATTAACAATTTACACATTTTATTATTACTAGTTAGTTGCATAAATAGTATTTTTATTTTTATAGATTATTATAAAATAGTACATTTATCAATTTTAATTTCCTTGGTATAAAAACAATATAATAACATGACTTTTATTATATTTCAATAGATATGTTACAAATAGGACAGTCGTGCAATTATGACGACTCGTGTGAAAGTGAGAAATGTATAGATGGCCGGTGTATTGATAACGGTTCCCATTCGGCACCATTTCCATGGACTTTATTAGGCATTGTTTTGGGTGTCGTTGTTATACTTGTGGTACTTATTGTTTTGATTGTTGTATTATTTAGGAGAAAAACCAAACAAATTAATAGACGATTAAATTATTAAGAAAAAAATCATAAAACATTTTATTAATAATAAATTGATTATAATTTTTAAAATTGAGAATCAAACGATTAATTGATCTATTTGTCAATTTTTATAATTTTTATGAGTACATTCAAAGTAAATACGATTATTATTCATTATGTTTTTCAAGAATTATCCATAATTGTATATATGAGTTAAAAAATTAATTAATAAAGTTTTAGATAAATTGTAAAAAATAATTTAATAATTTATGTTACATATTAAATAAATTCTATAATTTACGAAATGTATTACTTAATTATATTTATTAAAAAACAATTCAATTTATTTATGATAAAAATTAATAATTCATAAAACACTTATAAGTAAAAGTAAAATTAATAATAAATTAATGTAAATTATCGCTTTAAAATTTGTTATTATTTTAATCAATTCATTTCCCTTTTTTCCTTATTTACAAATTTTTCAAAAATATTTACTATAAATAAAATAAGTTTTAAAAACGTTTTGTTGAATGAAATATATATTACTAAATATAGCGCATAATTTAAAAATAAAGTTTATATAAAAAGGTCATTAAACTTATAATTAATTTCAATCTTCACTCTCTCTTAAATCTAATTATAGATGAAAATCAACTTTTAATGTTTAATTTATCCGCTAAAATATATTAATAGCAATAATATAATCTGATTTCACACCAAAATGTATATATATTTTTGTAGGTCAGTGTCGGTTCTCATTTTTAAAAATTTTAGGAAAATTGATTAAAATAGTTGATATCAAAAATGATCCCAAATTACACTTTCGCTTACTTTTTAAAGATCTAGTTTTAGTATATGTGGCGTAACCAAAATTTTTGTATAAAAGTAAATTATTTTATTTATAAATATTTGATTCAAAATAATAATTTAATTATCTTATTCAATATTTAATTTATTAATCATTATTAGATGAATAGACAGTAGATGAGATATTTTATTATTTTATACTATTATAATTTTATTTAAATTAGCTATTTTTTAAATTTAAAAATAACATTAATTTGAAATGAAAATGAAGTGAGTTCCGCCACTTAAATAAACGTTTTATCAAAAAATACAATATATTATTAATAAAACTATGGATCGTTTTTAGCATCGGATACCAGAAATGCAAGTTTTATAAAAAGCAAAAGGATTTCTTTCAATAGTGTTTTGGAAACTTATTTTGGTCTCAATTTTACAATTAGTTGATAATATTAGTAAAAACAGTTTCGACTTATTTTACAAATAAAAAACATTTTCATCTCTCATCAGTCTATTTGCTATAAATAATATTAAAATTTTATTATAACAATTGAGTGGACAGAGAGGAAAATGTTTGATAAATTACTATTTATATTAATAATTGGTTTATCAGGTGTTGTAATAGTAGTGAAGGCATTGCCAACCAAAGACACTAAGTGTGATCTCAAGAAAGTCGATAGATGTGCACAAATACTATATATTTACGGTAATCCCGATTACAGAGTGTCCCGTAATATAGATGAGGCACATAGGTTTTGCAAGTAAGTCATACATCATTATAATCTCAGATTATTTGTTATGATATTATTGTAGAAATATATTTTATTAATTTTATTAATTAAAAGCTCAACCAAAGAGGCGGAAACGTGTATCCGATCGTATAGTAGTGCGTGTGTTAAACCATTTTCGCGACAATACATTAATCTATTGCTGGCCGGACCCACACAACAGCTCAAAAAACGATGCAATCAATCGGGAATTAAAAGTAATTTATTAGAAAATTATTTCTTTTTTGGTTTCATTTATAATTTTTTAAAATCTTAAAAAATTAAAAGAATATTTAGATCATAAAGAGTGTGTAAATGCCACTAAAAGTGCTATTGATTTGTGTAATAACGATGCGATTATCGACACAATGAGGATATTGAAGGCTAAGAAAGAAGATTGGATTCAATTAAGCTGTTGGTATGTCTCGGATAATCAATTTTATTATTAGTATTATTATTATATGTTTATTGATATGCATTTAATGCCAATTGATTTGTCAGTTTCTTAAGTAAAAGCACTCAATGCTCTACCCGTGCCATTGATAGTGAGGATATCTGTGACGACAACTCCAAAGAATATATGAAAGAAGCGATTCGTGGATTTTCCGGTGAAGTGTTTGACTTATTTTGTGGTAATGACTTGCACTGGGAGTCCAACAACTGTCAAAAAGTGACAAAACATTTGCCACAAATTGAAAGCAAAACAAAAGTGCCATTAAGTGTATTCCCAGTTGTGTTAGAAATGATGGAAAGATTTTGATAATACTTTTGTTTTTGAAATACAATTTTGTTTTTGTATAATAATTTCTACATCTTTATCATCATTTTGTGTAAATATATTTTTTATTTTAATTTCAATAATTATCAAATTTATCTGTTATAATAAAAACATAATAAAATAGTAAACTTTTCTAAAACAATATAATAAGTTATTTAGTAGTGTCCAGTGATTTAGTTCATTGTATGATTATTTTGCTATTAAAAAAATGATTGCTCTATATATGGGCAATAAGTCCGATATAAAGGATCCCTATCCCTAAGGTGTCTGTGCCGTCAGTCAACGTCAATAACCTTTTGCTTCAATATTCAATATTTACAGTTATGTTATATATATTTATCTTTTTTTCTAAATAAAAAACTGTTGAGTCAACTAAACGGCAAACAAAATAAGGATATTTGTTGTATTAGTGATAAACAAAAACGATTTGACATAAATACTAAATTTGGTAGTTATGTGGTATTTAGCACTTTAAATAACAAACATTATTAATAAGTATTTTTGTTGTTGTTTTTTTAAACTTTAAAATATATAATATTTATTATTAATTATATTGTTTAATTTTAAGTCAATCAAACAAAGCACTTCTTAAAATAATTATATGAATCTTATAAATAATTTTTATAAAAAAATAAAACAATCAATAAATTATATTAAATATACCTGTAAGTTACTGTTACTTTACAGTTAACTATTAAAGCCGTTACAATGTATAAAAAACCCAATAAACAATCACTAGAAATATAATGCAAAAATGTTTTGTCAAAATTTAAATAGTTTACAAAGTGTATCAATATATAAAAATATATGTAACAATTTTACTCACCAATTTTTCATTTGGACAATACAGTATCATTACTACAGTATCTAAACCATAAATTAACACAAATATTTTTATATTAAAAGATAATAATTTGAAAAATATATATGAAATTGATTGAAATATGGTGTCGTCGAGTAATATATTGTATTATAATATTTTTGTTATTAAGTCGTTATCGGAAATTGTTTCGTAAATCGTAAGCAAAAAAAATTGATATTTCAATTAAGTCGTTATCGAAATTAATGATCGCTTTTAGTGTACGGAAAATAATAGATCTGTTGGTCGGCATTGAAGTGCCACCGACTGGAAGCCAACTCTATGATCTCTAAATACAATTTTTGACAATTCATATGATGATTATTGCTATGAGGATCAGCTAAAAAGGTATCCCTAATGAAACTGATCAGTGATTTCATACGACAGGCATTGTCTTCTTCCAGATATTTGCCTAAAAATAACAATTAGTAAATAAATTGTTGATTTATATTCATGTTGTTATTGTTTTTGTTATGATAACACATATTGATTAATATTATAATTATATTTAACTTACAATTGACTGTATGAACAGATACTTAGGTAACAGACAAAACGGTTATTCTTGTTCAGTCCTTATCAATGAACTGATATGATCTCTTAATGAGAGAAACTTAAAATTGCTTAAAAATATCACTTAATTTATTAAAATTTAAAACAAATGAACACATGATTCTCCCCTCCTATGAATACCAAATAAATATACTAAAAGCTGTTTCTCTTATTGAGAGGACAGTCATAGACCACTGAAGAGGACTCAAGTTTTGAGTGAAAACAATAACCATTCGGTCAGTTATCAGAGTATCTGGTCATTCATGTTATAAATTTTTAGTTAAATATAATTTTTCATTAAATATTATCCGAAACTTATAATTAAGTCCTATAACTGACCGCATGATCGGAGGACAGACTGCAAGCATTCAATTTCAGTGGGCGTCGAGTTTGGGTTCAGTAATATTGTTTGCAATGAATCGTATAGTAAAAGATATAAATGTTTTTGTTGTTTGACTTTCAACGATACGCTCAACGTTTCGCTAATTTGTTGTTTGTCTTCAGATTGATCCGACTCTTGTTCATCGGATTCAATAACTTCATCGTTGGTATTATCATAATATGATTCAATAGTATTATTTCGATGATTAACTCCTTTACGCAAATTGAGATACAGTTCCGACAGAAAGGTGACGTATGCCGTCCATCTTCGGGCTCCTCCAGTAGTCAACCGGAGTTTGTCCCTCTCGTTAAACCATTCTCTCAGACAATTGACAAGCGATTCAATGAACAAATGTGGTCTCGGTTTACATTGTTTCTTATCAATGGTCAGACATAAGATGGCCAATGAGTGACAATAGCATGACTTTTCCAAAGCTTTGTTGCAAATGATGCGTACGATTTGCATCAACTGATTTGTGGACATCGAGTCAGTCTTTTCGATGGCTTCTCTCACTAATACCACATTTTCCCACGAAATGTCTTCAATTGACATGAGATGTCCCATCGAGTCGTGATTATTCATTTCTTTAGCGCAAAATGATTTTGATCGCCGCAGAGGACTATTAATTGGTGACTCAGAAACTAATTGATAATTTTTTTTAAATTGGATTTTTTTGCTACAAAATTAATGATTTAACAATTAATTTAAATACTTTTTAGTGTATTTCCCAACGGATGGGGTCTTCTCAATGGCTGAAAGTTATCATAGTTTGTATGCATGAGTAAAGTCGTGGATTCACTTTGAGATTCTGGCGATTCGTTTCTATTAAATGCTATTCTTGCAGATGGAGGTCGATATATGGGTTGAGAAGGTTTTACATATTTATAAACCACCTAATTATTGGTTATATATATATATTTATTTATTTTTTAATTAAATCAAAGAAACATAATTTATAGGATATAAATCTATTATTAATTAATAATATTAATATAAATAATTTATCCAAAAAAACAGTGTCATTCATACCTTCTGTGGTTTTTGTCGCACTTGAGATACAGTTGTTTGTGTTGTCGGATCAATTAAAGACCACATATTATCATTAATTGTCAACTATTATATACTTAAGATTTATAAAAATTTTACTAAAAGGTTTAGACTATTGTATCGTTATTTAGTGACAATAAATGTTTCAATTTAACTAATACTAAAAATAACTCCCACTCCCATCTTTTCATAATACTCTATAGTATAGAGTCTATACTCATCCCATAAGTTTATAAATAGATATTACTGTATATATTATACAATTTCATCTACTGTATAACCCAACCAAAACAATATCAAAATCAAATAAATAATAATTGTCAACACATCCACTTTGTTACTTTGAAATATTTAAGGCAATATTTTTATTAAATTACTAATTTATAAGTTTAATATTAAATTATAATTAGAAAAATATATAAAAACAATTTTAATAACGAGTTTGGCATCACTTCACAATTTTTGTTTTCTATTATTAAATAAATTAAATGTGATATTAATTAACTACAATTTTTTAAGTTCAAGCCGCTTATTAATAATAATAATAATAATAATAATAAAATTAAAAGACTTAGAAATAAGAGGTAAAAATATTGTGTACATTATATGACTTACAAATTGCCAAAACATATTTAAAGAAATAACCGGAATATAAACGGAAGTTCCGTTATTGGATAATACACTACTATCCCTAGTATTTACATATCACTTGATATTTATAAACATATAATGAATTTATAAATGAGATATTGTTTTCAAATATTTACAGTATATATATTATAAAAGATATTATTATTAATAATAAACTAAAAGTTATATCACAACTAGATTTATGAGAAGCATTCGTATGTAATGTTTGACATTCTTTGATGGGCTCTATAAAAGGTTTAATAATATTAGGATATCCGATGAGATCTTCAATTTCTTCGAGTCCCTCAACCTTTCTCCAGAAGCACTGAGCCTTTTGTGGAGCAAAACGTATTAACTCTTGAGAATCAGTCATCACATTGTGATCCCAGAAAGTCTTCTGTTGAACATAACTGGACAGTCGTTGATCGGCATAATTGGATGGCATTACTATCAACGGATTCATGTCATTGTCATCGATGCTAATTGAATACGATATGTATTATTAAATATATATTGTTATTATTATAAATAATTGCGACCAACCTATTGACTTCTGCCACATCAGACAAAGCCATTACTGTATGCGGAGTCAAACCACTTAAACAACTTCTCGTTGATTTAATCCTTGGATAATACAATATAAACACTAAACACATTTCCTCTTTTGTAGATAATCCACCCTTTAGTGTTAATTATGATAAAATTATTAAAAATATTTATATTAATTTTAAATTGAAATCATCGAAGACATACAAATAATGGTTTATCCCGATTGACAGTATTATAAGTGCATTCAACAGTGATGTGGTCGTCGGCCATAATGCGACAATTATCTGGTGATCGGCGAAAGTCTTGAAAATTGAAATCATAATTGTTTTCTTCAGCAATTGGTTGCAATTCTGTTCCGTTACGAAAGTGTCGGACTATTATTCTTCGCACTGAAAAGTAGTTTAATTTTTAAATATAAATTTAGGATAAAATTAATCAATAAATTGATTTTTATTATACTATGTTTGTGTCCGTGAGGTAAACTTGCAATCACATGGAGACCAGTGGCTGGAATTTGTTGTCGATAGCAATTGGGATGACAATGACCGGCCACTGTCACCGATTCCTGTTTGGGTGGAATCAGTAGTCGATAGTCAGCAACTGAACCCATTGTAATGGTGTCGGCGTCGTATTGACGTAACTTTCGGGTGTAAACTACACGTAATCCTGAATTATCATACTTTTTGCCGATTAATTCGGGATTGTCGTAATGAATCTCAAATAAAAAATATTTGGTTTCATCATCTTCACCGATAGGCATTCCCACATTTTCGGGTAAATTAAAAGCATCTCCACCTGTGGCCCAAACCTAATTCAACATTTATCATATCTCAATGTTAATAATAAGTCTACTTATTTTATAATATTATTATACTAATAAAAATTGTTATTATAAATACCATATAAACAGATTGACAATATATGAAATCATACGGCATATTAGCAAAGTCTACACAATTTGCACCTTCATGTGTGGCATACTGTTCCATATGAGTTGAGTTGGGATGAAGACATCGGTAGAGTACCATATGATGAACAAAGGGTGCATTACTTGCCGGTGAAATAATTGGTTCAATCTTTAATATAAATTATTAATTAGATTACAGGAACTTGAAAAATACAAACTCAATTACAAACCCTAATAACATGTATTTTTGATTTAAACGGTGCGATCACTATTTTGCACCAGTAGGTCGTGTCAGAGTCGTTAGGTATGAGCAAATTGTTAGACGTTATGTCCCACATTTCAATGCTATTATTATTATTAAGTTTATCAAAGTTGTGGCCGGGGATCGCCAACAAGTGGACGTGTCGGGCGCCTCTATTATGACCCTTATGTTGTGGCATAGCATAGGGTGAGATAGGTTTCTGGTCACTGTAGGCCCAAATCACTTTAGTTGTGTCTTTAGTGATCTGTAAATCGCTTTCAGTGTCACAACTAAAATAAAATCTTCTAAATGTCATCCAAGTATAGGTCCCGTTGTGTCCCGACTCAAGTAAATGCCAGTCTTGGGAGTCATCTATTGTAGGCAACTCTTCTTCTTCTGCATAACGATCCTAATAATAATAATTTAATTAATTTATTAATAAGAATAATATAGTTAACTACTATTATATAAAAAACTAATTTAGTTTATTATTTATTTATTTATTTATTACACTCCAATTCAATTATTATTATTAGATAATTATTTATATGAAGTATAGAGAAAACAAAATTACAAATAATCATATGATTTGTTATATTTGATAAATATCACAATAAAACATAATATTTATATTAATTACATGAAAATGAGTGACACTGTTGTCATCAATCCAACCAATAACCAGATCACTGCCAGTCATTGCACCATTTGGCGAAATACCGAAACCTACCCAACCCTGGGTGCGGACAACAACATTGAAAGTAATTTGTTGTTTAGTGTCATCAAAATACCACTTTAAGTGGTATTTATTGTGCGGGTCTAACACTATTGAGTGCATCCATTGGCACAAACAAATGGATAACACATTTATAATAATAAATAATTGCAACAAAACTTTCATTTCTTGTAAAGACACTAATTAATAGACAATATGTATAATAATAATTGTATTATATATGTCAATAAGTTAAGCAAATTATATTATGTGAACACATTATTTGACAATTATGTGTCCCTCACTATCTTTGATGTTTTGGCAAACATACAGCACTGGTAGGTTCATAATAGTTAAAGTGTTCATCAAGTGTCACGACTTTTTATTATTATAAAAACTTGCAATCAATATCATATGTAAATAAATGACAAATTTATTTAACAAAATCAATAAAAGAGTTAAATTTATATATAAGTTTAAAATTAAATTTCTTTATAATATTTACATAAAAACTTTTCATTATTTATGCCATTAGACTGCATAAGTAAGAGACTGTAATACACTGAATGTTCAAATACTCGCTGTGAATATTATATGAAAACGCCTTCTTAACCAAATACTTGTGCCCTCAGGGGTATACCAACAGACAAATACAGAAAGAGAGAGAGAGAGAGAGAGAGAGAGAGAGAGAAGAAAGAGAGAGAAAATAAGTGAGTAAGAGATTGAGTGAGTAAGTGAGTGAGTGAGTGAGTAAGTGAGTAAGTGAGTAAGTGAGTAATACCTTGTTTTTATAAAGCATTTTCTGCAAGTATTTCTCTCAAAGTAATGTATAAAATCGTTTTCATTAAGTTATACTTAGCATTACTTTTATAATTATTAATATTTATTAATCATTTAGATTTTGATATTTATATTGACATAAAATATTAATACAAAAATTGCAAATAATATAATAAATACAATATATGTGTAACGCATGTGCTTTACCTCATACTTTGTAAGTATGGTTTTTATTAAGTATTTGAAGTCTACTTTCTCTCAAAGTTTTGTGTTTTTGTTAACTTTAAAAGTCAAGTATAAGTAGTGTTTTTATTAAGAAATTTTGAAAATACTTTGAGAGATTGCTTTATGAAAACAGGGTATAAGTGAGTAAGTGAGTAAGTGAGTAAGTGAGTAAGTGAGTAAGTGAGTAAGTGAGTAAGTGAGTAAGTGAGTAAGTGAGTAAGTGAGTAAGTGAGTAAGTGAGTAAGTGAGTAAGTGAGTAAGTGAGTAAGTGAGTAAGTGAGTAAGTGAGTAAGTGAGTAAGTGAGTAAGTGAGTAAGTGAGTAAGTGAGTAAGTGAGTAAGTGAGTAAGTGAGTAAGTGAGTAAGTGAGTAAGTGAGTAAGTGAGTAAGTGAGTAAGTGAGTAAGTGAGTAAGTGAGTAAGTGAGTAAGTGAGTAAGTGAGTAAGTGAGTAAGTGAGTAAGTGAGTAAGTGAGTGAGTGAGTGAGTGAGTGTGTGTGTGTGTGTGAGAGAGAGAGAGAGAGAGAGTCGACGAACCACTAATAATGCTCATCCGCTCATATATTATAGATTGTCTTTATAAAGGCTGACTTTACAAACTCACACACACACACACACACACACACACACACACACACACACACACACACACACACACAACACTTATCTTAAAATTTTAATTTGTGTTTCAATGCAATCATTTACTAAATGTGATATACAGTACTTTATAAGTTTTATTATATAACTTGTATATCTTTATTCATATGAGAATATGAGACCTGACTTATCCGTTCAGAGCACAGGTCTAACTTTATATACAGTATGTCTGTCCTCTCATTTACTACTGATGCCCACCACTGAGAAATATGCTTCAATTAATTCACTGGCAATAAGTGACATGAATATCAAATACACACACTTTCGTTGTCTTTGTTGCATAAAAACGAGTTTTTAGACATAAAATTTAATTTGCAATCATTTATAATTAAAAAAAAGTTTTCTATAAATTTTAAATTTAAGACATTTTTCATTTAGTTGTGATTTCATTATAAGAATTTTATCTAAATTTTATTTTTCTTTCTTTATTTTTTACTATTGAGTCTTGATTTTTAAAGAGATTATATATATTTATTATACTGTAGTTATCATAACTGCTATTCAATATTATTATAGATATACTGTACACACAGTATAAAGTATATAATTATTTATTACAATATATATATTAAAATTAAATATTTACATTTAATTAAATTTTAAATATTTAATATATGTAAATTGTTATTATCATTATTATTATATCAAAATAATTAAATATTTATATAAAATAATATAAACTGACTACATAAATAAAATCAATATCTATTATATTTGAATTTAATTTATTTTACATTAGTTAACACATATTAATACATAAGACAATTTAATTAAATATTTACTGTAAAAATGTCAAAATAATTATGTATAGTTTAGCAATTTTCTACATTTTTTTATTAGTAATATACGCATGAAAATAAATTATAAGTGAATCACTATATAATTAAAAATGTATGATACGGATCATTAATTTTTTGTAAATAAATTTCTATACTTTAATATCAAAATTTGTTTATATAAAACTATTGGCAAATTTTTAGTTTGTTTTGTAAAAATCAGTTGACAAACAAAAATGATTGGAATAATGATAATAATAATAAAATTTTTATTTTTAACAATAGTTATTACAAATATAGTTAATTCATATCCAAGAAGTGGTGGTTACGCGAGTGGCGGATATTATTTTATGGGAGATACTAGTCATCAGATATTACCAGTTTTAGCCGTTAATAATCAGGACATACAAGTGCTCAATGATCAACAGCCACAGCCACCCAAACAACAATTTTTTATCGTTCCGTATGTTATATATCGAAGAGTATAATAGATATAATTTTTTTTTATTAAAAATTACTAAAACATCTCACCGTTTATATAGTTATTCACGTGTGAAAAGTGATTCTTCTGATGAAAAAAGACAACCAAAAGATGAAACTGAAGATGAAAGTGATGACAATAATCATATGCATACTGAAGAAGAAGATCCGGGCAATAGTTGTGACGCCAGAGATGATGAACCAAACGATGACAGCGACGATGAAGTACAGGAAAGTCAAGACATTCGAGACTCAAAACCTAAGAAGAAGACATACTCTGATGGATATACTATGGGTTGGATTGAGAAGACAGTCGATCACTTCGATTAATACAATTGTAATTATAGTTTTAAATTATAATAATCAATAATTTAATTTTTACCTAATATTTTTGTATACTTTATATCTAAATTTATATACAGTATGTAGTTTTGTAAGTATTTATGATAATAGAATACTATAATATTTAAAAATAAATTAAAGTTTAAAATATATTAAATTGAATTCATATAAAATAAAATAATTTTTACTATAATATTGATATAATTATTAAAACAATTAACTATTTATTATAATTACTTATAAATACCACAAATTATAAGTTTACATTAGAAATCTGTTATTATTATTGTTATTTAAGCGCATTAGAAAAAAATAGTTTCTAAATATAGTATTACTAATTGTATAAAATTTTGTTTATATTGTAAGTTACAATTTGTAACGAGAAAAGTTAAATAACATAAAATGTAAATATTTTCAAAATTTATATATTTTTTGAATGATATACAATATTAAGAATCTGTTTTGAATGTAAAAAATGAAAAATTGATATTTAATGCATAATATATATTACAGTCATAATTGGTGTCGAAACGTGGAGCTAATTAGTAAACTGACTTAAAAATTGTAACTTAAATTAATTAAATTAAAACTAAAACTATCAAAATTTAATAATAAACTGTTGTTTTAGTTTTATTTTTACTAATAAGACTAAAGAAAGTTCACATTTAATTCTAATTAGTTTACATACAAAGTATTAAATTATATTAAACATATGATACTAATCTTAAATTATGTAATTTTGTCCAAAACTATTTTTAAATATACGCAAATGCTATACTTTTATATTAACAATAAAAATAACAATTGATTTTAAAAGTTATTATCATTTACTAACAAAATTGTCCAATTGTCTAAATGGTATTGAAAATAAATACAATTATTTTTAAAAAATAATTTTGTCATCTCTTATTATTTGTCATTTTATTGGTATATAAAAATATGATAACAATAGAAATACAAAAAATACGTTTAAGGTAACACTTTTACCGATCGCATCCAAAATATCCAAAATCAAAATATCCAAACTTATAATATCCAAAAATAAAAATCTAAAATAATAATATCCAAACTTATATCAAAATACATTTGATTCAACTGAATTAATTTAAATAAAAATATCCAAAATTAGTGTAATTACAATTTATAATAATAATTTTACATATTATAAATTTTTATTAAAAATAAATAAATTTGGATATTTTGAATTAGATATTATGATTTGGATATTACAATAGCTTAAAGTTGTAATATTAATTTGAAAAAATTGTTTAACTAAAAAAACTATTACTTTTACTACACCTTTGATTCACTGAAAAGCCATACATGTGTTATGTGTTGTCTTTACGGCAGTTATTGATAAAAAGCAGTTTTTTTGTCACAATGTTTTAAGACAAATACAGTGCCGTTGGAAACACTTGAATATCAGTACAACAATTAATTGCTTTCGACAATATTTGCTGTGATTTTTTACACAAACTATTGCTTTCATTAGTAATTAGATTAATGTCAATAAATGAACTATAATTTGAATCAATAAACAAAATGAAAATTTATGTCATTCCTTACTATAGACCAAAAAACTTTATAATATTAGCAATTGAATTGTAGACTCACTATTATAGTCACTAATAACTATCGCTGATTATTAGCCCGATTTTCCTCATTAATGAACCTATTTATACTAATTAGTGTGAAATTATATTGAAATACTGTTATAAAGTGAAATTGAAAAAATAAATTATTCATCAATTAACGTCTCTCTTAATTAGCACCGGGGTAATTTTTTTGACATATAAGTAAATATAATTTACCAAAATAACGTGTTATTCATTTTAATGAAAATTAAATAAATTTTTTCTTTATATAATATGTTTGTCTATTCAAAGTACAATAGTTTTAAAAGTTTAGACATTTTCAATGTGTACTTTACAGCTTAAAAACACTGTGTATTGTAAGCCTAAATGTTGACTCAAATCACACAAACAATACAATTGAGTTATCTATTTGTCGGAGATTAGCGTTGAAAATGTAATCTCATTTAATTAAAAGTTTTGTTAAAAAACATTATATACAATATATAAACAGTCTTTCAGAGAGTATTATAGCAATATTTTCTTTTGACTTTAATTTTTGCTATTTTTAAAAATGTCTCACTATATACAGTATATATATATAAATGAGTATTGACTTAATTTAATGACCAACAAAACACTTTAATACTTAAACAAAACGAAGAAAAACCATTTTCTCACAAAATATCTTTACCTTCAATAGTATGGACTAAAACTAAGATTTTCATTTAATCTCAGTTTGTGTGTCAGTGTGTATGTGTATGTGTATGTGTATGTGTATGTGTATGTGTATGTGTATGTGTATGTGTATGTGTATGTGTATGTGTATGTGTATGTGTATGTGTATGTGTATGTGTATGTGTATGTGTATGTGTATGTGTATGTGTATGTGTATGTGTATGTGTATGTGTATGTGTATGTGTATGTGTATGTGTATGTGTATGTGTATGTGTATGTGTATGTGTATGTGTATGTGTATGTGTATGTGTATGTGTATGTGTATGTGTATGTGTGCTGTCATTCAATGCGATTGCTGTCACTAAAGAAGTAATTAGTTTTAAGAGCCAAAGACATTCAATAGTTGGACAATAAATAAAAGTAAAGACAATGAATATGTGAAGGAGTTATAAGAGGTGGACAACCATTAGAAAGAATATGTGATAATTAAGTAACTTATATACAGACATGACATACCTTATGATTATATCTATGAAAATCTTAAGACAATAAATAGTTTGCGTGTGTTTTTGATGATTGAAGATATTTGCAAAACATTTCACTAAATATAGCGTATAATAATAATAATAATAATAATAATAATAATACTACTACTGTATTATTACAATATCATTATTATGTTTATTACTCAACAATTTTATTCTAATGTTTTTTGCAGTTATTTTAATCGTTATATTTTATAACATTAACAAACAATTATAAATACTATATATGAAGACTTATATTAATAATTTTCAAGTCATTAAGTACTATATAATAAATATAGTATAAATTAATCTAAAATTCTATATTATATTCTTAATATTCTAATAATATTTTTTTGTTTATATAATTTATATACTGTATAATATGTATGATATAAATACGATATTTCATTGCAATGTTTTGATTTAAATTATCTGTTCAAAAGTATACTGGATAAAAGTGATATGTAAAAGATATATTATATTATAGTTTAAAATAAGATAATAAACAATTTTCATATAAAATAAAATATTGTAATTATCAATTATTTGTTATACTGTCACACAGTCAAACAATTATTGTTTGTTAATTATTATGAATATACTGTATTTTACAGTTCAAAACAATCTTTTTTCTATTAACAGTACAATTATTATCCACAAACTATAGGTACAAATGTCAGGTATTTTAAAAATGTGTAATAATACCCAGTATGTCCTCAAAATTACAAAATATGTAATAATATATGTTCTCAAAATTTACATTATTGATATTCAAACTTAATTATTACGTAAATTTTCAAATAGCTAAACGTAAAATATTTTTAAAAAAAAGTTATGTTTATATCGTCGGTCATTAAATAAATGTAATTTTATATTTTTAAACGATATTTGTTTCAAAACTAATTCACTTTCAAAATCAATGACACAATGTTTAGAAGATTTAACATTAAAAAGTAGTTGTCTTTTTAGACATTTTTTATCAAATATTTAATGAAATAATCATTTTATATATAGTATTATATATCCCATTACTTCTTATAAAAAATTTTATATTATTGATTTGTTATAAAATATAGTTTTTATGAAAACTATCTGTTTTATGTGGAAATGCGTTTTTTATTTTTAAAATATGTATTTATGATATATATGTTTATGTAAAACTAGTGTATATTTTGCTAAAAGGATGCTTATTATATAGTTTGAAACAAATCTAATTCTAGGAAAACTAATGTAAAACATATATTTGTTATTATTATTATTATTATTATCTAAAAATTGATCTGTTATAATATTAAATTGCTTTTTATGATTTATAGTTTTTTTTTCTTTGACCAAATATTCATTTTCAAATCTTATGTATGACTGATCCGATAATCTTAATTAATGAATATTAATTGTTAGTTCGAGTTATATTTTATGCTAAAATTAAAAAATCAATTATAAATTTAATCATAAGTAAATATATATTTTTAAATATATTATACCGTATTATTTACATAATTTAATATTTATCTTCAATGCAATCAAGTAATCCACTTTAAGTATTAACGTTTGAATTATATAAAAGTATATTATTATTACTATATTATTATTAGTAGTAGTTATTAGTATTATTATGAATTGTTTCGAAAGCATAACTAATGAAATTTGATACTAAATTCAATGGTTTAGAGATAGAGACAAACAGACGGGTAGACAGAAAGAGTTTTAATTATTAAAATTATAATATTTGTTATTCATTATGAGTTGAATAAACAATGAATTAAAAGTGTAATATAAATGAACTTTTCATCTATAAATATTAAATATAAATGATATCACTTTTTACTATTTTTATCACTTCTCTTGTAAAACATATATTAATAATGATATTAATGTTTACAGTGAAATATTATATGCAATTTCAATGTCTATACAAATGTATAGTTTTTAATACTTTAATAATGTCATATTATAACATTATTAATATTGCTATGATAAAAATATAAAAAAAAAATTCATCGCTAATTACAATAAATGGCTAATAAAGGGATAACAATGTTTTATGATATTATTATTGTTATGACATACATGTAGTTATGTTGATATATAATATTTTTAATATAGTTTAACTAAGGTATTGATCTTAATTTTTATTAATCAATATTTTTTTCTTCTCGCACTACTCTACTATAAAATACAATATACAGTACACTGTATATCTAATAGCAGTTACTGTTGTGTTTTTTAGTTTCAAGACATGTCCACAAATTAGCATTTATTATTACTACTGCTATAGCTATAAATTTTGTCAAATTATTTGAATTTAAAAATTTTAAAGCAAACTATAATAAATATTATTCAGAAAATAAAAAATAAGAACAAAAATAAATAGAAATTTTATTTTATATTTTGTTGTTGTTTTGTCATAAAATATTACATTTCTTATACAGTAATAATAATAATAATAATAATAATAATAATAATAATAATAATAATAATAAAGAATAGTATCACAGAATATAATGGTAACAAACATTTTATAGATATACTGTACAATTTGAAAAAACTATAACATTAGTGTCTAATGTTTCAATGAAATGCATCAATAATTAAGTATAAAATAAGTTTACATTTTTTTGTTTTGTTGTTTTTTCTTCTTTTACTGACTTTCAATGTCTTCAATGTCTACATTGAGTACTGTTGTCTGACATTACTTGAAATGTTAGTACTGTTAGCGCCGGCAGTGGTGTAGACTATGTATTGAATTGATGACATCGACGATAATGAGCTGAGGGAGCAAACGGTATTGTCTTCATTGCCTTCGACGGCATAAATGCATACGTTATCAATGGGTTCATCCATTTGAAGATCGATTTTTTCGATGTGATCGCGGATAATATCGGCTAATTCATCGGCACCTATATGTTGTTGTTGTTGTGGACCTGTTTTTGATGAGAATATAATTAAACAATTTTTTGGTTTGTATTTATAGTGTCAAACAAAAACAATTGTAAAAATCAAGAATCGATAAGTTATTACACATTAGTTAACAATCACTAACTTAAAGAATTTTTATGCAAATCTTGATCATTACTATCAAAGTTAATGACCACAGAATTTGGATCCAAACGAACTCTTTTTGTTGTTTTCTTCTCCTTTTTAATGCAATCACAACTGAGATCAGCTCTTGTTTTGTCATTCATCTCATATTCATGGCTACCGTTTCCATCAAATGCATGGTTTTCGTCATTGTTTTCTTTATGAGTTTTAGTTATTTTTTGCCTAACTTTTCTCTTATATCTTATATAAATTAAAACTAATGCAATGATAACTATATCAAATAGATAATAAAAAATAAATAAATAATTTAATTAGTAATTAATTGTTATTACTTTATATATAAATAGATACTTACGAAATATGTTTAATATACAAAAAATGATGGCAGAGATGGCAATTGTGCTGAAATTAGAAATAAAATTACTGTTTGTTTGACTGCATTCAGTATTGTTGCTGTTGTGAGGACAGGCACACAGTTTTGATGCCTCAGTCATACGGCACGGTATGTGATGGTTGATATCATTAACAAATTGTTGATAATTATCGTTGATATCACGTAATCTGATGTAAACCACACAATAGTCAGTATGATATGCATTAGTAAAATCAGGTCCGATATCACTGACACCAATCGTCAAATTGATATCTCTTTGATTGATATCCTCGTAGTCCAGAGTTTTGATCACTTTTAGTGAAGCACTGGCTATATTATTGGCAAAGTCGTCGGTATTGGCCGTCAATGAAAAGTGATCACTGAATGCATTGTTTTTAATTATTTTAAACGAAAAGTTATTTGTTTCAAACAAATCCAAATCAATAACAGTCACTATAAGTATAGGCATTTGTGATTGCATTGACTCGACGTTTGTATTATTGATATAAATCTCATCGATATCTGCAAACCACTCGTGTTTTGTAAACTTTGGAGACATATCGTTGACGTCGTTCACTGTTATGGTCACAGTTGTTGTCGCCTATAGTTTCAAATGATATATCAAACTATCATTCATTGAACTGTCATTTATAAGTTAATTCATTCAAATCAAAGCAAATCAAAGCAATGCAATCAAATCATTACTTTAATTGAATCATTTGAATTGATTTGCAAAAGAAATTATTGATTTATTGCAACAAAAAAATAAATCATACCTTAAGTCCTTCGCCATCGCTGGCAATGACTTTGATTTTGTACTGAGAGTGCAATTCTCTGTCGAGACAACAAACTTCAGTTGTGATGACACCGGTATTGGAGTCGATACCAAATATGAGTTCCCCTCTTTCGTTCACCTGATTATCTTTAATATTATAAGTAATCTTTGCATTATTTCCTTCATATGGATCGTCGACATCAATGGCAATAACTGTAGTCACATATTGATCAGTTCTGCCATTTTCAGTAACATTAGCCCAAAAATATTTGTTCACAAAGAAGGGCGGGTTATCGTTAATATCTTTCAAATTGATGATCACATCCGCAAAACCCACTAATTGACCACTTTTAGCATCCTTTGCATGAACAGCCAGTTTCCATTGGGGTTTACCAAATGGCTGATCCCTGTCCAATGCACACAAGGCATAGATCTCACCGGACGTTGAATTTATGGCAAATTTATTTCTTGTTTGATTCTTGAGGTCCACTCCGTCGCCATTAAATGTGTAAATGACTTCTTTGAGCTGATATTTATCATCACTAACTGTCACCTAAATTCATAAATATCAATATTAAAGTTTATTGGAAATGATTATTTAATCATTAATGTTCATTAATATTGATATAATAATAAATAATATAAATTCAGACATATGTCTAATATTATAATATTTTAATATCTTTTCTAATATTGATTGTTTAACACATATTTTATTCAAAGAATATTCTGAATATGAAACAACAAATTAACTTATATAATATGTTTACATATTATGATTATAACTAATCATATTACAGATGCTGTTATCTAATAAATACTTTATATACACATATTTTTGTTTATTTTAGTTGAAATAAATTTTTAGATATAAAAATACACAAATATTATAAATTCAAATTTCTTCATTTCTAACACAATTTTACAAATTATTTTTCGTTTGTGTTATGCATTTATTTAAGGAAAAACCATATTTCTTTAAATTTTGTATTATGTTTACATAATTCAATAAAAAAGTCATAAAATATTTGTGCCTATTATAAAAACAAACAAATATTTTTCCAACTTTATTATATTTACTATTTTACAATACAGAATATTTGGGTCAACTTTTTATAAAAAATGTTTTTTCTTTATATTGAATATACAGTATATAAATACATAATTAAATGAACTGTGAGAAGAGCTATAGATTCTATGGCACTGTTAGGGCATTATTATAGCCTTTAAAATAAGAAGTAAATAAAAATAAAAACAAATTTATGGAGACTTAAAATAATATAAAATCAAAAGGTGTGGAAAAAAGCTAAACAACTATCGAGTTTAACAAACATCTGCATTCAATTGTGTCCACATTTATAGCCAAACAATGCTTATGTCATAACTTTCTCTCAATGAATATACAGAATATTTCTGTGACTGTACTAAATAGGATGTGCTTTATATCATATATAGTGTTATGTGTGTAATGCAAATCTGTTCACAATATTTGCTCAACTAATGTATGTTTCATTGTGTCTCATCTTGAAATGACAACAAAAAACGACCGAAAAAAAACTAAATCTAATTTTCAAACAAAATAACAAATGTTTTTGATTCTCGCATACAGTTATACAATATAATAGTATTGACTGTCTTTTCCGACTTATATAAAACTAAATCTAATACTAAATACTGTAAAAAGAGATGATAGTAAACTGATTATAAAAGATACTATTGATATATATATTATAAATTGTAGTGTAATAAAGGAGAGAGAGAGAGAGAGAGAGAGAGAGAGAGAGAGTTCACAAAGTCTCAAATAAATAAAGACTCTAACCATAACTATTGTCATCATTAAACTCTCTCTCTCTCTCTTTCTTTCTTTCACTCACTCACTCACTCACTCACTCACTCACTCACTCACTCACTCACTCACTCACTCACTCACTCACTCACTCACTCATTCATTCACTCACTCACTCACTCTCTATTTATTTCTCTATTCTCTCTTTTTCTCTCTCTTTCTATTTTTTCTAACTTATTCTTTGTCTTTATTTGTTCACATCTTAAGAATTCAATTAAAACAGTAAAACACTGTTTTTGACTCACAAATCGATTTTTCTTCAGTTTATTATCGTTTAGCAATTTTTTGCACATATTATCATAATTTTATATCTCATGTTTTTCATGTTTTTTTTATCAATCCATATATGTGTCAATATAATACATACTTAACTATTTCAAACCCTATATGCTCTCAACTAACATAAAATTCATTGATATTATTATTATTAGTCGCTTTAACGTTATGTGTGAGTGAATTACACATATGAGTTATATAACATATTAATATACAGTAGATATAGATACACCATAATAATAAATATTTCATATCAATATATAACATCTAATAAACTATATATTAGAAATACAGTAATATATAATTTTTTTATATATATATATTTATTTATAGTACTATATATAACTAGAAAAATAATAAATCCCCAAAAGTTTTTTATGAGTTTTAAGAGTCAAATTTTAAATAAATTAAATTTTTTATTATGTTTCTAATTAAAAAAAATAATATATTTAATTAAATCACTAATATATAAATTTTGTAACAAACCAAACGACGAGGCATAACATTAAATGACAAAATGAATTAAAATTTTTAATGCAGTAATTTTGTCAAATATTACATATACTAATTAAAATATAATTTACATTAATTTATTTATCACTTTAGATATAAATTTGCATATTTCTAAACGCAAAATAAATTTTAATTAACAATTAATTATTTTTAATTGTATTGTATATTATTTAGCACAAATCATTTAAATTCAAATTTCGTATTTAAAATTTCCAATAAAAAAATATATTATCAATAAATATTATAATAAACATTGTTTAGTTGATGGAAAAAATCTAAAAATAAAATATAGAAATAAAATTTATTAAATTAGTTTATTTTCATTCACTATATTTTCCAGTCATATATATTGTTGATCAATAATTGAGTGTTTACTTACAACATGTTAATTTGAATTTGCCGTTAATTTATTGACAAACAAATACAATTAATGTATAGTAATTACAAAAATCTAAATACAATAAAACAATTTATTGGATCATTAAATTTTTAGTCTTTTTTCTTACTCTTAATTATTTATTATTTGCTTAAAGTTTGAACCATTTTCTCTAAATATTTTATTATTCAATCAAGAAATTTTCAGAATTTTTTTCACTAAAATTTATAATGGAATTAAATTTTTAAAAATCAAATAATAACAAAATATATATCATATAAAACTATATTTGAAGTACTAATTTCATGTAATAAATACTAATGATTTAAGTAACACTAACGACAAATCAATATTATATGTAATATAATATTTGATTGATTGCTATTAGTCTACGAAGTATTAGTTAGTATTGAACTTCAGTATAAAATTTATTGTCAATTAATGTCAAACCTGTAAAAGTCTTTTTGGTAGATCTCTGTCGTCTTCTTCCATAATCTCGATCTCAAATGTCGGCCGACTCTGGCGTTCAATGTTTTGGTCGTCACTGAAATGAAATCGTGAATAACTGGCAGTACTGTTGCTTTCATTGGCAATCACACGATATTTATACTGTAATTGTATATAAAATAAATAAAATATTTGATTATAATTTTTTAAATTAATATTTAATTGTATTTTTAGATATGTTTTCTATACTATATATTTATAATATAATTTAAATATACTGTATACTGTAAATTTATATTTAGGATTAATCAAAAGTTTTATATAATACTGGTATGATTTATGTTGACTGTATAAAAGTCAATGAATGGTTAGTTTTAGTTTAAAACAATATTAAAAGATAAAACATTTATATTCAACACAAAAATCCAAGTATTTATAGTATTTATATTTCAATTTCAAAGTTTATCTTCACTTCTTTTGCTAAAATGAACTTATATTTGATTGAATCCCTTTATATGAAATTTTGGGTATAATTTATGATTTTTTATCTCTTTTTTCTTTTCACTCTCTTCTTTCAGTGCATTAAACTCTTAGAGATTTTCATAATTTTATATCTAATAACAAACACATAGAATATTTACTGTACAATATTTTTACATATGATTAAGTACAACATAAGGCTAAACAATAATATATAACATTAATATACAGCTATTTTACTCATAAATGCATACGAATTGAGAGAATCTTTAGATATACTGTATATATGTGTATATTTAGTATATATTATTCAATATATATTAATACAAAATATAAACTATTATTTAAACACAGTCTCACTATATTATTGATTGTTTGATGAATTTTGAAAAAAGAGCTCAATTTAACAATTCATATGTGAATAATTGCTCGGAAATAGTGTACACATAAAAAATATAGCTTTATATGAATTGTACGTTTAATACAAATAATTTATATAATATATCATAAAATATAATAAAATAAAAAATCTATACTATACAGTATAAATATTTCTCTTTTTTGTTATTTATACACTGATCGTTAACCTCAGGCAAAAAAATGTCAATTTTTGTGATTCAATTATCATAAAACTACTAAATATTAGTATATTGTATGTAAGGCTAATATTTAAAATATATATTAAAAATCTATATAAATAAAAATTATGTTAAAATACTATTTTTACTTCTTTGATGAACGTATTGATCGGCGATGAAGTAGTCGACGTTTGATATCTGGATTGTGGTGTTGTTTGTGATATACCAGTGCTTGTGTTGAGCCAAATGTCACCGTTTGAGGGATGCTTTCGCAGTCCATAACGCCTTCGGATAACTGAAACAAATATATTGATAGAAATCATAGCATTTGTATTGAATATAACAATTTATGTATTAAATAATAAATATGTATTTCACTGGTTTTTCCAATATTGCTATATATATAATAACTTATATAATATAGAATTTATCTTTAGTTATATTTAGTGTACAGTATATACAATATATATATATATATAATGTTATGTAAGAGTTTCTCTGTCTCTTAAATTATATTTATATCCCTTCACTATTAAACCAATGCTTTTGATTAATTGAATGCAAAGGCAAGCAAAAGAAATTAATCTCAAAATGAAACGAAAGTTTGTCCTTAACTTATATACCATTTGTGATGACTTAATATGATATCTCTTCTAATCTTTGCCATCAAAACAATTAAATTAAAATTTGAGTTAATTCAATATTAAGTAAATTTACAATATTTTTTATTAATTTAAGATCGCAATTACACTGAATGTCTATTTTTTATATTTCAAAATAAATAAAATAGAGTATATTATTAAAAATTTTGTTTTATTTTTATTATTAATCTAATAATAAAAAATCTATAAATAGTTTTAGTAAATATTAAAGCATAATAAATAAATAGTCATAATTACTATATCATTAATTATCCATTATAATTATTTTCATTTTATGTAGTTTTAAAATTTAATTATAATAAAACATGATATAAATTAAGTTATTGACATTAATTAAATAATCAAATACTTGTAATTATTTTAATTTATTAATATTTTATCAATATATACAATAATTATACATTCATAGATATTATTTTATTATTTGTTTTAACATACACTACTTTCAACTCAATTCAACAATTATTATTAATATTAATAAATATATGACTAAATAATTGTATTTTATTAACATTACTAAAAACTTAAAAGTAATAGTCTATTCAAAAATGTTTTTTTAAAAAAATAATATTTAACAATTAAAAACTTTTTAAGTAATATTAACATTTTACTTATTAAATACTGTTGTTTAGTTATATTAAAATATGATATTTTTCATTAAAAATAGCATATGTCAGCAATTTATTCATATTTATAATTCTCAAAAATAATTTTATTGTTTATTTTATTTTATAATTTCATGAAATAATGAAAAATGTTTTGTTTTATTTTATTTATTATGAAAAGTAAATTATATTTTTTGATAATATAAAATTTTAAAATTAAATTTTACTTTCTTTATATTCTTTGTTTGTCTATATGTCTGTCTTTTTCAGATCCTTTAATATATGATATATACTGTATATACCTCTATATTATGAGTATAAGTGCTTTGTTTGACTTAATTATGCAAATACTCAAAACTCTATTAAAATTGTAGTTTTTAAATAATGTGAAACCATTGCACATAAATTTAAGTGTAAAGTGTAACCATAATAATATATTGCATAATATCTCACATGAGTTAACAGCAAATATTTTAATCAACTCTAAAATTCTATAATAAATAAATAAATAAAAACAATACGAGTAAATGAAATACGAGTGAAATTACATGTTTTAAAGTACTGTATATTTACTTGAATTTATATGTCTTTCTATAGAATTTCATATAATTTTTATAAAAATTTAGAGAATAATAATAAATAATATATTAAAAATAAAATATCACAAAAATATAATAATAATAATAATTTTGCAAAACATACTTTATTTATTTTTTAAACCAGACTTTATTTTTTATATAATATGATTATCTTTTATTTATGATATGCCTGCAAAATGTACAAAATTGTGACAATAATAAATCCTAAAGGCGTCTCAAAATATCATATATTGAATTCCCTATCAAATCATTGTTGATGTTTGTGATGAAACCAATTTAAATAATAATACGACAGACTATTTATTTGTCCGTCTTTTTAAATCTTATGCCTTTAAAAGATTCGGTAATTCTCTCTCTCTCTCTCTCTCTCTCTCTCTCTCTCTCTCTCTCTCTCTCTCTCTCTCTCTCTCTCTCTCTCTCTCTCTCGCTATCAATGTTTGAACAGATATTTCAATACATAAATTCTGTTATCATAAACTTTTAAATAAAAATGCTATAAATGTAACCAATATTTAGGAATCTCGTAATATGTGTGAAAAATATGGTATAATATCTTTCGCTAAAATTCTCATTTATTCAGTAATTTAACTTATTTTAACAAATATAACAATATATGTATATAATATTACAAAATTTATGTCAAAATAGTGTAACTAAATTTTTGAGGATAATTTACGAAAGAAATAAGCTAAAGCATAAGTAATTTTTAAAGATAATTGTTTAACTTTTGTATATTTAACATATATATATATATATATATATATATATATATATATCTGGGTTAAGCAGAGGTAGGGGATAAGGCCATAATGCCCTCCTAAGATAGAGATTTTGGGATTTTACCTCCTAGACTTTTTGTCAAAATTTAAAAAAATTGTCGCTTAAAAATTTTTAAAAATGACTCCCTCCTAAAATTTCGGCGCCAAGGTCGCCAATTTTTTCAAGTTTTAAACATTATAATTTAATTGATTATATTTTATTAATTATTATTATGTTTTTATAAAATATGAATGAAATTATTTAGTAAAAATAAGTAAAATACTTAAAATCACATTAAAATTAAACTAAGTATAAAATTATTTTAATTAAAATATTCAACTAAAAGATTAAAAATTAGCTATTAATTAAAATATCTAAAAATAACTCATAGTGAATATATAAATCTTTATTAATTATTTTTAAATTTTAAATTAAAAATATTTTGAGAAATAATGGAATTTATTGGGAATATTTACCTATTATTCATTGAAATTTAAGAAATTTTTAGGAAATTTCTCTTGACTTCACTTGATTTTGGATTTTTGAACAATGCCGTTTAAAAATGTAATAAATGTCTATATCCCACATTATACCCCTCAAAAATCCAAAACCTTGCTTAGCCCTGAATATATATAGGAACAAAATGGCAAATATCTTATAAACTGTATCTTAAATATTAAAAGATAATGATGTAAATAACAAAAATGCATTTAAAATCATTAGGTTTAAAAATATGCAAAGTATAACATTTTCTAATGTAATTAATTTATAATACAAAACAATAAGCATTTATATATAAAAAATTGTTTCGACCGTTTTGTCACAAATCTTATATATGGAAATGACATTACAGTTAATATATAATATTTTTCCATCAAATACCATGACTACTGTAATATTAAATTACACATTAAAATATTCCTAAAGGATATACATTTTATAAATATAGGACACTATAATATATGAACTTTTTCTAATGATTTTTAAATATATCTCACTTTATATCTATGTTGAAATAATTAAATTTAAATATAATTTATAGCATATATTAAACGTTTTTACAACATAAAAAAGTTAACAATATATATATACTATGTTTCTAATGAAAAGGTAATTAATTTTAAATTATTTAATTACTGTTTTATCAATTATAGCACAATAGAAGTGGGGATTAATGAAATTTATTGAATACTTAGTTAAAGAATTCTAAGTTAAGTTAAGGACTATAAATGACACTAAATATAGGCAAACAATAGGAACCGATAAGTGATTGTCACTTACATTCTTGGAGTTCCTTCGGTGACATCGTTGGGAGTGATGTTAGTTTGGTTTCACCACTACTACTGTTATTCAGGTCTAATGTCGATATATTGTAAGGCAATGTCTCGTTTCTGTCGCCAATACCCACCCGAACATACTTTGTCACTGTATTGATGGACATATCAAACAAACGAAAAAAAGTTAATTTACATATAGCTTATCACGTCATTCACAAACATATCATTATATTATTTTTATCCTATAGTCAACAATATTATTATAATAACGTAATATAAAAAATAAACTTCTTATATATTGAGTGTATAAGGAATAATAATAATTAGGAAATTAAAAATAAATATAAATATCGATTTCTTAAGATATAATAAAATTCTGGTTACTCTAAAAACACACACAGAGAAAGAGAGAGAAAAAGAAAGAGAGAGAGAGAGAGAGAGAGAGTTTGGAAACTCAATAATCTTGTATTTGTTTGGGTACTGAAAACAAGCCTTAAATCTGTATTCAATAAACTCATAAATCAAATAAAAGAATAGAAAAAACTGAATGATTGATGATTTAAACATTTTTGCGACCCTTTCTATCTCTACTCTATTATAATTTATTTAATCGTCAATTAGTTAAATAAAATTACTTTATCTCATACACAGCATATACAATAAATATCACTACAATATACAGTATATACTGTTTAGACAATATAAAGGTTGTAATGGCTTATACCAATTGCATGAATTCATCATTAATTTAAATTTACTGTCTATTATGACCTAAATATTATAAAATAATACTAATTTATGAAATATTATTTTTAATATTATTATTATTATTATTATATATATATATATATATATATATTTTTTTTAAATTTATTCAACAATTTTAATTGACAAATTTAATTTATTTTTAATTTATTTTTACTTCTCTACAATCAATAATAAAATATCAGATTTTTTTGGTAATTAATAAAAAAGGAAACTATTAATTTTCTTTTGTTTTTATTATTAATTGAAATAATTTTACTGATTAAATCATTGATAATTGTTTTTGTAATTAAATTTTTATCCAAAAAATTTTTCATTATTTTTATTCTTACATATTAAATTGCAATATTATGAAACTTTTTTTTGAATATACAATACTTAACTACTGCATATACTATAATATATGCTAAATAATCTATAAAAAATGATATAAATTTTATAATACCAATACAATATCATACAAAAAAACTATAGCAATAGATGAATAGTCAATCTTATGACTATAATTTGTATCTATTTTGTCACATATGGCATGACATCATATATATATAAATCGACCCAAATTACAAAAAGAGTAGAAAATAATAGCAATTTTCTTCTATTGACAGCAAAAAATTTTGTGTTCAAACACTAAATTACTAACTATTAAACGGTTCAATTGAATAGACATTTAAGATTAGAAAAATAAAGATTTTGTATAAAAAGAAAATTACATCTCAATAGAAATAAATAAATAGATATTTGTTTAATTATATTAATATTAGAAGCAAGTATAAAACCATACATAAATTTTGCAATTTATAACATATATATTTCTGTACTATAAAAATATAATTGAAAATTTAACCATCGGTTAAAATTTATTTAATGAACAGAACTGGTATTTTCAGATTTTAGTAATTTTCGTATTTATTTAATGCAAACACCAGTTGTTTTGCTAATTGAGATACAAAATCATAGCAACACATCGGCATTATTATAGCTTTTTGTGTATTAAAATTAATTTTCCATTTAATCTCCTTTTAATTATATTTCAAACATAGTTATTATTATTTTTATTTTTACGATTATCCGCATTATAATTTATACGCTGAATGTATCATATATTGCAACATATAATTTGCAGATATCTTTATTTTCAAGAAAAATTTCATTTTAGTTTTGTTATAATGAGAAATGTCTAACTATTGCTACTCTAACACATGTACTGTATTTATAAGGATTTATTAATATAATATTTTTATTCTAAATTCTCATTATATATTATTTTAATAAGTTTTTTTAATAAAACAAATATCAAATTCAACTCATTAAAAAATACTTATATGTATTATACTTATATTTATTGTAACTTAAATATATAATGTTAACTATTATTTTGTTTTAAATTTTTATTTCTTAAAAATATACTTAAATGAGTTAAATGCTTTTATTAGTTGTTATTTTTATTTTTAGTATTTACTATTTTATTTTTAATGAAAAATAAAATACATTTATAAAACATTGTATTTATTAAGAATAAAAATTTATCAAATAATACAGTTATTTATTAATTAGGAGACTATTTTATAGTAAACTACAATAATATAAATGATTGCTATATTTTGTTTTCAATTATATATATTACTTTTAAATGTAGTGTAAACTCAATTTTATAGTTTTAAAAACCAAAAGCTTATTGAATCAGAAAAGCATTTTATGCATAAAAATAAAATATAGTAAATATAGTAAACCCTTTGAAATATTTGAAAATTAAGTTCAATTATCTAATTTCAAATATAAAAATAAATTAATCTTTCGCTTCAAATACCAAAACATTTTGATTTACTCGATGTTACTAAACATTAATTATTCATTAAAAATATTTTTCATGTATGATTTTTAGTATTATTTAAATATTTTTATTATGTTATCTAAATACTGTATGTAAGTTAAATAAATAATAAATATTATTTACTGTATTTTATACAGAAAATGATAAATAAAAAATTTAGGCAACTAATGCTGACTAGAAATTTACTAAAAAATTAAGTATTAAGATAATTTTGTGTTTTTAATATATGTAGTTATATGTTATAAAAAGATATTAATTTAAATGTTAATATTAAAAATCATTTTAATATAAATAGAAAGTATTTTAGAATATTATCATAATTTTATTAAGCTTTACAAACATATATAATAAAAAATTATATTGGTTTTAATAATCACTATATCGAAATCACTATTACTATCTTAAGAAATCAATTATATTATAATGTATTACAATATTAAATTGTACAAAACTTATATCATAGATAGATTTTTGGAAAAATAGTGTCAAAATATTTCAGTATAATCTTAATTTATTAATTAAAATAATTGCCTTAAATAACAAAATTAAAAATAACTCATTAAATTGGATATAATTGGAAATTTCAGTACATATAAAAAACGTAAAGATATAAAGTTTATATTATAAACAATGCTTTTGATTGAACTTAAAGAGCAGTCTATAGCTTCCTGTTTATGGCTTTTATAGTAAGCTTTGTTTGCAAAGCAATCATTATTTTGTTTTATATATTTTTGGACGTTTCAAGTGATTACTTAAGAGAAAAATGTTTGCCAAACAACATATACTTATTAAATGAGTTGTATGTTTGCTATAATATTTGTTTAAAATAATTATAACTTATGTTATATCTAATTATAACTGATAATACAGTACATAATATAATTAATTTTCTATTTTAATTCATGACTTTAATTAACATAAAAATATATATAATTTTATTAAAATTCTATATTACAGTATACATAATATTATTATACATTTGATGCCATATAAAATGCTAATGTTGTACATGTTTTGATTAAATTATAAAAATCAAATAAAAGTGTGTTTTTCTTAATCTTAACAAATATCATATAATGAATTGTCTGGAAAAAAGTCATGAGTTTTGTCAACTAATTTCTAACCATTTCTTTATAACACAAATGTTTAGTTTGAGTCAAACTGACGAACTCATCGACCGATTCATTCAATTGGTTAGCAATCGATCAAAGAATTATAAGAATTAATTAAATAAACTGACATTTCATTTGCGATTCACCGGACTTTTTATAAGTGTATAAAAAATAATTGTAAATCAATGACCTATACATTAACTATATTTATAAGTATAACAATACATATAAATTGTATTAAAGCAAGTTTTTATATTTATATTATATGAGATCATATTAAATACAAAATAATATCAAAATATAAGACAATAAGTCATACATTTATTTTTTGATCCAAAATCGCTCATAAATGTGAAACAATCTATAAGACATGTATGTATTTCAAAAGATTGGTATATTATTTCTAGTTTATCTCGAATACAGTTTACTACTAGACTTCAAGTCTAACTTATAGTCCATAATATGGACTCAATATAAACCATATAAAGCAATCTAAGAAAGTATTGACATTTGATTTTACGGATCGTTTCTTATGAGTGCAGAAAAAGAAAGAAATAAAGAAAGAAAGAGAGAGAGAGAGAGTCTATGAATTTTATACCAAGATTTTACTGGCCTTTTGGAGTCACCAAAAGATAAATGTCTGAATGAGAGGTGCAGTCAATCACTATATCACAACAACAGTCAGTCGTTGTTTGAAATGGTGTATAAAATTTTATGAAAACCGTGTATTTTCAGTAAATTTTGTTTTTTTGAAAAAGATAAACCTTTTTTTGTTGCTGTCTTTTATGCTCAGATTTTCCCTCTTTTCTCCTAACAATTCAACGCAACCTATTATATCATACATTGAGTCTTTCTTAGAGACTAAATGTAAAAATATTTATTATTTCTTTTTTATATAAAAAGAAAAGTAAAAAAGTAAAAACAAAAAAATGTTTTTAGTTTTAGTTGTTTTTAAATAAAACATTGTTTTCCTATGTCATTAAACATACAAAAAAATATGAAAAAATACACTAAACTTTGACTTAGAGTTTTAGAAAAATTTAAAATATATAAATATAAAGAATTTTATTCATTTGTATTGTTATACTATTATTGTTGTTTTGTTGTTGTCTACCATATCTATATAATAAATGTAGAGTACTATACATATTATATAATATATATGTACTATATATGCATTCCTTAAATGGACTGTAATATACAATATATATGATATGATATTATATTATTTTGCTTTGTTTAGCTTTTCCTTTATTTTGTTAGTATTTTCTGAGTGTTGTATTCTATAAAGTAATACAATTACATTAAAATAATAACTTTTGTGTTCTCTCTCTCTCTCTCTCTCTCTCTCTCTCTCTCTCATATATATATATATATATATAAATATATATATATAAAGAATATATATTTCTTTCACGAAGAATAACTAAAGAATATCAATATAGATAGATCACACATATGTTATACATATTGTGTATACGGTATATACTGTTTATAAATATATATATATATATATATATCTTATAAATAGTATATTTTTTGAAAATAAAAGTGTAATACATATTGAAAAGTAGAGTCCATTTGACATGAAGTGCTTGTATTGCAAAACAACAATTCCATTACAGAATTACTGTTTTGGATTCAATAGTATTGTGAGGTTTGGGTATCCGATATACAGAAAACACTTTATTTTCATGATTTCACTCTAACTTAAAGTTGGTTTTAGGATAATATTTTTTTGTGCGCCACTAGTTTTGCACTATATTTAGATAAATTACTTTCTCTTTTTTTCTGTCTGTGCTTTACTTTTATTTAGAAAGCAAATAAAAGCTTATAATTTTAGGTTTTGTGTGTGTATTGGCAGTCAAGTAAATGGCATCGTGATGTACAAGACGTTTAAAATATTATAAAACTTGTAATTTTCGGTCTATTTATGGTTCAGGGAATCCAAAAAAGCCTTCTTTACCAACAAAACAATATTTATACAATACATAAGGTTATAGACACTTATTGATAGACTTCATGTTATAGAGTGTGTGAATTAGGAAAATACAAGAATATTCTGCACAAAAAAATCTAAAGACATGTCTTGAATTTTATATAAAGTTAGCGAATATTTTGATTAAAATTCAATACATTTGATTAAAGAATAATTCAATGGCCGTCACATCTATGACATGAATTGACAACATATAAGAATATTTTGTTATTTATTTTATCAAACAATTATCTTAATTAAAACACAGATATTCTTTAGCCTAATATCATCCATCAGTCATAGTTTTTCCATTAGTAAACTCAGTCATTAAACGCAAGCTCCGGTATGTGTGAGTCTATATTATATATGAGTGCAAATAAGCGAGTGAGTGAGTGAGTGAGTGAGTAAGGAAATAAGTTACAATTGTTAGATGTTATGAGTTTTGGTCTCCACATTAATCTTATGTCCATTCAATGGAAACAACTATTTATGACTAACAATATTACATTTTATATATTACAACATATAAAATGTTATTAATTATATACAATTAAGGTATGAAATGTTTACTCATATAATAGCTTTTCCTATCACTGCTTATAATCAAAATCTAATATTTCATATAAAATTAATATCAATGTATTAGTGATAAACAAAAATATCATTATAATAAACAAATGATGATTAGAAGTGTTTACAAACTTATTATTGTATTAATTTATATACAAAACTAATGAAAATTCAAAAAATATTATCTTTTTATTTATGATTGAATATAATATTACAATAGATTAAAAATAAAAATTTATACAACATTTCGTTTTCTTATGTATATTATAATAAGATAAGTTAAAAAGTTATTTAAATTTATAATATAAAATATTTCAGAATATTAATCAAAATTTTGTGTCATTTAATATTTTTTCAGTCTTAAGTTAATAGTATTGGCAGAAAATCAAAAAAATTTATACATAATTCAAATGAATCAATTCAATAAACAAAATAATAAAACTTAATGATATTATTTATATAAATAAAAGTTAGTGGACTCATAAAGTGTATTACAATGACAGTAAATTAATAGCTTTTTATATTAACTGAAATTTTTAAAAATTAGTTTAAGCTTAGAAAATTTTTATAATAATGCAATTCTATATAAATTTTTAGAGTTATATTATAAATTTTGAATAATAATTATTCATTATAATAATAACCATTTAGTTAAAAAAAACTAATTTTAAATTTATTCATTTGTTTGCTAAACACGAAATGGTTTTGTCATTTATTATGAACTTAAACTATGCAAATATTGTGTGTATAACTAGTTTATTGCTATAATCTTGATAAATAACAGGAAAATAAATTTTAAAATTTTGTTTTAAAAAAATATTTATTTATTTATATTCATTTAGATATTTTTTAATAAATAAAAATCATAATATGAAAAATAAAAAATATTTTTTATCTCAAAATATACTTTAAATGCAAAATTTTAGTGAAAATAATGGTCGACTAATTCAAAAAACAAAATTTAAAATTCAATATTTTTGAATCAATTTTTATTCACATTATTTGGTGTATATTTTTTCTATATATAAGTTTTGATATGTGTATACATATATATATATATATATATATATATAAATCAAAAATCGGAAATAAAACAATATGTCATAATTTATTTGCTGTCAAATAAAATGTAACTCCAGAAACACTATTTCCCTATACAACCATATTATTCACAATCATATCTTATCATACAATATAAGGCCCAATGCAGGGAACAGTCGTTTAACTGGTACGCTGTTGACTCCGGCCTTTCAAGATATGACAATAACTATATTATTCACAAAAAAAAAGTTTTTTGATATTTTATTTTTATTATAAAAATATAACTTTTTTTATTCACTTTATTTCAATTTTTATAAATAAAAGTATTATTGAAATATAAGTTACGAAAATAATTACTTAACTTTATTTTTTTTAAGTAAATGATGAACAAAAAAATACATTTGAATTTTTGTTTCATTATAATTAATTACAAATTTGATAAATATATGACAAAATGTCAAAACTATAAACAAGTAACTGACAGATGAACCAATGGTTTTCAAGAAATGGTAAACACATATATGTCTTCATATTGTTTGATAAATAGAAAATGTATTCCCAAAGCATTGGATGCATACCTGAGAGTGTATTACTATTTCAATTAAATTTGTGCCAAAACTCTACGACTTTAACAATAATGATAAAAAACTCTCTATTTTTTAAATTAGTTGTCATAAGTGGTAAACGACAAAAACAACGACTAAACAGACAACAAAATTATAACTAAAAGTGTCTATCCTTTCGGTCACACCATTCAGTATCATTCAGAGCACATACTAATAAAAATTCTATAATCTCTCTCTTTCTCATCTGATGACTCGCTCTCTCTCTCTCTCTCTCTCCATCTCTCTCTCTCCATCTCTCTCTCTCCATCTCTCTCTCTCTCTCTCTCTCTCTCTCTCTCTCTCTCTCTCTCTCTCTCTCACACACACACACATACACAATGTCTCACTCTTTTAGCTTTTTAATGTACATCACAAATACAATAAGGATTGAGTCAATTGTTTGTAGACCTATAAGAAAATACTCATTCAGATAGTATTTGTTGTGTTAAGAGATAAGTATATTATTGTCGAGAATGGGGTTAATTTAGTTCTCTTTTATTATTATTATATAACACATGAAAAATAAAAATAATGAAAGCAATAAAAATTGGTCTCAAAATGTTTCTGATGTTATCCTCCATTGAATTTTTATTAAAAAACATTTTACTTTTCAATATCTCAAATCACAAAAGTCTTTAACTATTCATTTAATAACATTTATTCTAACAAATCACTCACAAAACTCCCTCAAAGTTCTTTGTATTAATTTATTTACCAAACAGTTTCTTTACACTAAACTTATATCGTATATAAGTATATATATTATATATAATTTATATTAAATTCTTATACGTTAAATGCATCAATGAATTAAAATAATTAGTTGTTTTTGTGGCTTACTATTAATTATAAGCATAAACATAAAATTACAGCAAAAAACAGAATAAAAATTACAATTAGATATTATATCGGCTTTAGTGTTAATACATATTTTTTTATTAACTAAAAATTTTTCAGATATATTATATATAAATCTCATCACAACAATTATTTTTCATAAAAATCTTCTATTCATTAGAGATGAAAAATTGTTGTTTGTAACCAAAAATTTATTATTTTTATTTATAATTAAATTAATGACATCATAAAATGTACAAATTTTTATAATTAGTCACTTATATTGCATTATTTATATTCTATATGTACTATATATTAATACAAGTAATAACAATAATAATGAGATTACATAAGAAATGAACAAAAATAAATGTTATATTTATATGTTATATGAATATAATAGTTATAATAAATAAAGTGCATCATAATTATTCATGCTTAACTATAGTGAGCTTGGTCATATACATTTGTTATATAAGTATAAGTTATAATAAGAAATAAAGTAATAAAAATGAGATGACATGTATGGCAGACATACCCAAATAGGTTGAGGCACCGGTCAATATTAGCAAGACTTTCAGTGCGTCCAACATTACCAGCAATTGATTGCTATTTGGGATCTGATTGCCCAACACATACACAACATGGACATCACCATCAATAACTTAATAATAACAAAAACAGAAACAACAACAACGAAAACAATCCCAATCTCTAAAAATAATAGCGGATATTAAAAATTAAAATTTTAGTAATCATTAAAAAATATTTAGCGTTAAAAAAAATTTTAAACTTTAATTTCGTTTACTTTTTTTAATTATTTAGATGTGAAATCCAGTGATACCTTTAATCTTCATTTCATTAATATATTTTCATTCACTTTATATTTATTTATTATATAATATTATTTACAAACATACAGACATATACTCACAACTTATAACAAATTTTGATATATAGTGGTAATGTTTTTTAGATATATATAAAAATAGTTTAATTGTAATATAATAAATCAAATGTTTGTGCGTTTGAACCTTTGATAATATTTATCTATAATAACACACAAAACGATAAAACGTCAGTTAATGCAATGTCTGTGTAAGCAATGGTCCTTTTAATCGACTTTTAAATATATCCATTTGATGGTTCAAAACTTGTTAACAATTTTTCAATTTTTTCTGATTATTTATACTTTAGTGAAAGTAAGTGAGTTGTTTGTGTTATTGTTGTTGTTGTTGTGTGAGATAAAGTTAAAAAATAGTTAAATATCTCAAAAGTGACCACAAATTGACTTCTTGTAACTGAAGAGATAAGTCATCGGAAAATGTCATTTCGTAGTTGGCTTTTGAAAAATATTTACAAACAAACAGATTGTTGTGTTCACAGCACCGGAATATTCTTAAACATACACAAAGAATAAGTCATATAATATAAGACAATAGATATAAATGTAATCTCTAATGGTTTCTGCAAATAAATGTAAAGAATTTTTATGAAAAAAATTATAAAGTGTACTAATGTTATAAGTCATAGCCTATAAGTTATAGGCTATAAAGTTATTATATAAATTATATTAGTAGTATTAATAAATAAATAAAAAATTTAATACTTGAATAGGTAATATTTTGTGTTAAATAAAAAATGAAATAAAAAAGATTTATAACAAGATTTTAATTTATTAAGCAATACAAACAGCAAATATCATACTATATATGCGAAACAAAAATTTTAAATTTTAAATCATATGGCATTTGTATTTGTAGTATAAATATATTTAGGTTTACAGTGATTTCTTTTATATATATATATATATATATATAAATTCAAACCAACTAAACATACATTTGATATGAGAAATGGTTTTATTATTCAATATTTTTGTGAACTGAAAGAAAAATGAGAGTCAGGTTTGAGTCACATAATCCTAAATAAGAGTCTAAATATGACTTAAACATCGGTAATGTTGATAATAGACACTACTGTTTATTATTGGGTAACAGTGTTGTTGTTGAATAAGACCTTAAGTCTAAAAAAAATATTGTTATGACCACAAAAAAGCAATAAACAAACGAATTGATACACACTTTATGTCTAATTCTTATGAGAATAACTATAGTCTTAACAAACAATAGTATAGTTTGTGTTGCATTGAGTTTTAACTTACTCTATGAAACTCAATAGCAAAGCATATCTTATATAACATTACCACTAAATCACTTGAGACACAGTTAAAGATATATATATATAACAAGAGAGTTGGTCTATATATTTATTTAACTTTATTTATCTAACATATAAAACTTTTATTATCAGATATATAATACTTAATTTATTAGTATATAGTGATCAAAGTATATCTATATATAATTTATATATAAATATAAATATATAACAAACATATTGTCCACATCTTAAACCGTTGTTTTATATTAGACGTGATGTATATTAACACTGGTTTTTTAAGAGGACGGGAATCACTATAGATATCACTAAACAGTAATAATCAGATACCAAATGCAATAACAATGCGCTACTAAATTCATACTTCAAGGCATTCATATATACAGTATATCTCTATATAACGGTATATATGCACCAACTCTTCCATACACTCGGAGATCAATAGACTGACAACTCGGGAGAGCACCGGCATGTAGTCTATATCAATGTTAGCTGCCTGTGCTCTAAACTCTGGTGATGGTTAAGACCAGTAAGCGAGTGATGCGCTGAGCAAACACTACACATATAACACGCGTCGACACCAATTCATTGCATTTTGATGAACACTATTGCCAACACTTATAGTATATTTATTTATTATATATTTATATATATATTGGTCTCTCAAGTTTACAAACATTTTGACTACCAGTGACTTCAAAATTATAACTTTTATGACAATCTTTATAATAAATAACAATAAAAAATTTTGACTACTCTTTTGTTGTGATTAATTACACTTTTGTCTCATGTAATAAATCATTAAAAAATTATAAATGTAATACTATTACTATACAGTATACTGTTATACAATGTGTGTAACATTAATTAAAAATTGACTAAAATTAAATATAAATAATTTTACTCGAAATTTTGTTTAGTTATTGTTAAACTATTAAATATTGCATAACAATATAATATTAGTAATTTTTTTATTATACATAATATTTAATAAATCAATTAAAAATAAATAACACCTAATAACAAATGTCATTAATTTCCTATACAGTATACATATAATTTCATATTTACTGTATAAACTTATTTATGATGTACTGTAGATTAAATTGGGATTATAGCAATAAATTACTTTAATCATTATAGTAAATGATGTTTTCAAGTTTAGTATACATTTATAGATATCTCAACACTATAAGATTTAACAACTAATTTGCATATTAAAATAATTATTCATTATTGTATAGTATTCATTTAAATCATGTTATATCCCAACATTTTATTGTGATTTAATATAAAATAATTATATTTTAAAATCTCAAACATTTATTATTTGCATATAATAAATATATTTTTTTGTAAATATTCTTATTTTTTATTTGAAAAAAATATTAATTAAGTTATAAATTACTAAAAATTCTTTAGATTTATTATCTATAAATTTAGTGAGCATCGCATGAATTTTAAATTAAAGTATGTAATTTCACTCTTAAAAATAGTAGATATCACATATACTTATAGATATACTGAATAGCATATTTTATTATTATTATATTACATATATATACCGGTTTATATATATATATAATTTATATAATTTTTGAGTGAATTTTATTAATCATTTATAAAGCATAAAACATCAAAACTAAAATGATTTGTTGGTTTCAGATAGAGAGTAGATTTTTATATAAGTTTACTCAAAACCATTACTACTGTTTTGTAAACTACTAGTACTTTGAGTTACTTGAACTGTACTATTGCTGTCTGTTTTCAATGGTTTAGGATATGTACTCTAATGAGCACTAGAGTTGAATTATATGATCGGATTTAAAAAGATCTAAATTGTGAAAGAATTACATTAAGAAAAACAGAATATTCTGTGGGTATTACATATATATTGTCTGATAAGAAGTTCTATAAGTGTTTTATACATAAAACAACACGAAATGAGATATTTTAACTTTTATACTAATATTTCCCTAAAGAAAATTCTTGATTCTGTCTCCCAATAGAAGATAGTAATGTATGAAACGATTTCCAATGAATTTTTTCAACATTTTAGAGAACAAAGTATTTTGTGCTAAATTAGTCAAAAAAGTCATTTATTTCCTTAAAACCCGAGTCCAGAGAGAAATTGCCAGAAAATAATGGAAAACAGTATACTCTCAGAGACATTGTCTTTTAAAAGACTGCCAAACCATTCATTTGATGAATAGCTGTATTGACTAACTGTTCGTATAAATGGCTTTAAATCAAATACTGATAACTTTTTTTGTGGTTCACTACCATAGACTTAACATTTACTACAGTATACAAACACTCACTGTATTTCAATATCTCATATTTACTACAATTTTAGGACAAACTTTGCTTAAACTCTACTTTTATGCGATACTGTTGTTAGTGTTCTTCAATATTCTTGTATTTGGTTTATGTCTTCAATTGTATCACTGATTCTTAACAATGATATCAACAATTCTATAGTTATTTTAGTTTTGCGACAAATAAAATATGGCTTTACTTAAGGCCTACTATTATAATATATAAATGACATTCAACTATGTTTGTGTGTGTGTGTAGAGAGAGAGAGAGAGAGAGAGAGAGAGAGAGAGAGAGAGAGAGAGTCTAATATTAGCCCAAAATGAATAAAATGAGACCTAAATATCAAAAAAGACGAACATCTATGCCATCGTTATTATAAATGCGATTGCATTGGTTTTGTGTATATTATATAAATTTTTATACTGAAAACAGAATATATTTAAATATATTTATATATTATTTACATTAAATTTCTACACATCAATAACTAAAATTCAATGTAATATTTATATAAATATATATAAATAATATTTTTGAAATTTATTATAAAGTACTTTGGTATTTAAAAACTAGTGATGTGATAAAAATTTAATTATATAATACGCAATATTTGAAAATATAAAAAATAAAAATTGTAAAGACGTGTCAGCCTAAAGCAGATCACACTTTATTGATGATATAATTTTGTAGATTATATTAAATAATATTAAAAAGTAAATATAAGTTTATTTATATATTGAATGTGAAAGTTTGACATTTAATTCAATTGAATGAACCGACACTCAAATTGTTTAAACTATTTCTAGGATTGACCGGACAGTTGACTCTCCTATAATGTAATATATTTTTTGAAACCGAAAATTGTGTCTTAAAAAAACAAGAATTAATGTTCACATTATATAATAATAGCATAAAAATGTGAAAACTTTAGCACTTTTTCTTTCTTTTTCATACTTTTTAAATGTTTATATATTTTTTTGTCAACAAAAAAAGCGTTGCATTTTTGAGCTTATATTTTATTATCATTATTTTTAATGTGTCAAACAGTTTCAACTCTCCTATTCTCGCCTAAACAATATCATATGGCTCTGGGATCTCTATTATTGATAAACACACACAAATACATACACTTACTCGCGCACTGGTAGATATCGATTGTTTGCCGTTTTCTCTCATACACTCTATTGTTGTAACTGAAAAACCATTATCTAGTTAATGATGGGCTTTTAAAAAAGATACAGAAGCGTCAAAATGTGCAAAATTATCCATAAAATACAAAATGCATTTGACTCTTATGAATATTATACGATAAACGGTCAAATCCTTATGACTAACTCTGCGCTTATAAATTATAATATATATACAAACTTATATAGAAAACACAAACTTATCCTTAAATACGGTTTATGTCTCATAATGAGTCTTATAATTTTATGATATATAAAGATATCAAACTTTTTCAACTATTGTTATAAATGGTATAAATGTTATGTGCTGTAAAAAATATATAAAATAAATGTATTAATAAATTTTTGTATTAAACAATCAAATATACCAAATATGAACCTCAAATGTATAACAAATTCAATTCACAATATTAATCCGTCACTATTTCTTTTTGTTAGAAATATAAGTATACCATTAGTAGAAATAACATAATAAATATAACATAAATTATTAAAACAAATTCTATACAATAAAAAAGACAAGTTTTTTATTCAACAATAATTTATATAAAATTGAACATCTAAATTTTCAATATTTATATATATTTAAATTTATTTTATATACATATACTTCTACTTCTAAAAGTAGCTCCTATCTGAATTTGAAATGTCCGTGTCTGACCAATTTTAATTTTTTTTAAATTTAAAGTTGTGATTTAAAAATCAAATATCATATCAACAAAAAAAAGAATATGAATGTCTAATCAACTCTTTTGGGTCAACAACTGACACTATTGTGACAATAACTGAAAACCTTAAAACCCATTGAACTCCTTGACCACAATTAAGCAGCAAATCTATTAAAATTATATAAAAATGAAATTTTATACAAAATAATGGCTACTAGAAGTTCGCCTGACAATGCTAGGCTTATCCTTCACACCTGATCTTAATATACTTTCTAAATACTAATTCTATACATTTCTAATAATATAACATCCATTTTCTATATTATCTATTAAATATTAGTTGAATACAATAACATAGATATCAATAAATTATAATTTAAATTCCTTAACTGTGTTACCGTAATTATAGCATTTAAATTATATACCTCTATATTGTATATACTGTTTAATAACAATTAAAAATAATTATATATATAAATTTTTCTATAGTATTATACAATATGTAATAGCATGTATATGCAATTCACTAAAAACAAGTTTTGTATCTTTTGTATAAAAAACTTTCGATAATTTGATTAATATAGTATTCATAGTATTCATGAATTAGTGTAAAACATAAATAAAAGTCAATAACAAAATCATGTGTTTTTGTCATCAAAATAAACATAAATAAAAGTTAATGTAATTTTATGTGTCATTTATAGACATTTCTTTAATTAGAAATCAATACAAAACCAAAACTACAAATCTATATAAAAATGATTAAAAATACAACACAAACAGTGATGGTATATATGATCACAACATCACAACTCTATAATTATTTATTAATGAAATAATTTTGTCGATAAAACTTGAGTTCAGCTATACTTTCATTGATGTCATCGATGGCTCTGTGAGTCAACGCTTTCTTAAAGCTTTCATCCTTTTTAAACCAAATTCGGATCAACTCTTTAATTGTCGACACGTCTATTGTCCGATAGTGAAGACATGACGCAAATTTTGGTAAATATTTGTTGAGAAAAAGTCTATCATAACCTGTAAGATATCACCAATAGATCCATTACTTTAAGAAACTTTAAGTAACCAAAGATAACATGTTATGAATGTAATCACTTACTGACTGAATTACCGGCCAAAAGACCGTTTTTGATATTCAGTTCATACATGGCTTCGTACAGCTTTTTGTCCACTTCCTCGACAGTCAACTGTGATTCTAGACATTGCTTTACGAGACCCGTTTGATTGTGAGTCTTCACACACCAATCGTTCATTGAATCCAATATATGTTTATCAGTTTTGATGACAAACGGACCAAATTGTTTGATCTGTTGATTGATTGGTTCGTATGTACTATCAGTAAGTATACAATAAAATCAAAGTCATAGCAGAAGACCTACCGTTTCGAGATTACCATTCGTCACGACAACTGCTACCTCCAGAAGTCGGTCGACATTAACGTCGAGTCCAGACATCTCGCAGTCGACCCAAACCAACTTCTTGCCTAAGAATTCATTCTTCAGAGTCGACGTCACCGCTGAAGACAAGGTCCGTGCTGTCAGTAAAAGTGGTTTAACATTATTAATGGCCGAAACACTATGGATCAGCCTCTGGACTAACTGAGACATTGATATCACAAAAATTACAACTGTTTTCACAACACTTGTAATCACTTATGCAATGCTTTGGTGTCCTTCTTCAGTGACACCATTAGTTTTCTGCATAACTGTTCACCAATAAGTTTAGCATATCTTACCACTCATTTTGGATCAATTGATTTAATTATATTGAAAACCCAATTGACTGTCAATTTATTAGTCGCGTAACGCGTGTAATGAAATCAAATTGCGGTCAAAAAACACAAAAATATATTAACGTAAAACAACTGCAAGTTTTTTGTTATCTATAATAAATTACGTCATATATATTGATAACACTATCGATTCCCTGCTTATTGAAAAATATGTAAATTATGTTAGAAATTATATGACGTTTTTTATGTCATACTTTTTATTAGTACAATTGATTACAATATTTTATTTGCAAATTAATATTATTTTTCAATGTATTGTTTGAACAGTTATTTATGATATTTTATCCCAAAAACAAAGTTGTTTTGCAAAGTGATTGTTGACAACAAAACACGTGGCAAACAGTGCTTTCAATTTAGTTGATTGTCATTAACGGTAGTTATTGGCCGCGCGTGCAAAACAATGGAAAGTTTGGCCAAACAGTTGGTCACCTTTTACGACAAGAACTATACTTATGTGGCAATTATTGTGGCCGTCATTGCCGTTGTTTTACCGATACGTGAGTTTTGTAACATATTTTTTGTATATCAATATAACACTTTAAGATAATAGTTCTGTTTGTATGCGTGCACATTTCATCAACAACCATATTTTAATTCAAATCTAAAAATGTATTGTTATATTTTCAATTATTATTTAAAGTAATGTTATTTCTATTGTAAATTTTAAATGATTATTGAGCTCAGGTAGGTTTTAGGGATAGGTAGGCAGATGCTGTGTAATACATATTGCTATATTCTATAAGTCACACGGCACCGGGAGGTTAGCTACCTGTGCTAAATTTTTGTAAAATTTCCTCAAATGCAAAAATTTCCAATTTGTGTGAAAATTTTGAATTTTTATTGAAAGCAATGTTATTTCTATAGGAAATTTTAAATGTTTATTTAGCACTGGTAGGTTTTAAGGACAGGTAGGCAGGTGTTGTGTAATTACACTTTGCTATATTGTGTGAGTTTTAGGGCACCGGGAGGTAAGCTACCTGTGCTAAATTTTTGTAAAATTTTCTCAAATGCAAAAACGATTAAATTTTCAATTTTTATTAAAATTATTTAAATTTATATAAAAACTAAAAATTCTCAAAAGTTTAGACCAAATAATGTCTAATGGTTCAGTAGTTTTGTTACATTAGGTTATGTAGTAGTTGTATAAACAAATTAAGTCTCATTCAAACTACTTATGATGAATATTTTAAAATTAGTAAAAGAATTGCACGGCTATAGACGTTGCGCGGGTTAAACTAGTTTTGTTTATTATATTATTTTGTCTTTTTTTTGGTCACAAAATCCAGTCTTTTATTACATCTTCTCGAGAAAATCACAACGAAATGCAGTCATTTTGGTCGGTCTCTCAGACGCCGGCAAAACAGTTCTCTTCAGTCAGGTATAGATCTATTGAATCAATTGTCTAATCTATGAATTAATTTATCTGTTATTATCTATTTTCTGATCAGTTGATTGCCAAGAAGTTTGTGACAACAGTGACATCAATGCAACAGATATCAGCCTTTTTGAAGTTAACAAATGGAAAGACCATTGAATTGATAGATATTCCGGGCTTTGAGAGACTGCGGATGAAATATTTTGACGATTATAAAGTTCGGGCAAAAGCTGTCATATTTGTCATCGACAGCACAGACTTTGCCTCAAATGGTAAAGATGTGGCAGATCTTTGTTACAACTATTTGGTGGATCTATTTGTATCATCCAATCGCATACCATTTCTGATGGCTTGTACTAAACAAGACGAAACACGTGCCAAGTCATCCAAAGTGATTCAGAAACAACTCGAGAGAGAAATGTATGTTTAGTTTAAATTAAAGTTATTTTTTATGAATTAATTTTTTGTATTTTGTTTGCCAGTACTACCATTCGTGAGACACGTATCGGTGCTCTCAGCTCTACCGGTGATGACGACTCGTTTCGGGCTATTCTTGGAAAACCTAACAAAGAATTTTCATTTAATGATATTAAAAATCCTATCGATTTTATTGACTGTAGTGCCGCTGAAAGCAATACACAATTAGATTCAGTACTTAATTGGATTAAAAGTATTGCTTAATTTATTTTAATTTGTAAAATCCATTTATAAACGATGTTTTTTTTTGTATATTATTTTATCATATTTAACACAATAAATTTATAATCGTACCCTAATATAAATTTATAAATTAATTAATAAAATGATAATTAAATTACAAAAATGTACTGATTGTACTCAGTTTAATGAATTGGTGATAATTGCATTGTAACTGAAATATGTAGTGTTTATTTTTGTTTAATTATTTATCATAATTTTTATTTATTAAAATCAGTGATTTACTGGTGAAAGTCTATCGTTGCACTCATAAGATATAATATCTAATCATAAAGTTTAGAAACGTTAAGAAAGTAAACTAACTTTGAAAATGTTTTCTTTAACAAACTCTTGAGTAGTTAGTAGTACTAACTTAGAGTACTGTTTAATAAATTTTCATAAAGTTATTGTTTTGAACTTATTATATAATAACAGCAACAATGAGCTCAATAACCAGTGAATTCAATGAAGTTGACGTTAAGTTCAGCCAAAATAATGCAGTGTTTGATACGCCGCCCACTTATGAGGAGGTCATCACTGGATCGTTTGCATTGAAAGGCAAGAAGAAGACCACTTCGACCACAAAAACCCGTAACACTCATCCGGATTCAGATCTTATTGAAATGATTTACGGTTCATACGGATCGGCTAACAATCGCAACAATCAAATGGCACCTAAAGCTAGAAACAGATCAAGAAAGTTATGTTTTTGTTGGCCATTGATTTTTTAATATCAATTAAATAGTTTAATAATTATTTCTAATTCTAGAAATTTAATATCTATTTTCTTGTTTAGATTATTTAATAATACTGTACATTAATATTATATACTGTATTAAGAAATATTTAATTTTATTTAAAACATTTAAATTTTTAATGTTTTCATGAATAATATTATTATTTAATGTTGATTAAGTACTTTATTACTTTATACTATACAGTAGAGTCTATAGTACCGCTATTTGTTTTTAAAATATACCATATTATTAATATTTAATTTCTACGATAAAACATTTGTTTTATTAAAACTTATTTTTATTTTATTATAATTTTATTTTATTAACTGTATTACATCTATAAAAAAAATTCTAATATATAATAATATTATATAATGTTTAGAATAAAAAACTAAATTAAAAAACCAAATGTTATTTATTAATTTTTGATTACAATAAATTGGAATAATTACAGTAATTATTTACAACAACAAAATTATAATAAATTTATTTAACATATGATTAAAAAATTGATTAGTAGTAATACATATAATATATATATTATATAGTATAACTGTATAAGCACAAAAATTTTGTCCGACGAGGCGGATTTGAACCACCGACCTAAGGATGTCTATTGCAATGCTACTACAGTCCTCCGCTCTACCAACTGAGCTATCGTCGGATATAAATATAAACTGAGTTATTGTAATATATAAATATTTTATAATCTTAAAAATAATAATTTAAAAAAACTGGTTATTAATTTTATTATAAATTATATTATATTTAATATATTTCACATTTTTGTTTTATCTTATAAATCAGATTATTTACTTTAATAAACATATGGCAAAAATAATATTTTTATAATTTTTAATCAACTGTATTTATTCAATACTATCGACAAAATTGTAAAAATCACATGTTTTATATTTTGATAAATACTGTATAACACAGTAGTACTGTATACTTAACAACAAAAAAAAAGAAAAAAAGATTAGTTAAAATCATGAATTATAAATTATTTTATTAATATTTTAGAAACAAAAATAATTTCCGATAATTAATTTGATTTTTATTTGTTAAGTAAATGATTTTTAATATATTTGTTAATAATATTTGAATTTCTATTGAAGCAGAAATGTCTTCCGTCTCTAATTAAAATCAATTTACACCAACTCTTGCGGACCGAATCCTTCTCCAAAGTTTTATTATCGGAGTATATAATGTAATCGTTGTCCACAACACCCAACTCATCGACAAACTGTTTAACGGCTTTCTTATGTATGGTTTTGTCGCGTTCACCAAATACTACAAGAGTTGGTATTTTCTCTTTTCTTAAATATTTAATTCGCTGATGAAGTTCGTCTGGATTGACACCACTAGCATATATGGACACAAATAACAGCTGATCCACATTTGGATATTCAATGGGATAATAAAATTTATGGGCATATTTGTGAACTTTTAATACTTCTAAGAATTTGATTCGTGTTTCCGTTTTTGCAAAATTTGATAAAAATTTGCTAATATTTAAGTAGTGTTTTTGATGCCAAAGAGGTTGCGGACAAAATAAACCCAAAGATTTGATAACAAGATTTCTTGGCTATAGTTGTGAAATATAAATAATATAATGATATATAATATAAATATTTATTGATAAATAAGTGTTAGTATTAATGATATTTACATACATCAGACCAAAGCATAGAAACCGGTTGAATACCAGATGAATGACACACAAGACAATCAATGGTCGACACATTAATTGCTTTAAGAAAATCTCTTATAAATTGAGATCTTTCTTCATTTGAGTGCCAAAAAGCTTTCGTTTGTCGGGTAAGACCAAAGTCAGGCATATTTGGTGCGATTATCCGAACTGATGAGGAATTGTCAACAAAATATTTATATAAACTGTTAAAATGGTTGTAATTTCCAGGAAGTCCATGAATTGCTAAAATTGTCTTTATTTTATTAGTATCACTATATAGATTGTCACCAATGGTGTCCATATACTCTACATTCACTGTCAGTCCAGTCGACGGACTATTTCCATAATATTTATGATTTTTTAGTCTTAACTTTTCAAAGAGTTGACCACATGTTTTGATTTCTATATTTTTAACTATATTTTTACTATTATTCACAATAGAAAATGATTTTTTAAATACAAATATTATATTTTTTTCAGTACTACTAAATATTATCCTATTTTTTAAAGCAAACATAATTGAATTTTTATGAGTAAAAGCCTCAAATGATTGATAGGATATTTATCATTCAAAAGTGTCTGTTATTTACAGTATATTTAATAGAAGATATACTCAATGTTTGATAGAAAAATAATCAATTAGACCTTGTAATCAGTCATATAGTAAATATATAATTATAATATTGTATTTTAATATTAAGGATTATTATTAGTAGTAAAATGTAATTCAAAAATTAGAAAAAATGATATTTTATTAAATAAGTAATAGCTTTTAACAAATAAATTTAGTAAATAAGTTTATAAAAAAATAGAGTATTAATTTAAATCATATTTCAATATAATAATAATAATGAATTATCTATATATAAATATATACTGTATATATGATACGACAAATGATGTAACAAAAAATATTTTAAAAATACTTTTTATAATAAATAAACTAAAAAATGACAACAATTTTTAATAGAAAACAAAAATCAAGAAAACAATGAGAAAAAATGTATAAAAAATAGTAATTGAATTTTGAAATATTTGAAACATTTAAAGACAAATCGTGATTAAGTGATGTAATAACTTCTCTCTAATTTTTTCATTTTGATGGCCAAACCCGTAGGACGATAAGAGGTTTGATCGACCGAAACATTCAGATTATCGGTGGTTGTCTCAAGAATTTGATAAAAGTCATCCATATTTCTCAATTTGCAACCATTTACATGAGTGATGATACTTCCCTTTTTCAATTCACTGTAATTTTAATTTATAAAACAAACAAACAATTGACACTATAATTAGTTTAATTGAATGATACGATAAGTTTAATGATAATTATACGGAGTTTCCTGAGCCGTGTAATAAACGAGAAGTCCAGTACAATGTTTAATACCAGTGATGCCATAGTCAGTGAACTTTCTTCTCGATTCCTCAGTGTTGTCAAACCAATAGACAACCAAACCATACGATCGTAACTCAAAAGATTTTGCTTCTGCCGCCAGAGCTGTCAATAACAACAACGACAACAATATGACAAATGATTTCAAATAATTGATATCAATATTTTATTAAATCAGTTGACAGTTACTTACCATTAATATATTGTTTATCGACAGCTAAAGCAACTGCTGATGTCTTACCAAATCTTTTAATATTTATACCAATGAGATAACCATTGGTATCAACCAATGCTGAAGCGTTTGAGCCGACGGTAAGAGCGGTATTGTGATAAATCAAATGATTGATTGGAAACCCAATTCTACCGGTAATGCTATCATCAAAATTTCTGATTAAAGACCTATCTATTTTCGGTTCAATAATATGGCCTTCTGTGAGATTTGGCCACTGCTTTGTGGTCAGACTGTCGACACCGAATACTTGGTCTCCTCTTTCAAATTTGCCATCTAATGAGTCGTGCATTTTGACTGTTTTCCAATTTTCACCACCGTTTTGATCCAATTTAATAAAAGCCAAATTAATTTCCGGTATTCTCTCTATAACTCTTCCTTTGTGTTCATTGCCTATATCGTCGATGACAGTCACGTGTGAGTATGAGTTGACATCAGAACAGCAACAGATACAGATCCCCGATTCGTCGGCTATAATACCGGATCCAATTTTTTCTTGTATTTGATAGCCGGGAGGCTTTTGTGCTTCATCTGTATTGATGGCATACGGACGGAATGTCACAAAACCGGTGAACCAATCTTTAGTAAATGCATCGCTATTCATAAGAGCAGTTCTCGGAAGAAATTGTGGACACAAATTCAGATCCGATAATTTGTACTGCGATTGACATTTGTTTGATCGACACCAGTATGTTGTGGTGATAATTGCTGACAATGTCAGTGAGTTTCTGTTGTTGTATTTAATTTAATTAATTGTTTTACTTTTTAATTGTATAATAGTTTTGATCTTAAACTTACCTATTGTTCAAAAGCATATATTTGATTGATTGCATAATGCAAATGATCAACAAATGCTAACCTCTAAAGTGAAATAAAGATATTTAAGATTATAACAGAAGATACTCTCTGTAAGGATATCACTAAAATCTAAAGATATGTTAAAACTTATGAATTCTTTTATAGGTTTAATAAAACCGATAATTAATATTTGAAATATTGATCACTTGATAACAATTCTATAAATTTGATAGCAATGTATTGAAACAATAAAACTGTGTTTAATCTAATTACTAATCATTTATTTAAAAAAAAATTTAATAATGTGTCTCGAGATATGCTAAAACTTCTCAATAATTTCAATAATATTTAAATAACAAAAATATTTATTACAATAAAATAATAGTATCGGTATATAACAATTATTTTCAATGGGTCGCGAGATTTTAATATTATCGATAATTGATAGTATATCATATAATCAATTTGATACCTGTATTTATCATACAGTATTTACAATATTATGTACAATGTTTGCCTTTTATTGTTTTGTAGTATAACTTATAACATAATACATCATATAAAATTATTTTATAAAATAATATACAAATTCTAGTTTTTAGGATCATAATGATAAATTCAATTAAAAAATACATTTAAAATAATGATTGTCAGTATATTTTGGCTCATATAGTTAATTAAAATATAATTATATATATATATTATTTACAAATGAATTTATTAAATTATTAAATAACATAAAGGAAATAATAAATAGTAAAAATAAATTTTATAATTTTGACAATAGATCTCTTTCTAGATGTTTGCCAACAATTTGACTAAATTTTTGATAAGCAAAATGACCGCCACTTTTTAGATTTAATACTTTAATCCAATTGTTTATATGGTTTAAATCTTTTTCAATTTGATTATCCATTGAATAAATTGAAAAGTCTTTATGTTGCGCACCCAACCTCTCAACAAACTCTTCAAAGTTTCTTTTCGACACCAGTTTATCACTTTCACCGTAAACAACAATAGTCGGCAATTTCATTGTCTTAAGAACTTCCAACTTCTTGTAGTAATCGGTGTTTTCAATATACGAATGAACTAAAGCAAAAAACAAGACTTCATCGACACTGTTGTAAGTCATGGGTGACCGGCCTTTCAATAGCTCGTGTGGTTTCAACCAATCCATTACAGCGATACCCAACTTATTGGTTGTAAATATAGCAAAAAATTTATTAATTTTGAAAAATCTGTCCGAAAGATATTGAGGACTGAATATTCCTATAGATCTTATTGTAAGTTCTTGTGGCTAAACAAAACAAAATATATAAAAACTTTTTTAAACACAAAAAACTTTGCCTAAGATTGTAGATAAATGCTTACATTTGTCCATAAGAGAGATATCGGATGAATACCTGCGGAATGACTGATAAGACAATCAATTGTCGACACATTTAACGCTTTGAGAAAATCTCTTATGAATTGAGATCTTTCTTCGTTTGAATGCCAAAAAGCCATCTTTTGTCGGGTTATACTGAAATCAGGCATATTTGGCACTATTACCCGAACCGATTTTCCCGAAAAGTATTCAAATAAACCGCTAAAGTGTTTGTAATGACCGGGATTGCCGTGAATGGCAACAATTGTCTTAATATTATCACCAAAAGCATTGGATTCTCCAAAAGTGTCCACATATTCAACATTAACTTTCACTCCAGTCGATGGACTGTTTCGGTAAAATCGTGGACTCTTTTGCCGCAACTTATCATATAATTGACCGCAAGTTTCAAACTGAATATTTTTGACAATATTTGGATTTACCGATTGATTCATACTTTGGTTAATCAGTTTTATTGAGTTATACTTCAAATATTGGACTCTATTTGTATGTAAAATATATTTAAATAAATACATTTTACAATCAATTAAATAATAATTAAATAAAAATATTTAAACGCTTGTAAATCATAGAAATTATTGCAAAATCGTTAATAATATTATTACGAAATTTCTTTAAATACCAAATAATATACTGTAATTTATATCATATATACTTAAAATATTTGTTATTATCGTAATATTATATTAACTGATTTTGCAATAATATATGTATTTCATGAATACATTCATACAAATCATATATAAAAAATTGTACTAAAATGTACTTAATTTTAACCTCAATTCAAATCAAAATCAGATACATATGATATTTGAAACAATAATTTGCAAACATTTTAATAAACATTCAAAAGGCGGACACTTTCTCCTAAATTACACACATATTGGCAGCACTTGTAGCCTAACATTCATATAATAGACAATATTTGATTCAATACTTCAATGAATATTCTGTGTTAACGAATATTGAACTTTAGATTAAAATAATTGTTTATTCAAATTTTACTAAATATTTCAAAAATAAAAATAATAATTATATTACTAACAAATTAAGTTTTAAGATAATAAATGTATGACCAGTTGTTTATTAACAATATTACTAAATTTATTGAAAGCGAAATGTCCTCCATCTGCAAATGACAACACTTTGATCCAGTCTTTGTTAATATCATTTTCTGACTTATCATTGGTTTTATTATCTGATCTATCATTGTCTTTGTCAGACAAATATTTAACAAAATGTGAATCATTTACACCCAGATCTTGAAACAAATATTTTAAATTATTTTTAAGTATTAATTTATCCCTTTCTCCTAACACCATAAGTGTCGGTATCTTATGTTGTCTAATAAATTGTAATCTTTGATGAAGTAATTGTTGATTTAAACTAATAGATCCAAAACAAACTGTTAGCAAAACTTCATCGACATTAGCGTAACTCATGGGATAACCAAATCGATGGGCAATGCGATCGGGTCTTATTGTGTCCATTAGTTTGATACCTAACTTGTGTTTTGCCAAATATGAAGTCAATTCACTGTAAAATAAAACATTTTTCGACAGCCAAAGAGGTTGCGGACAAAAGAGACCGATCGACTTAATGGCCAATTCTTGTGGCTATTCATTGAAATATTTGTTATATTAATTAGTTTTAAACCAAAACAACAGTTAGTTATTAAACACACTTACATCTGTCCAAAGCATCGAAATCGGATGAATTCCCGCCGAATGACTGACCAGACAATCAATGGTCGACACATTAATCGCTTTAAGAAAATCTCTTATAAATTGAGATCTTTCTTCATTTGAGTGCCAAAAAGCCATCGTTTGTCGGGTGAGACCAAAGTCAGGCATATTTGGTGCGATTACCCGAACGGATGAACATTTGTTACCAAAATATTGATAAAGTTTATCGAAATGATTATAATATCCGGGAATTCCATGAATAGCTAAAATTGTCTTAACTTTTCCCGTTTTATTATCACCTAAAGTGTCCACATATTCAACATTAACTGTTAGTCCACTCGAAGGACTGTTTCGGTAAAGTTTTGGATTCTTTTGCCGCAACTTATCATACAATTGGCCGCAAGTCTTGAATTCAATAGTTTTTACTAACAATTGTTGACGACTTGAGTGTAAACTTTTGTATTGAATTACATTAACAGATGATATGACTTGTTTTGAAAGTAATGTTACTTTTAATGTATTGATTCTCATAATTATCAAAACTTTGCGTTAAATTCCTATTTAAACGTTAATTGTATTGAATTTTATATTTATTTAAAAATTATTTTTTATTAATAGAATAAATAATTTGTCGATAATTTCTACTTTCAAATAGATTTCAATACAAAAAACAAGTAAACATTGACTAGTGTTTCAATAAATTTAATAACTAATAGACAAACATTTTATTTAAAATTTATAATAAAGAGTAATAATAATAATACTTTACTTATTTATTATAATAAAATCATTATTAATATATATGATATACTGTATATTTGAATCATTAATACAGTATTTAATTGATTTTATTTAATTTCTATATTTTACTTAACAAAATAAAAGCTATTTTCCAAACTTAATATTACAATAAATTTATTAATTATTATACATTAACTACTAATTGTATTAAATTTATACAACACTATACTTGACGTAATTATTGTTATAAAACTTCATAATATAATATAAGGGCGTATTTGATGAGTTGTATTATTTAATAATAAAATATAGTGAATAACAATAGTTAACGTCATTTAATTAATTGAATAGCATTTGAATCCCTGTAATAGTAAAGTATATATGATTTGTTTGATCCCTGTGTTGAACGTTAACAATATGTGTCCCAAAAAATGTTTGTTTATATAATAATAGACTTCATATTTGTTGTGAATAATTGATTCCCGATTTGATCAGAAAAACGGGACATTCATTGCATTTGAAGCAATCATTCGATTTGTTTGTTAACTCTAAATACAAACCAATATTAACCCATAAAGTCATGCAATGATTGCATCCATAAGTTATCATAAGTTTTCAATAAATGCTTACAATTTGTGATTCAATTCATTTATTTAGTATTATTTGAACACAAAATCATTGAAATTAAAAAATTAATTACAAAAACATTGTAATCCTATGATATAAATGATAAATATTTAGACAAATAATAGATATTTGAAAGCAATTGAATTGAAAAAAGTTTGTCAAAAAGTTTTGTCGTCAAACATATGTCTCAAATGAAATGACATTTTATTATGAAATCCTATAATTGTTTCACTCATATCATAATCTTATGTCTTGAGCGCCACTTTTGAAGGCAAAGCTATAGGAAGTGATTGATTTAGTTGTTGTGTATGAAACAGGTGCTGAAGATGCACGTGGATGAGTTCATATTCAACTATTGTGTGTCGTCTATGATCACCGATGAGGTGACCTCCGAGACGACAGAGTGTGCAATGAATGTCTTCTCGATCGACGAGAATAAGATACGCGACGCAAATGGCATTATCTTTGCCGAAGCCATCACTTGCTATAAGTGTACGTTTTGTGGCAAAATGTTTTCAGCCATGGAAGTAGTCTTAACTCATTATCAGTCTAACCATCGCTGTTCAGTCATACCATTGCTTACAACAGGTTTTTCATTTCATTTTGAAATTTTTTAACCAAAATTTTACCGATTGTCTTACTGTCGCCAAAGGTGTGGCCAAACTGCCGATCCCGAAGTACAAACCACGTAAACCAGTGATTGGATCGCTTAACCATCAAAAAACTAGTCCTAAAACTACATCAACTCTCAAGAATACAATTAAATCTAATGATAATACAGAAGGCAAAAGTGATACCGAAAATCAAAAGTTAAATCATTTGTCACAAATGACACCAAAAGATAATAATAATAATAAGAGTTTAAAAACAGGAAACTTGAAAAAGATATCTAAAAAAGTCAATCAAAAATATCGGTTTCGTTGCAATCATTCAGGTCTGACGTTTAAAATAATTTGAATGACATTTTAAATGATTAATTAGAGATGTATTCAATTGATAGGCTGTTCAGTTGATTTCTATACAAAGACTGGATTATTGATGCATATGAAGACACACGAGAAGATAAAATCATATAAATGCAATTGGATTGACTGTAAATTTAAGTGTTCAGATTTGGCGGGACTTGAGTTCCATAAGAAGACCCATTTGGGTGACAATCCATTCAAGTGTTCGTGGCCCGGATGTGACCACTCTTTTGCTGACTCAACAGCTAAAGAGCTTCATCTTCAAAGTGCACACATCGACGATAAGATCCTGGAGTGCGATCAACCGGGTTGTGGGGCAAAGTTTAAATTGGCTTCTGATCGGGAAATACATAAGTATTTAGGCATAAGATTACATGTCTTACAGAATTATATCATTAATCCGATTCATACTTTATTTTTCTGATAAGATATTCACATTCTGGCAAAAAGATCTCAGCGCCTAAATCTCAACCAATTGTAATATCTGTTAGACGTCGTGGACGACCACTTAAGGCTAAGAAAACCATTGATTTATCTTCGAGTTCGAGTGTAGCTGAAGATAGTGACGATCAAAATGATAGTGAAGAGAGTGAGGAAGAGGAAAGAGAAGATATAGATGAGAATCACTATAAAACAGATGAAAACAAATCGATTAAAAAGAGCGATATTAGTAAAACTGTTAACAAAAAAGAGACAAACATTAATAAATGTGACCAACCGTTGGATTTATCAAAAAATGGTCCAAATGTTATACACGACTATCAAAATAAATCAAAAAGAATTGATATTAAATCTAAAAGTGTGGAAAAATCTGTTTCAAAAAGAGGTCGAAAGCGTAAGAAGAGTATCGAAAAGAAGTTGCTGTCGAAGACTGTATATCGATGTGATTATCCCGGATGTCGAAAGACATTCACTGAATCTGATGTTCTTAAGCAACACGAGAAGGAAACTCATAACACATCTTCATGTGATGGCCGACAACGATATGGTCGCTCGTGTAAAGGAAATCTGTTTTATAAAATTTAATTTAATTACAGTATTATTTATTTCACATTTAGAGTTCACCATAAATATATTTTATTTAACTAATTTAAACATTTAGTATCTATACATATATCAATTTATTCAAATATTTTTTAACATTACTTTAATATAAATTTATGTGTAAATTACTGGTTGAATATGAATACTACAGTATGTTTTTTTTAGAAATTTATTTACTATATTTATATATAATTTTAATGTATTTATTTTATTTATTACCGTAACATATTTCGGTACATTATAACCTGTTTTACTATATATATAAGTATTTGTTGATTATATTGGAATTAATTTTATTAAATTAAATGAATAAATAATTTCATCACATTTTATTATAATAAGATTTATATCACAAACTAAAAAAATATACCGGTAAATAAATAATTTGATGATAATTACGGTACTTTAATTCACTCATTCAAACCAATAAAATATAAAAATTGTTAAAAATATTGTTATTTTCCAAAACAAAATGATAATACAATAAAATTTTTAAAATATATTAGAGATATTTACCAAAATTAGATGAATAAAACAATACTATAAAATATTAAATTGATAAAACAAAAGTTTTCACTTAAATGAAATTCACATTTAATAACTATTAGACCAAACTTTCAATTTTCTTTGACATACCATATCTTTAGATAATCTTTTCATATCATATGCCTGTCCTATTAGTGCCATAAAATCAATAAAAAATGTGGTAAAATTCAATCGCCAACCCATTTCACTCGTTGAATAATCAAATGGAAACGAGTGGTGATAGTTATGAAAACCTATTAATAAATTTTTCAAATAATAATTTTTAATATTATTCATTGAATACCTTCTCCAAAGGCACCATAAGAGACCAACAGGTTTTCTCGGGGCTCTATATTTGGGTTATAACTAAAAAACAAAACAAAATTAGTTATATATAAAAACCATATCAACAACAAAATATACGGTTTATCTCCAAACATATGGGCCGCAGAATTGACAAACCAAGTGCTATATAAAATTATTTTTAATTTAATTGAAATACAGATTAAACATTATAATCATAATTGTTATACCAATGCAATGATGTTACATATCTTAATACTGTACCAAATACTGAATAAAATACAGTTTCTGACCAAACATAGAGCGGAATAATAATCGGCAAAATGAAGCAAAATATTAAATAAAACACTATATAATACCTAAAGATTAAATTAAATAATTATTTTTTAAAATATATATTTTTATCATATTTTATGCATACTTTTTGTGATAATAAACAACGGGATCATTGATCAGATCTGACAAATCTATTTGTTTGCCTTTAATGATAACATCGGGATGTTTTCTGGTCAGAAGCCAACCGACGTGCGCGAAGAAGAAGCCTCTCTTAGAGTTATGCGGATCGGCGTCTGTTTCAGAGTACTTGTGATGAACCCGATGGTCGCGACACCACTCGTATAGATCATTCTGCGGTTATTTTTATCAATATTTTAATAAAATGCTATCTTATAGTACAGATAAATACCTGTCCGGCAATTGAATGAAATAACATTAATACTATACGCAATGGCAGTCGTGCTTTATATGACCGATGAGACCACAATCGGTGAGCACCAGCTGTGACACCAAGTCCTGAGACAATGTTTGATATCATTTACTCTTTTGTGTGAATAATTCAAATATTATACAATATTATGTTTACCACCAGCCAATCCATACCAAAATGCTGTATAAAATGTTTAAAAATAAATACTTAAATGAAAAAAATGCAAAAAAAAAATATTTACCGAAACACCAGGTCATCCAACATTTGTTGGCAATACAAACATAAATGCCATACAATGATAACACATTGAGAATTAAAAAGATGAAGACGTTTGTCCATACAATAGTAGATCCACTTGTATTGTAAATGTATCTCACATTTGATTTATCGATAATTCTAATAATATAAGAACCCATTATTTTACACTTAGTTTTGCAAAATTATAATAAAACTTAAACTATAGTAATTGTAGTATAAAATACTATTAAGAAATGATTAATGTAACATTATTTTTATTATATATCCTACAATATGTGACCCTATCATGTTATACTAACTTATAAAAAATAATCAACTTTTTAATAATTTTGAAATGTAGATATATATCAAATTGATTATCAAAATGTTAGGAAAATATTGAAAAATTCAAATGAAGGGTAAATTTTAGTTTTAAATAGACAATTAATTATCACTTTTGGAAATTTTTATATTAGTGTAGATTCCTAATGGTTTATTTGCTAAAATACTTATAATTGAAACATCAAATTATTTGAAATATCAATTTTTAAAATAAATCTAATTGTATTTTATTGCTAACTAAAAATCTTATAAATTGATAAATAAAATTTATATTTAAAATGCATTAATAAAATAATTTAAATTAGTAGTAGGATTTGTAGTAGTTTTTGTAAAAAATAATTATTATTTAAGGGATTAGACTAATAATAGATAAATATATGAAAATTATTAATTAAAATAACTTATGATGTAAAATTGATAATCTTTAAAACATATACAATAATATCATTAATTATTAATTTAATTAAATTAAAACATTGATTAATATATGATTTTCATAAAAATAATTCTAACTTTTAAAACAATTAAAATCTTTTAGTGATTGATTGCCATCTATTGGTATATACAGTATATAACATAGCATTCATTGAAATGTTAATTCAAAAGCTATTATATATTGAAAATATAAACGCCTTTTGAAAGCAAAACATTTTTTAGACGTTTTGAAAACATTTTAATCAATATTTCAAATGATTTATTGATTTATTGATTCATTTGATTGAAAATTGTTTTTTATTTAACATTCAATTGATTTAACATTAAAGACAATCACTAATTAAGACAAAACTCTGGACATGTCTTTCGGTGGCTTTGGTCAGACTCCTTCGTCCGGTTTCTCATTCGGCTCGACGCCAGTGACCACATCGCAGACGGGCTCAATGTTTGGCGGATCGCAAACAACCACTTTTGGCCAGACGTCGGCACCGACTTTCGGAAGTCCAGCATTTGGCGGTCAGACTCAACAACCGCAACAACAACAGACATCACTTTTCGGGTCTCAACCGCAGAGTACGTTTGGATCATCCACTTTTGGACAGAGCACTAACTTCGGGTCACCCGCTGCCGGGTTTGGCAGCAATCAAACGACACAACCGGCCACACAATCGGTGTTTGGCACCAATCAAACGACACAACCGGCAACACAATCGGTGTTTGGCAGCACTACTCCTTTCGGTTAGTTTTATTTGTCTTTCAACTCACGTTATAATATTTACAGTAATTGTATGATATGTTTGATTAAGGCTCCGGACAAACATCTGTTCCTTCATTTGGATCCAGTTTTAGTGCCCAATCGACCCCCGCATCCACCGCTTCTGGCGGTCTTTTTTCGTTTCCAACACAACAAACAACTCAACCAATATTTGTTGGCCAAACACCGGCTACCACTCAAAGTGTGTTCGGTAGTACACCATTTGGATCGACGGTTGCGCCACAAACTTCTCAGTCTACGGGAATGTTTGGGACCCCAACACAACAGCCCACAAGTCAACCAACCAATCAATTCAACCAATCATTTGGTTCGACGTCAACACTGGGCACCAGTTTTGGCCAAACGTCAACTCAACCATTTGGTGCCATCTCTACACCTGCAGCGCCCGCACCAGCATTTGGTTCAACTGGTGGCTCATTGTTTGGAACCGGTTTGTTATAAGTTGTGTGAAAATATTTTTATTTTTAATAAATTTTGATTATCAGTGACATCAACGGCCACTTCTGCGGCTCCAACTTTCGGTGGATTTGGTTCCACAACTGGTTTCGGTGCGACCTCAGTACCGGCTACATCGGCGCCAGCTTTTAACTTTGGCGGCGCAGTCTCGACGGCCACCACAACTACTCCTTCGTTATCTTTTTCAGTTCCGCCGACGTCATCAACAGTCTCGTCTTCTACTCCCGCGTTTGGAGTGACCACTTCAACCTTTGGTTTGGCTGCACCAGCGATGTCTCAATCAGCCATTTCAGCGCCTAGTTTTGGATTCGCAACTCCTGCCGCTACTCCAGCTATATCTTCTATACCTACCATTGCTTCTGTCCCTAGTTTTTCATTTCCTGTGGCAACCACTACATCAACTCCAACAGCAACTGTCCAACCTTTGCCATCATTTGGAACTCCAGCCGTTTCTCAACCAATTGCTACATCTGCTCCAGCATTCAATTTTTCAACTCCAGCTACGACTCCATCTTTTACTTTGACTACTCCATCATCAACTGTAACAATAACTGCGGCAACAACTGCACCGAGTTCTTCATTTGGTTTAAGTCTGAGTAGACCAATAGCATCGACGACCACATCTGCAACTACTATTGGTCTCACTGCTGCGACTATTGCGCCGACAATATCATTAACCACTAGTACGCCAGCAACACTTCCATCGACTACAATATCTTCGTTTACTTTACCGCCAACAACAACAATAGCTGCAACATCTGTTGCACAACCGTTATCCACACCAACACCTATTAGTAAATTAATTATATTATAGATTAATGTTTTTATTAATTATGATATTTATATTAACTATAGAAATGACTTTCCGCCAACTCGAAGATCAGATTAATCTCTGGCTCAATGAACTGAATCAATTGGAAACTGAATTTCATTTACAGGCGCAGACTATCAACTCATGGGATTCATTACTTATTAATAATGGACTTAAGATCACACAAATCAATGAATCACTGGAGAAACTAAAGACTGATCACACGAGACTCGACCATCAATTAGATTTTATAATTGCTCAGCAAAATGAATTGGAACAGCTGTTGACTCCAATTGAGTCCAACAAAGTTGAGATGAGTACCAATAACACTGTGAATGCCGAACGCGAGTTCACCTATTCGATGGTCGAAACAGTTCACAATGATCTCAATGGTATCGGAACCGACCTAAAGGTACGTCATTTTTAATATAATTCATTCATTGATTTGATATTTATTTTTTTGGTGAACAGAATTTTATCAAAAAGTTGAACGAAATGCGAACCAATGCGGACTCTAGCGATCCATTGGCACAAATCTCAAAGATATTGAACTCACATATGGATGCACTTCAATGGATTGAAAACCAAATTAAAACAATTAAAATTAATTAGTTATTGATTTGTTTGAAAGCTAATTCAATTTAATTGATTTAAATTATGATTTTCCCATATATACAGTATATTATTTAAAAAATAAACAAATATAAATATTCTAAATCCAACCAGGATAATTTTTTTAGAAATAATTTTTTTAAAACTAACAAAATGGTGTATAATTATCATTATTCTTTTTATATCCAATATTAATAATCTTTACATTTCGCGGAACAGATGATTTGACATCATTTGTCACTTCAAACTCATCCCAATCCAGTCGTAAGTGAAACCATTTATCAATCCTCAAAGTAGCCAATTGTTTAAATAATTGTAACACTTTTGGTGTATTAATCAATTTGTTGCCAGCATTAGGTCCGGAGTATTTGATTAATTCCAACGTTGACAACGAATCACTTGCCATTAAATTATCAATTCCTTCATCGCTGATGTTTGTAGTATTTAATGCCAAAGATGACAGTCTCTTATAATTAGCTATAATCTACAAATATATGGATTAAAAGTTATTAAATTTGTTTAATTATTTTTCTGAAGTTTATAAATACCTGCCAAAAGTTCAGTTGACAATCATTGTCAATGAAAACATACGTTAGATTTAATTTTAACAAATTTGGTATAAATTCTGGGATTTGTGTCAAAATGGACAATGAAATGGAGGCGTCATAAAGGGTTAACTTCTGTATAGTTGTCGGTATTTTAGGCATAAATAAACTCAACTGTAGATTACTGTCTGAATTTGATCCGTCAAAAGCAAACGCATTGACCTCTGAATTAAAATCCAAATGAATTTCTTTCAAATTCTTTAAGTTATTCAGTGAATCGTTTTGTTCGCTTTGATCATCAAAATGAAGAAACAACTTCTCAATGGATGAAAACTTATGATTTAGTTCAGTAAAAAAGCCGTTGAATACAAAACAATTGAGATTTAAGTTTATAATTCCTGAAGTTTTGGTCTCATTTGTGGTCAACTCGTTCATCAATTCGAGACATTCCTCTTGAGATAACTTCGATTCGGGAATGAAATGAAATTTTTTCAAATGAGAACCAACTGATCGGATATATTGGTTAAGAATATTCATATTAATGTCATTAATATCTGGTCTCATAATAATTAATTCTTCAATTCGTGGATTTTCTGCATTCATATAAGTTATAGTTTGATTGAAGCCATAGACTGGTGTACCCGTGTCTAAGACTAAGTTAAAGTGCTTCAAACGGCAAACTTCTGGACACAAAAATCTACTCCAAGTTCTCTCATGTGATGCAACATAAAAACATTCGAGAAGAGGACAGTTAGCTATAATATGGTTGACCTGAAAGGGATTCGTCGAATAAGAAGTTATATCAAGTGATCGTATGTTTGGACAATAATTGACTAAAAATGACATAAAATATTTGTCGACAAAATTGAATTGAGGTCTTATATAATGAGTTAATAAATTTTGTTTAGTGTCCATCAATTTGCCCACCGATGACACGACCGCCAAATGCTTCTGATTATCACATTTTTGGTCCAAATCTATAAGTATAAGATGTTATATGTATTTCTACCGAAAGATAAACAAAATGACGAGAAGTGGTCATACCTTCTTCACTATAGTAATAGATATTATTATTATGTAAACTAAGTGTTGTTTGTGAGGCCAACAGTTGAGAGGACACGAGTCGCCATTTGACACACACTTTGACACAACTGTACAAATCATCGACAGATAAATGTCTGAAAATGACAAATAAAATGTCTTCATAAAAGTCATCTGCGGTTACATTCATTGCATTCAATATTGAATCGTCTTTTCAAATGTCAATTCAATATTCAATTGAATGCAAACATTATTATAATAAATACACTGTTATTGTCAAACATGTAATACTTATTGACGTCAATATCAATGCAAACACTTACTTAATAAACACATTACATATTCCGCCCATCGCTTACTTCATATACATATATTCTAAACATTGATTATTGGTTGGCATATAATTAGAGGCGGAGTTATTGTCTTGTTTTATAATTAATATTATATACTGATTGTAATTCAATAATTAATTAAACTTTGTTTATCAACTTTACTAAAATAAAAATGTTATTAAAATTGTATGAATAAATAAAATATTAATTTGTTAATCAAATATTGTAATAAATTACACTAATATAATATTGAGTTGCATTTCACTGTTTTTACAGGTGTTTACTAAACTTTTTTTCAAAATTTATATTTATTAAAGATATAACCAGTTAAGAATGCTAGAAAGCATTTTCAGAAAAAAACTTGAATATCATAAATAGATTGAAAACCATTAGTTAGCGGCTATATAGTGACATTTAAAAACTGGTCAAATATACATAATTTAAATATAGGGTATAAAATGACTCAGAATGACAAAATAAAATCAACTATAGTCATGTAGGGTATAAAATTACTCGCTATGACAAAATAAACAATTCTAATCATACTTTTGCCGCCATTTTTTTGAAAAATAATGCTGATATATTGTTTTTGATGCTCTATACAATTCTAAACGCTAAAAATTTTTATTTAAATTTTTTATTTTGGCCGCCATTTTCTCTATGTTCCCGAAAATATATCAAAATTTTAATGCATATTTCTTATGTTTGTTTTTGATGCTTTATTCAAATCTATACTTAAAAAATATTTTCTTAAAATTTTTGTTACTTTGGCCGCCATTTTCTATATGTTCCCGAAGAGATAGATCATTTTTGATGCAACTTTTCAATACATTATTAGTAGTCCTCTAACCGAATCTGAAGTCAGAATTTCAAAATTCGCAAAAAAATATGCTACAGACAGACACACACACACAGACTAAAAAGGCTCGTATAGATTTCAGTAAACAAAACTTTTCAAGTTTTTTTAAATACAATAAATAAACAATTGTTTTACTATAATTACAGTATAATTATTAAGACATTTAAAAATTCAATATAAAATAGTATAAGTATTCAGATAATGTTGAATAAATGTCTAAATACTTTTTAAAAAATTAATGTTAAAAATAGTCATACATTTGACAGATTGATCATCATTTACATAATAATAAGTTAAGATAAAAAATTATAATTTAAATAAATTTGATATTTTTAATGTGTTTTGATTACACACTTGAATGATATATATATTAGTACTTTAAATGCTAAAATTTAAATATAATTTGTTTTAAAATTGTCTTAAAATTGATTTAATATAAACTATATTCTATTGATATCAATATATAAATTTAAAAAATCATTAAACCATTTCAAATAATTTATATTTATTTTTAAGAAATTTAAATACTATTTATAGATAATATTATTAGTATATTTTATAAATTAATTTAGTTATATTTATGACATTGAAAATTTTTATGATATAAATCGTAATATTTTTCTTATTATTAATTGTAAATAAACAGAAATATTAAAATATTGAATATTTTTGTTATGTTTAAATGCATTTTGAAAAATAATATTTACTATTATGGGTTACAAATTACAAAAATTAATAAAGCATTAAATTAAATATTGGAAATGCATTACAATTGGGAGTAAAAAATCTTGAATTAACATTAATATTAATACAATGTAAATATAAAATAATTCAATTATGATATACCAGTTTTATAAAACTTTTATTGTATAAAAAATAAGTAGCAAAATAAGTATTAATTTTAAAATTTGTTAAATTATTTTTGGCTTTATTTGATATTATTGTTTGATATTAATAATTTTCATCAGTTTTGTTTTCAAAATCAATAACTACTATAATTTTTTCTATAATGGTAAGTTTATTTCACTTAAATAAAATTATTAAAATTTTATTGTTATTTAGTTTATGATAACTGTATTATCAATAATACTATTGAACACTGCATTTGTTTCTGGTTTATATTGTGATCATTACCGCAAACCTTATATTTATGGCACAAAACATAGGATTCATTTCCCTAATGATGTCAACAAATACAATGGTTATCAATACGATTCTTATAATTATTTTAAGAAATCATACAATAATTTTGTTAAAACATATCCTTATGTAGATTATTATTATGATTATTATAAAATTTATGATAATATCTAAGATAAATTAAAAATACTTTATAATAAATTATATCATATAAAGTTACAATTTGGTTTAAATGATATATGAAATTAGTTTAATTTTATAAATGATGATTCATACTATGTATTACAAATATTTATAAACAATTAAAGATAATTTGTTTTAAATAATACGAAATTTTCAAATAATTTAATTTGATTTAAAAATTTATAACAGCTTTAATTAATTCAAAGATAATTAACGGCTATATTTAACCGATATATAGACCGACAGACAGACAGACTTATAGAATGCATATACGATCTCCTTTCAGGAGTTCGTGAATATAATAAACTTTATTAATATAATATAAATTTATATTAAGATTTACAATAATCTTGAGAACATCCTCTGAAAGCGCATCGATGACCACACGGACCGTAATAGTGTGCAACTGATCCATAGATACCATTGCACTCATAGATGTGATTCCATAGACACTGATCGCCCATTAATATGCTTTGACCGCAATGTTGTCCCTCACAATCATTGAGACAAAAACAATTTCCTTCAGCAACTAAACAATAGTCACCGGATGTTCCGTTTTGGACACACCAGTGATGACAAACTCGAGTGACAATACCGACCGAACCTTTAATACCATTGCATTCATATAAATAATCCACAAAACAGTCATTCATTATCTGCTTTTGTCCGCAATGAAGACCAGAATAGTTGTTATCACAAATGCATTTTGTGTTACAATTACTAATATATCTCAATATATAAATTGCAATCAAAATTATTTTATTCATTTAGAAATTTAAGTATAATTTTATAATATTTTATTAAATCAAAATTATTTAGGAATTATTAGAATTTACTTTAAATTATTACACGATTACACAATCATATTATTCCACAATATATCGTGTATTAGTTATAATAATAATTTTGAAAAATGTGAATTTATACTTAATGTTGCTAGAGCACAAATTCAAATTAATTAATTATTATATTTTAAATATGATATATTTGAATATTAATTTAGTATAGTATTAATATCAAGCTATTAATATTTATAGGTATATTAAATACTATTTTTCAAAATAATAAATAACTAGAAAAATCCCAATCAATTGTCAAGTCTGTAAAATCTAAAAATCATATAATGATTAAATGAGTAATAAAATAATACATACATTTATGTAAAGTGATTATAAAAAACAATTTTTTATATCCTGACAAATTAAAAAAAAATAATAATTATTGTGATTAGGAATAGTAAACAATTATTTATATATAAATAATTTATGCGATTAATTCTAAACTATATTAATTAATTAAAAGTTATAATTAAAGATAAAACTTTAATTTTAATAATATTAAGCTAACTATAAAATTTTCTTAACTAAATCAACTATAATATCATTGAATAAACTGTTGTAATGTATGGGATAAACGATATTAAAGTGAAGGCCATAATCATTACTATAACTAATATTATTTTATTAATCAGATTTCATCAAAAAAATTCAGCTTAAAAATTTGGTTAAAATATATTACAACCATTTTTATTTATTAGTAAGTTACTGTATTATAAATATGTTATTAAAAAATAATTTATTATATAAAATTGTATAATTATTATTATTTTTTATAGCTTTCTTTAATTTCCAAATATTGCATTTATCATAAATCATGATTTAAAGTTTAAATTTTCTGACACTATTACATAGTATTAATATAAAAATTTGAATTTGAGATATTATAAGACAATATAAAGTAATCGTTGATTATAATAATTATTTTGAATACAAGATATTTTTAAAAGGAAGCCATTTATATTAGCAAACCATCACTTTATGATTAGGACAGTTGGATTTTTCTCCACCACCCCATCCATAATAAAACTTATGATGAACTTTGCCTATAACTTGTGTTTCAAGTTTGTCTATAAATAAGTTACATTTTCCAACATAAATAGGAACTAATTTACTGTCGTGACCGGCAATAAATGCCCGATCGGGTACAGCATCGGCGCCATGTCTTGACACCCAACTGAAATCGTGTCCCACCAGTACTTCATAATTAGTTATTGTCTTATAGGACTTTCCTCCTAAAGTGACAATACATCCAAGTTTTTCATTAGCTTTTCCCGGAATTATATCATTTTCTTGTTTATGTCGGCATATATATAGCGGTGAAGAGTCGATATCAAAACCTCCAACAATGGCATCACTCGGTATTTTACTGCCAGATATGGGCTTCCATTGTAGGGAACAATTGACTAAAAAATAATTAATTATTAAATTTTAACGTTTACTTAAGTTTTTAAAAATACTTCTATGTCTGTAATCGTTAACAGTTATGATGAAAGTTCTGATCTCTTGTGGATTCAATTCAATCTTTTTGATGTCAATAATATTATTGTAAGAATTATTTTGAATATCATTTGAAAAAGTTTTTGATTTCCAGTTTAATTTCTTTTGCTTTGACTCTGAAAGCAATTGATTTGCGCTTAAAGTCATTTCTTGAACATCTTTGATAACAATATCTTTAAATAGGTTTTGTAAGTCAATCTCTACGGCATTTGATAATAGATTGTTGTCTTCCTTTTGGTAGAAGTGCTCCAAACGGACCAGAATTTTATTTTGCGACCATTTCTCTAAAGTCAACAAATGGACGTTTGGCGGCAATTCATTGATTAGACCGGAAAATGTTGTCTTATATTTATTTTTATAATTTTCTTGCGATTCTTTAAGCGGCGAAAATGTCAACAACGGATCCATAAATAGTCTTTGACTCAAATCTCGATATAGTTTAATGGATTCATTAATTGGTCTAAAAAATAAATAATGTTTTCCTCTGACTATAATTCCTTTGCCGTCAACTCCGGTCTCATTAAGACTGGTTCGAGTATCGGTTAAAAGTCTTCTGTGAACCATAAGTTCAATCTGACCGTCATCTTCACTGGAACCTCCCTGTGCTCTATCAGTCAAAACTGTTAATTGAATATCTTTTTGGTTGTCTTTCATGAAAACCCTTTCATAAATAGGATAATAATTATTGGAAATACTATTCTTATATTTTCCACAAGTTGTCTGTTTCGAAGTTCTTACTCTTTTTATCTAAAAAATAACAATTTAAGTAAAAAAACTAATAATAATTAATATTTACATTTTGTCGTCCGTTAGCATCAGTAAAGAATTCTTTGTTATTATTGAGATTAGTTTCAAATCTGGTAATTACTTCTTTACCAATATTGTCGTCAACAGGTATGGGACCGACAATCCATTCGAGTTCAACATATTCTTCGTCTTCATAGACGCGGATTGTTTGTGAGACCCAACTGTTCCAGACTTGTGTAACTTCATGAAGAAATCCGTTTTTATATACTGACTCCAACTGAACCTTATCTTTGTTGATATCATTGACATTGCCTTCAGAGCAGAACGTATAACTCGTGTCTGAATTTGATTTATAAAACTTAAACGACTGTTTCAATGGTAATTCTTTGCCATCATTTAGTTTTATTGATTCAATATTTCCATTCTTAGAATCCAAGTTTAATGTGAATCCCTTTCCTTTCATTTCAATTGTTTCAGCATTTTGTAAATATTGAGAATCATTTGAATTTTCTAATGATTTATCTAAAAATTATTTGAAATAATAACATTATAATCATTTTTAAAAAGTTTAATAAAAATATATTAAAGATTTAATAATTTACCCAATTTTTCAACAAAATATGTCACAAATCCCATAGCATTGAGATTTGCGCGAAAAACTAACTCATATTTGGAAGAAGTAGTTCTCTCTGGTATTTGTTGTACTTTTTGCGAAACGGGAACCACATGTATGTCATTAACTTTGTTACCGTTGCTGTCATATACTTCATAATTATTATTTGAATTAATTGGAACTCTTAACCATTGAGAGACAGGTCTTGCGATGGGATTGTAGATAATTAATGTCAATTTATTTGAAGTCTCTGATACAGAACATTGACTTATATTAAGTCTATTACATATCATTTGTTTAGGAATTGTTTTAATGGACTCTTGTTTTGGTAACAACTGTTGATACGTCCTATCGATGACTTCGCTGAGAGCATCGTTAGCACTGAAAAGTCTTGAATTATAATCATTGATTGTAAACTGTGGTGATGTACCAGTGATGGCGTCGTGATGTGTCAAAACTCCGATTTGATTTCTACCCTCATTCAGAAATGGCTCGACTTCTGGGATTCTGGTGATGGCATCCAATTGTTTGCTTATTTGTAATAAACTGTTTATTGATTTCTCCTGTCGTTTGAGTGACGGTCGACTCGAGAAGAAACCGGTCCAAAAAGGAAAGTAATCTTTTTGTCGGCTTTCAAATGTACGGTTCAATTGGTTGATTGCTTTCAAGTAACACATGGGTGTTGAGTAAAAGATATTTACGTCCGGATAAAACTCATGGACTGAATCTATAAGTTTGTCCAGATTTGCGAAGTAATGCTCGGCGTTATTGTATTTAAAGTCACCACCAAATGTCATCAACACGTGGTTTGTATTACCATAATCTTTGTTCCATTGATTAGCAATCGATACAATTGAATCTACTTTTTGTTTCTTATTTACTGAAGTTATATCATTGCCTGTAATTACAATAAATAAAACAATACTAGCCTTTAATAAGATATTTAATACCATTTTCAAAATTAAAGCCATCGGGAGAGTTGTAATGATTGTGAAGAACAGTCGTAAAGATGTCAGAAGTAGATCCCAAGTCAGGACTGGCATTCCATATGAATTCACCCTTTGGAAAGACATTCCTATTGAATACATGTCCATCAAAACCCATTTGTGCGTAAAGTGATGCCATTTCTTTGGAAGCGCCGAAAGGATCGATTTGCCATGAAATCAACGGACGACCACATTTGCCAAACAATTTATCCAATATTTGCAGACCGTATGTCATTTGGTCAATAATCTCATTATAATGAGCCGCTCCTTCATCATTGACAGTATAGCCTCCATTAGCAAAAGCCAACTGACCCGAACTCACTAAAGTATGTACTAAATCACGGGTTTGTTGGTTTTGTTGAGACCACCACCGGTTGAAATAATAGGTCTCAACTTGAGTGAAACGTCGGTTAGGGTTCTTGTCCAACGAGTTGACCACATTTGTGATGATGTGCTCTACGTCTTCCTCATAATAGTCGTCAACTGTTTTAAGCCAACCGACATCATCGTGACTGTGAGATATTATATGAATGTTTAACTTATTTGAATCACTTTGTATGCATGACTCGTAATCACAATCTGCAGATATTTCATAATTTAAATATAAAATAAAAACAATTGAAACGATTTCTGTTTTTAACATTTTTGTTGTTGACTTAGTTTTGAATTAACAAACAATTTTAATTAATTCTTAATTTATATTATTTTATATACAATATCTAATATCCTTTTCTTTAATAATATGTGAAAATTAAATATGTTTTATTCATCACTAAAGAACTTAATGTAAGTTCAATTTATTTTTATATGTTATCATATTTTGTTATTGATTAAGAAATTATTGTTTTAAAGTTATTTAATATAATAATAAGTTTACATTATTATATAGTATATGTATATTATAAATACCTATAAATAATAATTTTTATTATTAAAACTATTATTGTGTAATGATTTGTTATCATTGACACAAATTCTAAGTTTATATTTATAAATATTTGATTCATTAAGTTTCTATAATAGTTTAAATTAGATTATATTGCTTTGATTGCAGTAATACAATACTGTATCAGTAATTAATAAATCAATTAATAAATTAATTATTACATATTTTATAGATTTGATACAATATTAAAGATTTTGATTATTACGAGACATAAAATTGTGACATTATATAACATTGTTGACTAAAACGGAACTCAAATTTGTTGTTTAAACATTTCAGTGTTAATAACGGCAAAACATATGTAAAATGAAGTATTGGTGGATATTATTAATTGTGTTTTTATTGATTTTATTTGTAGCTTTGGTAAGAATTATATAAAACATCATATGATTATTAACATATTTGTTAATTATTAAAAAAACATTTTTAAAATTAATTATATGATAGATTTTAATAATGATATATATATTGTATAATATATACAACAAAAGCAAAACCAAGAGTATTGGTCCTCAACCGGGATCTAAGGTAAAGAAGAGATCGACAAAACTTTTATATAAGAGTTCGGACATTGAATCTAATTATATGACAAAAACACAACCAATAAGTAATACCAATGAGAATGAGTTTAATAGTATTGATGTGAATGAATGGAATTCCTATAATAAGACACAATCGACTTTAAGACTAACCGGTTCTCCTGATAGTCGACGTACACCACAATCTCCGACACCAGCGGTCGACAAATACTGTGATTATAGTCCACACGATTTTCGTTCAGTTGAAGACTCAACAAATATTGGCACTAATCATGAAAAGACAGTCAAAGACAAAAATATCGACTCAGAGACAGTTGTATTGACCGAAAATAAAGCAACAGATAGTAATAGTAGACTCACTAATAGTATAGACTCTACAGAACTAAATCATTGATCCAATGTTTCAAATGTTTTGTCGTTAGAAAATAGTTTTATTTCCTAATCTAAGTTTTAATTTAATATTTTCTTTAAAGTACTACTAATTTTGCTTAAAGATGATAATCAATAATACAAATTAAATATTTATTAACACATTATAAATACATTATAAATATTTTCTTTAATTATTGATTAAATTAAAATTAACTCAAAACTTTAGTCATTAACTGTATATTATAACTTTGTTTTTTATAATAAGAAATATAAATTATATAGCTTAATATAAAAAATTATTTTATAAACTCTACAGTACTTTAGTAGAGTTAAAACTTTTTTAATAATAAATCAAATGTATAATTATTGTAAGTATTCTGAAAACTCGATTATTTATTTGTTAAATTTTATTTGCTATAATATAAAAACTAAATGGAAAATATGTATTTTTATATTAAATGTGTCAAACGTTTTATAATTTAATAATTAATATATATATATAATAATCGAGTTTTCAGAATACTTACAATAATTATACATTTGATTTGATTTATTATTAAAAAAGTTTTAACTCTACTAAAGTACTGTAGAGTTTATATATATATATTGTTTAATTATCATACTTTATTATGTTATCATAAGTAATAACTTATTACTAATAAGTTATATTAAAAAAGTATTTTATTTGTTGAAAAAATAATGTACAACTTGTGTAATATTGAAATAGAAAACAATTGATATTTTATAGACTTTTATTGTCTTAAACTTTGTCAACACTGCAACTACAGATACCGGCGTCTCTAATGCCGAGTACATCAGCGCCGGCAATGCTAAGGTCTAGTATGCGTCCGGCAACAAACGGTCCCCTATCGTTGACTCGGACCACAACACTTTTACCATTACAGGTCGCCCTAACCATTGTACCAAAAGGCAGTGTCTTGTGTGCAGCCGTTAGCTTTGTGTGGTCATACTTCTCACCACTAGCTGTATAAGCGCCGTCCAGTCCTATGCCATACCACGAACACACACCTGACTCACCTGTAATTAATTGACAGCAATTGTTTTATTAATTTAAATATATTTGAATTTTATAATTATAATATAGAAATTTATTATATTAAAATAAATTGTATTAAAATTAGTAAAAAAAATAACTTACAAGATATTGTGGACAACGAAACAATTGTTATAATAAAAGTCAAAAATATGAACTTGTTCATTTTTGCATACAATTAGTTATTTATCTCTAATAATATATTTGTTAAATTTTACAAATGACAATCAATTTATATAGGTAACAAATATCAATGACAATCATCAAACTACGATTTTAGCCAATAGTATTTATTTTCAACTCATTTATTTAAGCTGATAATAATTTAATTATTATGTAATAGTAAAGTACATTAATAATAATAATATTGTTATTTTTGTTAGATAAAAATTAGCTTGTATAATTTATTTGTTATCAAAAACTTATAACTAACTATTGTATTAATAAATTTTGCATTATTAGCACAATTTAGCACAATTATCAATAATTATAAATAATAATGATCAAAGTAGCTTATATTTTTAATTTAAAATACATTTATAATTGTATTGTACACTATCTTTCATATGATTACTATAATTAAAAGTTAAGTACATACTTAACTTTTAAAATACCTATTTTACAATTAATGTTTTAATATAATTGTTATATAATGTTTGATAATTAATATTTTTAAATTCAAGAGTTAGTTTAACAAATTCAATCAGATTATGTAATGATTTAATTTACAAATAAAATTTTATAATTAATTACATTAGTTTTTAATAACATACTTTTACTGAGTAACTATAAATTTATATTTAAATATCTCATAAATAGATATTGTTTTAAAACATATTATTGATTTGGCATAACATGTACTTAAAATTTTAAAATTTGCATAATCTAGGTGAATTTTGCTTAATTGGTACCCATACTATCTAATATCAAATAGCATATATTGCAGTCAATGATTAACAACTCTAGATTTTACCGATACATACATTGACAGTCACTTCGACCAGTTATACAATATATTCTCACCACTGGCTGTCAAGTTTCGGAGAAACAAATATTATTGTTATTTTTTAAAATAAAAATATTACCTTGATCATATACATTTAAATGAAATTGATTAAAAATAAATATTAGTGTTAATAAACAATCCGCATTGTAATATAATCATATTATTCATATGTAAAATAAAATTGCAATATTTGTATTAATATGTATATAATTTAGTTTACACTGTAAACAATCAATGCAATAAATTGTTGTTATTTACTTTAATATAAAGAGGCGGTCAAATGATGTTGCGTCGCGTAATTTTTGAATAACTTTTAAACGGTTAGAGATAATTTAATTCTGTAAAATACATTTAGCAATATAATATCGACCTGACTTAATATACACGCAATCACAAAACTAGGATGACCAGATGTATAAAATATCGGGACCAACGAAAGACATTATGCTACAGGTCAAACTACAACTGACAAATTTATTATAACAGGGAAAATTTATAGACAAGATATGATAGTTTAATATAAAAAAGAATCATCAAAATCGAATTTGTAGTTTTATTTTTATGGCTTGTTAAGTTTGTCATAAATCATATTATATAAAATAGTCTAAAATAAAAATAACGTTATTTATGACTTGTATATATTTATTAGATGAACTTTTCAATTATATTACTAATTTTAATATGTTCACTAGTTTTCGAAATAAGCGGATTACAATATAAATCACACTATTGTAATTTGATATTATAATTTATATTGAAATTCAATTATTTCGAAAACTAGTCTACATATTAAAATTGTTTTTAGAATTAGTAATATAATTGAAAAGTTCATCTAATAAATATATAATAGTCATAAATAACGTCATTTTTATTTTAGACTAATTTATATAAAATGATTTATAACAAACTTAACAAACCATAAAAATAAAACTACCAATCCGATTTTGATGATTCTTTTTTTATATTAAACTATTATTTCTTATTACAAATTTTGCCTGTCATAATAATTTTGTCAGTTGTAGTTTGAATTGTAGGATAGTCTTTCGTTGGTCCCAATATTTTGTATATCTGGTCATCCTAGTTTTGTGATTGCGTGTATATTAAGTCAGGTCGATATGATATTCTTAAATGCATTTTACAGAATTAAGTTATGTCTAACCGTTCAAAAGTTATTCAAAAATTACGCGACGCAACATCATTTGACCGCCTCTTTATACATTTTTATTCAGAGACAAAAAACTAAATATTTGTGAAAAAATATATATATTATCCACAGGTGTAATAAAATTTCCATTAAAAACATAATTTTATCTTTTGTTGAGTATAATAATTGATTAATTTGTTTACAATAAGCTTCAAAATGATAAATTATCACTAGAATTAATTAAATACAAGTACATTTATATAATAAACTATAGTAATTTATAATCTAATAATTTGTATTTTAGTAAGTTTTAAAAAGTTTAACAAATTTTAAGTGCAAATATACATTTTTATTGATTTATCAAAAATTCAAATTAATAAAATACATTATATAGTCTAATATTGAATGAATTATATTTTATGTGATTCGTATGTTTATATTAATAATAATTTGTTATTAATTATTATTGTTTTACTGTTTAAAAATAGAATACATTTTTCATAAAATTTATAAAGATCAAACACTATAGTTTTAATTAATAATTATAATTATTATTAAATATTAAAAGATAAAATGTTTTAATTTGAAACATTTTAATTATTAAAAATAGTTTATTATAAATTACAAAGAAAAACAATTTATTTAAATAGTATATAAAATTTGTTTGTATTTGTATTACAAATCATATAAATTTAATACAGTATTAGTTATAAATCTAAACGGGAGAGACAGTACATGAGGCAACTCATGCCTTAACGACACCAAGTATTTCAGCGACACCTTTGCAAAGATCAAGTATCCTTCCGACGACATACGATCCCCGATCGTTGACTGTCACCAAAACACTCTTTCCATTGGCGGTTACCCTGACTTTTGTACCGCATTTCAATGTTTTATGTGTGGCAGTCATTTGGTTCATATGAAATATATCACCACAAGCGGTACATTTGCCTTCAAATCCCAGGCCATACCACACCAACACTTACCCGACTGGTCTATATATAATAACAGTACAAATATTGAAACCAAATATACAATAATAATAAATATTCAATACATTATAATAGTATACATACCGGTACAAGATATAAGTGCAATGACGGCTAATATAACGAGTAAAACAAAAAAATTATTCATTTTTTTTTATTGAAATTAATTATTATTTTAAAATATGAGTTAAACTAATTGATTAAAGTAAAGTCATTGCTTTATATATAGTTTACTATTTAGCAATAATAATAATACTTAATATTATTTAATAAGGTATAAAATAAACAGCAAATTACATGTTTATCAATTACATGTATAATTTTATACTGTAGTATGAATTTTAACCCGGATTTTTTTTATTGTTAAAAGTTATACAAAATTATCTTAAAGTTAATATTATCAACCAAATATCTAAAATTTAGTAAATAAATATTTATATAGTTATTACAAAAATTAATTATTATATTAAAATTAATGAAATTATAGATTATGTAAAAAATTCTTTATAATAGTGAAAAATTGAATCAATTAAATGTGAATAAATTAATTTTTATTAATGTGTTTATATGATTGATTCAATTATTACCCATCATTAGACATCGGCGCTATCTTTACATCCCAACTGATCTTTGAGTCGATGATACCAATCCTCGAATCGTCTAAATCTTTGCCTTTTGTATCTTTGGTTTTGATTTCATTGGTTTTTTTGTTTGTCTTCCGCCGTCTAAAAGTCACAAATGAAAGCACTGCTAATGCGGTCACAATGAAAATGATAGCAACGATGACAACAAAAATCCAAATCATACTACTATTACTGTTTTTGTTAACCACTGGCGACTGTGCGGTTTCATCAAAATATGGATTACTTCTTAAGTTAACATTACCGATACAACCCATATATCGATGAATATCGATGTCTTTACTGATCAGTTGGTTCTGTTTGTAAGTAAACAATACATTTGTAAAGTCATTGACGGCCATAGCGTATATATTATCGGCAATTGAAAACAGTGCCGTATATCTCCATTTGGGGTCAATTGATGAGCACTGCCATCCCTCAGTCCACTGTCTTTTTGCATCAAATCTATTGCTGCATAAACTGCTGCCTTTGGACCGACCATTGACCACAATTATCAGCTCGTATTGGACCGGATTGTAGATTATATTTGTGTGCTTTATATCCAAATGAATTGAGTTATCGGATAACACTTTTGGCCAAAAGGTTTCATTTGAATCATAAATGATTCCTTCGTGTCTCAAACCAAATGGTAAGACAGGCATTGTATTAACTTTTTGACCTAAAATTTGTTTTACTTGATATGAACCGTCAAAATCATCGCGTTTTGTTCGGTAAAACATTATCAGCATATCTTTGGCCCGATTGATGTCCTCACAAAACGGTTCACTATTGACCTGACACTTGGGAACCGCCGAAATATGAGCCATACTTAATAAATGATATACTTCTTTGGCATTCAATTTGGACTGACTCAACACCTTTTTATGTTTCTGATTGTATGTCCAAACTATTTCTTTGCTATTCAAACGCACCTGACTTTTATAGTCAGTAAATATGGCATCAAATTGTTTGGTTCGACAAAACTGATCGTTAGCTTTATTTGCAGACATTTTGCTATTGTCTTTTGCGGCAAAAGTCAAACAGATTATTATCATTACAACAAAACTTATGAATAATTTCATTGTTTTTTTTGTACAAAATTTTTAAGGATATATAATAAAGTTATTTTTCATTTAAATTGTAGTATAAGTAATAGAAAATATGTGCCAACGCGCGACCGATAATATAAATATTATTGAATTAACAGAAAAAATTTAATTGTTTAAAATACAAGATATTGTGAATTCATATTAAGATAAATTGATTTAAGAGAGAAACAAATAAATAAATACTTTGATTGACAAATCAATAGAAATGTCTAAAAGTGAACAAAATATTAACAATAAAAACCAGAAAGACATCGATAAGAAACACCAGAAGAATAATAACAATAAATGGTTTGAAAGGTTTAAAGTTTTCAATAATATATTTAAATCTAAAACAGAAGACAATGTCTCGCAAAATACATCGTTGAGTGGCGACGAAGATTCAATAGACAATAAAATCTTTGCCGAAGACTTAAGAACTATTGACAATATGAACAATAGATTCCATGACTCGCCTCGAGATAAGGACAATGAAGACAAACAAAAGAAATTCAATGATTTGATTAATACATTGAATGTAAATCTCGATAATCAACTCAATGGAGATGACATTAATTGTACGGATCAGTTGAGTCACAAGTGATAAGAAGAAAGTGATTTAAATAAATAAATAGATTTTATTCAACATTTTTTATTCAACATTTAACAAAAAAAATTAAAGTATTAAATAGATATAACTATAAATATTATATAACATTACCGTAATTTTTAAATTACATAATTATTACAAAATTCTCTTAATGTTATTTATACAACAAATATGTCTATTACTGAATATTATTATAGATAATAGATTTAATTTTTAAATTTTAATAAATTAATATTTTTTTATTAAATAAATAATTTTAATTAACAAAAATTATTACTATTTTCCCAAATATGGGCCGAAATATGGATGTTGTTTGCATTCATTAGCTGTCAATCGGTGTTTGTGATCAAAGATCATAAGTTTGTCGACCAAATCAATGGCTAAATCAGTTGCCAACTGATTGTTACCTTCGTTGACAAATTCAAACCATTGACGGCATTTGATATTACTTTCCAATATTTGAATCAATTGTGGCAAAGGATTTAACTTATATTTTCTAATGTAATTCTTAAGACATTGATTGCCCAAAACTGAGACAATTCGCATCAATTGATCCAAATTGTCGAGACCTGCTAAAAATGGATCCTTTTTAAAGATGACAGCAGCCATAACACAACCAAATGACCACATGTCCATTGAATAGTCATACTTTGGGTAATTAAGTAACAGTTCGGGTGGTTTGTAGTACCTGTTAAACAATCAAAAGATACCATTAGTGGTCTAATCAATACATTTGTTAACTATATTTCAATGCCTCGACGCCACGGCAACCGAATATGACTTATCGGTGGTGTAAAAGTCGGCTAAACCAAAGTCGATAAGTCGTAACAATTGTCTTTGTCTGTCAATCACAACATTTGATGGTTTAATGTCCCGATGCATCACTCCCTACCAATTCATCGCATTTAATATATAAGACAATCAATTAACAATTGATGACTCACTTGTTGGTGACAATAATCGATGGCTTTAATAATTTTGAAGAGATAAAGTCGACTTTCCGTGTCATCCAATGTCGTCAATATATCTCTGAGCGTCTCTTTGGCCACAAATGGGAACACCAAAGATGGTATTTTACAGTTCATAATAACATCTTTCAATGATATAATATTAGGTCCACCGCAAAGATGTCTTAGTATTGTTACTTCACGACTCACTTTATCCATGATTACAGGTTTCAGTACTTTTATGGCACATCTCTTGTTTTTGCGGACATCGATGGCCTCAAACACTACTCCATACTTTCCGCAACCAATTCGTGTTATCAGTTGGTAGTCATCGGTATCACCCAATTGTATGTCTTCAGACAAATTGATGTCCAAACGGATCACTGAATGTATTGATTTGTTAGTCATTTCATTCATTGCATTCAATCTTTCAAATCATGTGTTTTAAACAATGAGTCAATACTTCACTTAAAATATGAATAAAAAGTTAGGTTTAAGTGAAGTAGTCTTTGAAAGTTTAGGTCTCAAAGTACTGCAAATCATATGATTTTTTATTTTAAATATGTATTGAAAAATGTATTAATATTTTTATTAAAATTTAATAAATTAAAAATTTTTATTATCATAAGAGAATTAATACAATATTTTCACGAATTCCTGAAAGGAATACGTATATGAATTCTATAAGTCGGTCTGTCTGTCGGTCTGTCTGTCCCACGAGGACATAGGTTCGAATCCAGGCTCAGCTATGCTTTTTTTTGTATTTTTTTTTTATTTTATTTATTTTTTTTATTTTTTAAGTTTATTTTTAAGAAAAAAAACAAAATGGAGTCCAAAAATTAATAATTTTTTTTTTTTAATTTTTTTTAAATCTTTTGTAAAGTTTATTTTATCAGGAATATAAAGAAAAAAAATAATTATTTTATAAAATATTTTTTTAAATTTATTTTAATTTTTTTTTATTTTAATTTTTAAGTTTAGATTTGTGTTTTAGATTTGTGTTTTTTTTTATTTTATTTTATTTTTTAAGTTTATTTTTAAGCAAAGAAAAAACAAAATGGTGTCCAATAATTAATAAAAAAAAAATTTTTAAAGTTTATTCTATCAAGAACATTGAGAAAATTGTGTAAAAATTTTTAAGTTTAGATTTGTGTAAATTACTAATTAAAATTAAAAAAAGTAAGTAAATTTTATATATTTTAAATGTTTATTTTAAATAATATTAAATAAATTAAAAAAGTACTTGTTTAAAATGAACAATTTTATTAAATTAATTAGTATAGAATTATGTGAAAAATTAAAAATTGAGTAATAAAAAAAATAATATCTTGCTAGTACTTTTCCATAAACTCTGACGTAATAGTAAGTGTAGTACGTTTATAGTAATTTTCCATGAACTTTGATGTCATAGTAATTGTCGTAATTTTCTTGTATTTTTCCATGAACTCTGAATTCACAGTAAGTGTCATACATTTTTTGTAGTTTTCCATGAACTTTGATGCATAATATGTGTCGAACTTTACTTGTATTTTGTTTGACCTCAGATGCATAATATGTGTCGAACTTTACTTGTAGTTTTGTTTGACCTCTGATGCAAAATACGTGTCGAACTTTACTTGTAATTTGGTTTGACCTCAGATGCATAATACGTTTCGAACATTACTTGTAGTTTTGTTTGACCTCTGATGATGCATAATACGTTTCGAACATTACTTGTAATTTTGTTTGACCTCAGATGCATAATGTGTCGAACTTTACATGTAGTTTTGTTTGACGTGTTGTGCGACTGCTCAGTAGCTTCCAAATGAGTATATAAAGACTGCTATTTCTGCAGTGACCATCATTCAACATTCATAGCTTGGTTGGCTAAGCATCCTCTACAACAGTAAGAGTAAGTTGTTATGAAAAATTTATAAATTATTTATTAATATTTTAATTTCTCAACAGATGGCTTTGATTGGCGAATGTTTGGTATGTTATGACGTAGCGGAGCTGGTGGAGTTCGAACCTTTGTGTCAACCATGTGATCACCACCTGTGCCACAGATGCTTCATCCAATGCCTCAGGACGGCGCATCAAAACGGACTCCCTTATACGTGTCCATACTGTAGGAATCTTTGGGTGGAGTTAGTAACATTGGACGCCATCTTTGACAACAACAATGAAGAGCCACCACAGCAAGACGTATTGGACGACGAAAATCCAGTCCACCAACAATACGTCATCAACAACGACTGGATCAATCCCTACGCGCCAATTGACCACAACCCGTACTATCCGTCTCCAACTTATGGTTCTGAACATGAAGAACCAATGGTTGCAGAAAACGACGACGACCCTCTTTTTGCACCAAATGACGATAACATCAGAGTCGACGGTCAAGAAAATGTCATCGAAGAGGTAAACAATATTCCTCTTCAAAACAATCCATTCCTATTTGAAGACGACATTAACTTCGCATGGGTTAACGACATTCTGGTGGTAACCATTGATGACAACATTGAAGTTATAACAATTGATGACACTGATTATGAAATCATTAATTTAGATTAAAAAACATATATTATATATTAATTTATTTGTAATAAAAAATTGAATATATTAATAAATTAAAAATGAATAAAATTGAAAATTTTTAAAACAATTACTTTATTAATCTTTTTTATATAAAATTTAATAAAATTATTTATTGACACTTACAAAAATTTACTAAAAGTTTAAATGCTGTAGTAAATTACTGTAATTGTTAGTAATTATTTTTTAATAAATTTTATATAAAAAGATTAATAAAGTAATTGTTTTAAAAATTTTCAATTTTATTCATTTTTTATTAATTAATATATTCAATTTTTATTACAAATAAATTAATTTATAAATATATTTTTTTAATTAATTTTAACTGATATTTATTTTACATCGCAAGTAATAGAATTAATAAATGAATACATCTATATAAAGTAAGTTATTTTTATAATTCAATATAAATATCAGTTATTAGAAAGTTTAATTTTCTTCATCATTAATAAGATTTACCATTTCGTCGATGCTTAATTCTAATACTTCATCTTGATTTATATTTAACAAATTATTAGGATTTATTTGTGAATGATATTTCCATGAATATCAAAATTGAAATCTTGTATATTTTCATTCAAATTGTCAAATATTTGATATTCTGAAGTTTCTAATGCGTTTTCTATCACTACATCAAAACATGAATCAATTTCTTGAGAGTTGTCCACTTCTTCAAGGTCTTGATTCACTAAATTTTGCGATACTGAGGTAGTGATACCTGTTGTAATATTTCCATGAATATCAAACTTGAAGTCTTGTATATTTTCATTCAACTCGTCAAATATCTGATATTCTGAAGCTTCTAAGGCGTTTTCAATGATTTCATCAGAACTTGAATCAATTTCTTGAGAGTTGTCCACTTCTTCAACGTCTTGATTCACTAAATTTTGCGATACTGAGGTAGTGATATCTGTTGTGATATTTCCATGAATATCAAACTTGAAATCTTGTATATTTTCATTCAACTCGTCAAATATTTGATATTCTGAAGCTTCTAAGGCGTTTTCAATGACTTCATCAGAACTTGAATCAATATCTTGAGAGTTGTCATCTTCGTTTTTAACATTTAAGTTTATATTAGTGGATGCCATAATAAAAATGTATAAAAAGCTTTTATAACAAATTAAATTTTATAAAATAATATTAACACAAAAATAATACAAATTTTATATTTATTAACACTTATTTTTTTTTGATGTTTTCTTGTTGAGAGCAGAAAACAAACTGAAAATCTTTAGAAAATGCAAGCCCTTTTATATACAGCTAAGACTAATATAAAACTTATAGGTGAAGTTAAATTTTAACTAAGGTTTATGAATAATTTGCAATCTGATTAAATTTTTGTAAAATTTTGAACTTAATTTAATAATTACTAAACAAATCATTTTCCAAATTATAGTAAATGTGTTATATGGAATATGACTATGTCTATTAAATATGTTTAGTAATTATTAAATAAAGTTAAAAATTTTAGAAAAACTTAATCATATTGCAAATTATTCATAAACCTTAGTTAAAATTTAACTTCACCTAAAAGTTTTATATTAGTAGTTATTCAAAATTTAAACGATCTCGAAGAACGTATGGTATCTGCAAGAATAATATTTGAAACAATATTATCATTACCTAAAGGAGGACAGTATCAAATGAAAGGAAATGTTGTAAACGTTCCAGTCGACCCAAATGTTACATTACCTTTACTTCCTCGTTTGGAAAATGAACTACACATTATTCGTGTAGAACTAAAAAGAAGAATAACAGATCCGGATAGACGAAAAAAAGAAAATCGAAATTTTAAATCAGTAAGACCGGAATTTATTCGAAAAGCACTCAGTTATTTAATTAAACAAAACGCTTATATAAATGCCGGAGTAAAATTACGAGATGAATGGTATGAACGATTTCCAAGTGATTTCTCTCAAATGAGCGACACGCAATCTGCAGATGAAAATTCTCAAAATATTAATGAAGAACCAGAAGAAGAAATTGTAGGATGTTTAGATACACTACTTGATTACGAAGATCCACAAGCAGCTGTGGCATATGCTCCCGGTGAAGGTAAGAGACCTTTAAACATATTAATGGATATTAATGCAGCAGCCTTAGCATATCCGAAACTATTTGCCGGTCAAGAACGTAAACTAAAAGCATTAAAACAGAAACTGAGTGTGACTGATTTAGCAAAATCAGAACTAAGAAGATATGATAGAAGATGTGCTGAATGCATACCATATCTTTTTTTTACCTTTAAAATTAAACAATGTCATGAAGCAAACAGCGCTGTTAATATTTATAAAAGAAAAGTTAAAGGAGTAGGAGACAAAAATTGGACTGTAAGGGATGCTTTAGATAACGAAAAACTCAATCAGGCTATAGCGTCAGATAAAGCTTTCAAAAGTTTAGTAAAATTAAGAACGAGTCCTTCTTATTGGGAACAAAAGAGAGACGAATCTATAGCAATGATAAGACAACTTGGGTTACCTACACTATTTTTCACGTTGTCTGCTGCTGAAGTTTCATGGGATGAATTAATAGTTATTTTAAGCAAAGTCTTAAACAATGTTATTATAAGCAATAATGAAGCAAAAGATTTACAAAGAAATGAAAAATTAGATTTAATTCGCAGAGATCCGGTAACAACTAGTAGATACTTTGAAAATAGATTTCGAGAATTTTTTAAAGATATTATTCTACCTGGAGTCGCATTTAAAGGACGTCGTGTAACTGACTATTATTATCGCGTCGAATTTCAACATCGAGGATCACCTCATATTCACGGACTTTTATGGATATCTGACGCCCCAAAACTTTAAAAAAACAATTCGACTTTTTTTTGTGAAGTTGAAAAATTTATTGATGAAATATCTTCAACTTCAACTGTTGATTATATTGAATGTGAATCTGACGAGGAGACGCAAATTATAGATGAAGACACGACACATCTGATAAAT